GGGGGTGTCGTAGCCTACCATATCCGGAGATTCGTAAGAATATCCGAGATTTTAAGCGTTAACCTTCGGATGTTCTCACGAACCTCCGGATCAACGCTTAAAACCTCCGGACATTAGAAATTTCGCCTGCTTCGCCAATGCGTTGCGTGCGGGAGTAACTCTCTCTCTCTAAGTCATCCTATACTTTTGGGCCTCCGCACTAATGTATAAAAGTATGGGCCTTCTAAATTTCCTGCAACATTGGCTTGATCCAGCCGCTAGATGTCTCGAACTCGTTAAAGATTGGGCCAGTTCTTGCAACAGCAATAACTGTCAGTAAAACCCACCTTCCTTGAGGGCTGCGTGTAGAGTGGATAGAATGGAAAGCTTCTAGAGGTGTCTCATATTCGCTGCAAATACATCTTACATGTTATAATCCTGCCCCTCCCCAAACATGCCACTTAAATGCCGAACATCGAACGCGTTCAGCCACGATAAAAGCGGCAACTCTTCAATTTAGAGCACATAGAGCCTGACGTTTTGCTGTCCGTTCGCTTCCCCGAGGATGCGCTTGTTCCTTCGTCCATACAAGAGACGCAGGCACACAGCACCTATTGAAACCACAAATAGCATCGCACAGTTGACGCCGTGGCCGGTAGGGTAGCCTCGAGCAGCCTCGTCAGACTTGTAGATCCAAACCCCTGGGATTTGTCCCAGGCCGGCTCCGATGCTAACGTTGATAGCCACAGCAAGGCCTGTCGCGGCAGTACTCCACATGTTCGACGTCAACCAGCCAAGCATGGGAGGAATCGATGCAAATGCACCCGCGGTTCCTATAATGAGGCACACATATCGTCCAGTGAAGGCATCAGCTGGAGCGGCCGCGGAAGCCAAGAACGCAATGGAGCCAACAAAGGCCGCGCCCGCGCAGTGAAGCCCGCGGGCATTGAAATGGTCGCCAGACCATGAAACCGATACTTGGGCCACTGACAGGTCAGCATGGTAAGGAAGGAAAGGTTCGCTGGTTACACATACCATAGGCCACCGCCCAAGGAGGAACAGTCATGAGTTGTGCTTGTAGATCTTTATACCCTAAGCCAGCGACAATAGAGGGTGAGAAGAGTGACAAGGAGCTGAATGGCAGAGATACAGCAAAGTATATCAGATAATGTCCGTAGAGTCGCCAATCAGTCAAGGTCTCCTTCGCATCGCTCCACCTCACGCCACGGCCTTCTCCTTTGCTCCCTTCTATCAGCAGACGTTGGGCAGCAAGCTCTTTCTCTTTCACTGAAAGCCATGAAGCTCGCTCGGGGTAGTCAGGGAGCAGAAACCAGACAGCAAATGCGGAGAGACACGATGGGATTCCCTCGATGATGAAAAGCCATCTCCAACCTGAGAGTCCAGCAGCTCTGTTCATGTGCCCAATGCCATAAGCTATAGCGCCTCCGAAAGCGCCGGCGAGCGATGCACTGGCCAAAATCAATGCGACGCGGACGCTTCTCTCGTTGCTTTTGTACCAAAAGGTGAGGTAGTAGACAAGTCCTGGAAACAGACCGGCTTCGAAAGCACCGAGCAGGAATCGAACCTAGTAGAGACGCCATGCCATGTTAGTTTATGTATCTAATTTGCATACACTGCCTGGGTTGCTGATCCATGTGCGCCGGTTTGGTCAAACCTCTTCGAGGCGCATCGGAAATAGCTAGTCGTTTGCGCACTTACAGCAGTCACTTGGCTGAAGTTATGTGTACCGCCCAGGCCGATGGTAATTGCACCCCAAGTCAACATAAGGAAAGCAATCCATCTTGACGGCCGCATTTTCTTCAACATTATATTTGAAGGTACTTCGAAAGCCTGTGCCGCCAGTCAGATCTCTCTCTGCTTATAATCTGCGACTCTGGCTGCCTCACAAAATACCCAATCAGGAAGATCATCAGTGCAACATTGAACTGTATGGGATTCATTCCTAACTCAGTCTGCATGTCGTTCTTCGTCGTTGAATTTAGAATCCTCGCATTGCCGATGTTCGAGCGATCGAGGTTGCAGAGGAAGTATATCGCGGCGCATAACGGTATGATTCTGGGTTCTATTATTCAGCGCTGAGCCCCTTCTTCAGGTCATTGAGATCCCCGACCTTATGTCCTGTCTCCATAGAAGGGCTCGTTCCTCTGCGCTGGACGCGAGAATTGTGGTGACGGCGGCCTAGACATATGAGAAGTTATCGTAACTAGGATGGTTTGGTTTGTCTTACATCTTTGAGGTGATGGACATCATGATGCGCAACGGGCGTTGAACCGCCCTTCTCGATATCCTCCTTCACCGAGGTATCAGCTGTCATCGTCACAGAAAACCTTCCTCTATAATATTGTTTTTCACTAAATATCGTGGCACGACAAAAAGTAATCGAACAGCCACAAAATGGCCTGTCGCGGTCAGGATTCTTCAGCAGGTCATATCATCAAATGCGGGGAAGGTCTATGCCTATGAGAAAGTTGATAGGTAATACCTCACGCGGGACTATTGGATACCATTGGTTAACGGCCAGATCTCGTGGTTCATCTTGAAGGCCTGCCTATTGGGTCTGACATGCAAGGGAACAGTAACACAGAAGTTCAATATTAGCCCCGGTTAAATTAGGGCACACCGACGAGCTGACAGTTACAATGTATGCCTGCCGAGTTGGGCCAATGGAATTCGCTCTAGGCGTGGCCACATGCACGTTGAAGATTGAGCTGCATGGTTCTTGTCAGTGCGGGGAGGGCAAGCGCAGGGGGGCTCGGTCGGCTCTTTTGCAATCCAAGGCTTTGGGATTGAATCCTATCTATGAGTCCTATCTATGAGAACGCGACCCGGCGTCCAGCTTCCCTTTCAGGCACTATGAAGCGCACGGGACTGAGAGAACCGGCTGTCGGTGCAAAGTAGCCATCCTGGCAACCCGCCCAGCGACACGGTCGCTGCGCAGTCATTCGATGGAGCAAGCTGCCACGCCGCTTTCCATTGGCTTTAAAGACCGCCTTTCACATTATTCGAATGCATACCACAGCACTATTGCACACTCCCTCGCTGCTTGCACCTCAAGGTTGATCAGTACTCAATACATCATGAGAGAACAACGTCGGCAGATAATACGCGTCTCTTTATCTAGATCGCAGAGTAGATTTTACCAGGGGATTTCCATTCTTGGTTTTCTCTCTCTGTTTGAGTTTTAGATCATAATAACTCAAGGGCCTCCCCTCACCCACATCGAAACAAGGAGCCTGGTTTGTTGGCATTGGACTGCACCGGGGTATGACAACCCTAGGATTTGGGTCAGGGATCGGGAATGTACTCCAGTCAATCCGACCAACAAGCACAAAACGGTCACTCTCTTAGTTTTTGGCACCACTGAGCTGTGGCATAATGTCAATGCCCTGAGTTTTCGGTAGCCAATCATTTTCGTACACAGATATCCAAGCTGCCAGTTGGTTAAGGAAGTCAATCGGTTCATTTGGGTAGCAGTGATCAACGTTACATCCTCACGTGGCAAAGAATGGGCCAGTTTGCAGTAACAAGAGCTTTGCAACTCTATATTTAGAGCTAATTGATGCAAGGGGCGACGAAGTTACCTCAAAGCCACAGTTTTTACCTAGCAACAACCCTTCGCGTTTGTGGGCATTTCTGGTGGCTCTCCCGCAAATGCTTGGGGGATTCTCGTGTCGGGTTGTTGGTGCTGATGTCAGCAGCTTGGCAGACGTTCAGGCGCGGAAGAGCGCATGAGCGTGCGTGATTGGATACGGGGGTTTCGAAGCTGCTGAGTGGCTGGAAGACCAGACCCAGTCACAATGAACGGTCGTCTTCATCTTTGGGAAAATGGAGGCATGTAGGGCTCCCGGTCGATGAGAGGCTGAGTGATACGAAGCGCGATGGTGATATCATGACAAAAGCCAAATACGTGAATGTATATAGAAGGCGGCCCCAGCGGTGAACTCTGCACCTTTCAGCTCATCCCGGCATCCACATTCCCGACTATATTCAGACCTCATCTTGTACCAAGTTCGACCTTTCGTCAACATGAAGAATATTGCTGCCATTTCCGCTTTATTGCTGTCTGCTGTCACGGCTGCACCAGTTGAGCAGCGCCAGGCCACGGAGTTTGACATCACCAACTTCAGTGCGAACACCACCCCTCATGGAACTGCTGCATTGTAAGTTTGAACACGCCAAACTATGAAGCCGTTATTTTTCTAACCAAGGTATAGTTTGTCCTACGACATCGACATCCCCGGCATCTTGAGCACCCACTGTGCCTACTCCGACCAGAGCTCTGTCGGGTCCCTCCCAGATATCCCGTTCAGGCCATGTGACAACGCAGCTGTCGATTGGCAGTTCCGCCACGAGCCCTCTCAGCCAGGCGGTTCGGGCCCGTATCTTATCGTGATCAGGTACCAGGACGAGACAGGCCGCAAGTTCGCTGGTTTCAAAGAGTGGCCCGCGGACCAGTTTCCCATTGAGCAGTTCGGTGCCTCATTCGCGCAGTTCTACCGCGGCGAGCCCAACTTCGTTATCACCAATGTTTCGTAACGCTAGGAAAACAGAACGGCCGGGGGTCTGTCTGAAAGATTGCAAACTGAGCGGCACAACTCGTCAGAGAAAACTTATGATGCGCGAGAAGATAGAAAGATATGATAGTTCACACATTAACAGTCTAGACAAATACCAATGCCTGTTCTTTCCAAAGTATTTATGGCGACGCCATTAAAAAGACTACGGAATGAGAAGGTCAATGGCAGGCTGACAAGACTTGAGATAGGCAATACAAACAAATTGTTCACACAATGGCACAACCCAGGCGAGTAATTACCGGCAGCATTTCTAAAAGGCACACGCAACTTGAGTATCCGAGCAAAGCATACTATCATGAACAGGAAGAGGCGAAATATGCTAGAGCTAAAAGCTGGGCAAACCCGTATGCGCACATGTTCGCTGGCTTCTCAGCATTGTGATTCTTTACAAGACAAGGGTTCTGGGACTCCCTAATATCAAGTCATGAACTCGTCTGGCATTACAGACACGTGCAGCGTTGCATCCCCATAGATGCGGTTTTCCACAACGCAAGCCGTGTTAGACTTGACCTGAAACATGCCGTTGGGACCAATTTCAAACTGTTCCTCTAGCATCTTGACTTTGACTTTGCCTCTCGCGATCGAGCAAAGGCGCATTCGATCAGCTGCTGCTTTGAATCGATGTGTGCCGCCCGGCTTAATTGATAGGACATGGAAGCCTACGTCGGGTGCGACTGAAACTTCTTCCCCATGCGCGAGGTACGCAGCTGAAAATGCTATGTCTAAAACCGACGTCATGTCAGTCAATTGTAATTAACTTGATTCTTGGTGATGACTTACTCTCGACGGTGCCAAGTGACACGTTGCGAATGCGACCTGGGGCAATTTCCCAGTCCTCCATGGATAGTTGAAGACTTTGATCTTTTTCCTGCTCGATGGCAGTTATCCTCAGGGTAGTGTTGGCGACCTGCGCACCAGACTGAGTTTCGGACGGGCTCTTTTTCCCACGAAGCTGGCGCGTTTCTGCAAATATCGGTGGCTTCGAATTCTTGGAAGGAGTTCCCTTTTCGGCAGTCGAAGCCGCAGATGACACATTACTGCTTTTCCTAGTCCTTGGGGGGTGGTTATCCGACGCAATAGGCTTTGCACCACCGGAGTTCGACCTCGTCATTCTCGGTGGCGACGCGCCAACGGTGGCGGGCACCCCAGACTCTTTGAGCTCAGGATATGTCTTGCGATGCCATTTCGCGAGTTCACCGCAGTACGTCTGATTACCCTTGTAAAAGCAGTTTGCGCAGGATGTGACAAGACGCCTGACATGAAGAGGAGCATCAGGAGATATCACGAAGCAACCCGCAAAGGGCCCTTTACCCTGCTGACACCGCTTACAAGGTACAATCGCCTTATTGCCGGTAAGTTGAATGATTAATGCGCTAATATCCTGAGGTCGACTTTCGAAGAATTTTGGGCCGAGCGGATTGAAGCTAATTCCCCGTACCCTCTTGAGAGGTAGCAAGTCTTGGACATGGCCTCTAGCTGGAATTGGTGAGACTGGTGTGTCCTGGAGGTAGGGATGAATCGTGTTTTTCCAGGTCCAAATGGCAACTTCGTCCAGAGCTGCACTGTTTTCGATCGTACTGGTACTCGTGGACTTGGCGAGATCGAGGTCTGTTGTGCCCGGTGCCGCTTCAGGCCTCTTACTCGATGCGACAGTATCCTGAGGTCCTTTCTGCTGAGATGGAAGAGCTGGCCTAGCCATGGAATGCTCTTCGGGATCAAGTGGTCTTTGCGATACCACTATAGCAGGAAGTCTCCCTCGTCCAATACGGAAGCCCAGCACGGAGAAAGTCCCGTCTCCGTTGTCGTTCAGTCTTGCCGCTCTATGTTTTGAGTTGAAATGGCCTCCCAGGCTGTGGAGATGCTCGAAGATGGTTCGGCATGAACGAATCGGGCAGATCCAGGGCCGTTCAATATCGGAATGCGGCTGATATCCCGGTGGGAGTACTATGACAATGATGAGAACCTCCTATGTGATGCGTATATCTTGTGTGAGAACTTACATGCCCCATGCGCAGGAACCGTGGTACCATTTGCTACTGTTTGGGGTGAGCTTAGGTATCAGAAACATATTTCAGTCACTTACATCGCCACATGTTATAGGGTCGTCCGCCGTCTGCTGTCAAAGCAGTTTCTGAGGTGCCTTCGTAGTCTTCAATTTCACTTGTAGAGACACTACCTTGATTAGTTATAAGCGGCACTTCGACTAGCTTTCTTAGTGATATACTTTCCCCCTGCCGTGGAGGGAAAGGTTCAGTCTCCCCACTAGTTTCCGATGTATCTGTTGATACACTCTCCTTGGATATAGTAGGTTCCTCTCTAACAGATTCATCAAGTTTCTCTGGAAGATTTCGAGCTGCTGGGACCTCTCCATCCTGGTGGAGGTTATCAACTGCTACCAAGGAACCCATAGCCAAACTTGGAGTATCAGAAGAGAAGGGGTTCGTTCTGCCGGGGCTAGGCTTTGGGGACAGGCTAGATGCTGATGGATTCAAACGTGTGGAGGGTGAAACAATCGGTCGTGGAACATCATCAACTACTGTCACCCGGGAATCCTGATGCCTTTTATGGGCCCCTAATGCCGAACTCTCATCCCTCTTACGCTTCAGAATGCTTGGCCGACTCTGACCTAAGTAATGGGTTAACTCGTACTATGAAAACTCTGTTCATAAAACTGACCTCGCAATATCCCATCGATGTTTTTGGGAGTAAGGTCCCTAGTATCTGTCGATACGAAGCTTATCCGGTCTGTATTGAAACGGTCTGATCGTCCAGCTGCCATGGCTGTTCGTGGGGAGTTGATGTACATTTCAGAGTCTGATGATGGGCCGGATGGTTGGAAAAGAGCCCGAGATATGGAGGAAGATGTCAATTCGTCAGTCGCAACGGTTGAGACCCTTTGTTGTCCCGTGTCGTTACCTTGGCTTCTCGGCACTTCTTTCTTGGTGGGTGAAATACGGAGTCTTGCCGTAGCACTCCTCTTCGGGGATTCGAAGGAACTGTCCCTTGGAGACTTTGACGTAGACCGATTTCTTTGGCTATGAGGGCTGCCCAAGCTCTTCAATCGACTATTGTTCGGCCCCATTGTCGTCGGAGCCCCTTTCGACTGTGATTGCATCTCAGCCAGAAGAATCGGACGTAGCGATGGCTGCATTGTGCCATGAATAATTGCCTGACGAATGTTCTCTGACAACGGTGCAGCCAGCAGTCCTTCTCGAAGCTTATCCATATGCATCAAGGCGTGCTGCTCTCCCAGAGATAGGCTTCCATCCACCAAAGACTTTCGAAGTCTCCATCCACACAGTGCGGTATTCTCGAATACGGTTGAAAGGGGCTCCCTCGCCTGACTGGAACTTTTATGTGACGATTGGCCAGTGGGCTTCACACCAGGTATGCCTTTGCTGCTCGGTGTGGTAGCCATCTGCGAGGTCTTTACCTTGCTATGAGCAGACGTCTCCCTTGCGATGTTAGCCACAGGTGCGATTGCCCTGTGGGGATCCCTTAGAACGTGGACAGCCTCGTGGTAGAAGAAAGCAATGCTACCTACCTTGGCACCCAAAGGCCGAGTCTCGCATGCAGAGTCAAGCGTAATCTCAAGCAACAAGATGGCTGTAGTAGCCTCTTCACCACGTGCCGTGGCTCGTTGCATCACAATTCAAATCTGCATCGCGATAATCGACATTGAAAACGCGTGTGCTTGTCGCAAAAGCAAACACTCGGAACAGGGGATGCGTGCGCACAGACCACTAAGCGTATATAATTGGAACTCAATTCAGTTTCTTCAGCAGGTTGGCGCTAACGGCAACCACAATCCAACCGAGCCTCTGGCAACCGATTTCATTCCCTGCTTGAGCACAATCGGCCTCATGACAGGCACAGTGATACTTAGCATTTAGGAGCTCACTGCGCAACGACGTACGCCGATTCAGTCAGAGTCAATTACCCTTCACGCTTTCAACGCCGTATCCAGGCCGTTCTTGCGAACTTGAATTCGGACATGCGTGCAAGGATATCCCATTCTACTCAATGATCCCTATATCTGCGCAATGTTCTCCCGCCAATCACTCGACGCTAACGGATTTCTGCTCGGATTTGAACCCATCGTCGGAAACTACAGTGCCCTCATTTTCCTCCAAGTCATCCTCCAAGTCTTGTGCAGCCTTCATCTGAGGCTCCCGATTACCAGTATCTGAGTTGTAGCCCTCACTATTCATCGGTTCGTCATCACTGTATTGCTCACCTTCGTTTCTCAAATATTGTCTTTCATTTTTGTCTTCTGGATCTCTATCATTCTTCCGCGCCTCCGTGGAAGACTCGGCTTGTGATCCTTTGAGGTTGGGTCCAGGTTCAACTTGGGAGAAATTCTCCCTCTTAAGATCTTCTTCAAGTATCTCGTCCATATCATGGCGCGGTTCTCCTGTTGTCGTTACTAGCAGGTCCTTGATCCTGTAACTGTCGGGATTTTCTCCATTGAAGTTGTCATTGCCGGGGTGATTGGGCTGCTGCCCTCCTGAGCTTGCTTCAACTACCTCCTTACTCTTTCTGTCAAATCCCTCGGCATCGCCGACGGCAGGTTGCGCTTCCACTTGAGGTTTGGCAAGAGACACAGAGACTGGCTGAAGTCCATAGTAATGCTCCTTCGGACTCGGTCCAGTACCAGAAACCGCTGAATCACGATGTGAGTAGATCCATAGAGTCGTAGTCGAGCTGTCTGTGGGGTACGGGTCACGGTACTCTCTTCCATCTTTGAAGACACATCCCAACTGAATATCTACAGTCTCATACGCGTTCGGATTCCAGTAACGTAGCGCCAAAGCGAGTTGATCTAGGTGAGAGTAAAACTGTACGTTGACCTCGTTCTGAGCGTGGAGCTCGTGCTTGGCATACTCCATTGCACTTCGTAAGTCGGGAAGCGTCGTCTGGGATTTGAGGCGCTTGAATTGGTTTTGGAGACTTTTCAGGATGGAAATCAGCCCACAGTCGTCACCCTTGCCGGTTTTCCTCATGATGTGAAATCCGGCAGGGTAGGTGACATTAGCCGACGTGCCATGCCTGGCGTAGATGATATGTGCTGGATTATCTGCGATGAGCTTGTTGGGTGTGAGTGGCGGCTCAGAAGCTTGGACGGCTAGATCCCCATATTCTGGTTGAAGTACATGCTTCCGAGGGGCTTCTAAAACCGACTTTCTGCCCGTCCCGTCTTTCCTGTATGCTCTCTGGAGAGCGGCCTCCCAACCTGGCGTTCGTTCATCTTCCGACAGTCGCTTCTTTGCTTGTGATGATCCAATTCTGTCTTGTACTGTGTTCCCTTCCTCATCTGCATCTCCTATACTTCCGCCAGCAACCTGCGAGGGATGCCTCCCAAGCCATTCCGCGAGGCCTTCTGGTCTCTTCTGTACCTTTAACGCTCGCTTCACTCGTGGCTCCGTTTGAGCGCTCGAACTCTGCATGACCAACTTGGTCGACCTTTTAGCTTTTAAGTCTTTCTTGGGCGCTTTACGGCGCCTTTCTTCATCTTGTAGAGCTGTAGCTTCCGCCTCTTTTCGTTCCTTCTCTTCGACCAGTGCCTCAAGCCTTGCTTTAAGCTCTTCATTGTGGATCTTCTTTTGCTCCTTCCCTTGCAGTTGCTGTTTGTCAAGCTGTTGAAGCTGTTCCTTCGTATTCCTCTCAATGCCCGCACTTTGGATATGCGCAATGGAGAGAGTTACACGTCGAGCTGGTGTTTCACCCTTAGCCTTCGTATTGCCATCTGTTCCTTTGGGAGACTTTGCTATCTGGAGATCCTGACACACGTTCCAGTACCCTTTTATCTCCGGAAAAGCAATGTACTTGAATAACAGCCCCTTCCACTCACGCTCGTGTGTGCCATATGCAAAGTGTGTGGCGAGTGATTCAGCCCACACCGGAAGGTATGCAGCACGATCTAGACCGGTGATGGCAGAAACCAGCTCATTCTCGATAAATATGTTGTTTAATGTGAGATTACCGTGAGTGAAGACAAATGGTAGGGTCCCCGGCATCAACCTGAGTGTTAAATCCTTGAAGTCATCATCCCACCCCTCTCCTGCGAGCTGTTCGCGAATGTGCTCTCGATATTGGCCCTCGGTTTCAAAAAGTAAGGATTGCCCTTCAGAACCCCCAATCATGCGCTCGGAGGTAAGGTAAGGACTCCCGTCAAGGGCCGATATCTTGGGAGAATTAATTCTTCTCCATTTTTTTACGCATTCTGTCACTTGTTTTGCAATACTGACTCGTACGGCCTCAGAGAGTGTATTCCAGATGTCCGACAGACGCCGCCCCCGTGCACGCTCGGTTATTGTGATGGCAACGTGGCCCTCTTTCCAAGCAGCGACCACGTCGGGCACTGGGACTCCACTGAGCTTCCGGAGCATTCGCGTTGCCCAGACTTCTGTCGGCATCGAATCTAGGCGCAGATTCCAATGCTGTTTTTCGACAATCACATACCTGGAGCCGAAGGACCAGGCGTATTGCTCGTAGTCGTTATACTGCAAGTTCAACGAGCTGCAAAAGCCGAATTGCTCATCCAGGACCGACCGAGCTGCGTCCGCCTGCGTCGCACAGCACACAGCGCACGGTGGGTCGTCGTTCGCATCCTCCCATTCACGCTGCCCTTTGCGGCTGCTCTCGAGCCAGTTGCGCGTAGCATATGCTAGCGCTCGGCCGCCAGACTCAGATGTCCTGCCCTCTTCTATTGAGTCTTTGACCAGATACTGAAGCTGCAGTGCCCTGATGAACGGATTGATTGACTCAGCTGCTGGTCCGAACAGGCACAGAGGCGCCAGTTCTCCCTCCTGCTCGTCAAATCGGATGCTATTAGGGGGTGATGTAGAGAGACTTGATGCTGATGTGGTGCTATCTAGGCTTGTTGCATCTGACTTCTGTCTACTAGACAGAGGAGAAGGTCTCTTTTGATCGGGCGCGTCGGCGGACAGGTCATCTTTCATGTCATCGCCGTCCTCTGTTTTTGAAGGCCAAAGTGGCGTTTTGAACCCAAAGAGCGACCCTTTTGGGCTTGCTACCGACGATACAGCAGAAGCGTTCCTGGGAAATGATTTATTCGTTGGGCTGACATTCTGTGAATTGTTTCGCTCGAAGTGGCTCTTGAAGTTATCGAGCCCGGTCCGCAACGGGTCGTTTGCAGCCATATCAAATCGACGGTTTTCAAGGCCCACCCCTTGAATCAAATCATGATGTTTGCACACATTTCAGATGGGTCAAGTCACCTTCACAACTCCAAGGCACCGTGTGCGTAGGCAATAACCCGTCGCCCATTTTCTTTGTCTGCTGCAATTGAAAGGGAATCGCTGCAAACAACCACCCCCGCTTGTGTTGCGCCAGCTTGCAACAATGACACATCCCAATCGCAGACACCTCATCCTACAGCTTTTAGATGCTTCGACAAACCTGGGATTGAACTCTGAGGTTGCGTGGAATTAGATCACTTGACTGTACTCTAGCGAAGCATTTCTCCGGGATTAGACAAGTCAAGCATTCCGTAGATAAGTGTCAAACTCCATTACCATTAGGGGAATATGTAAATCTAATTGCGCAAGTAGAAGTCTATCAACCAAAGGATATCAAAAAAGTACCCCTGACAACCCATCCGCAGGTTGGATCCGTACCGCTTTACGCTTATGCTAATGGCTTTTCCGCAACAATACGATAGACCGTGGTAATAAGACGCTGGTTGTCCATCTTCACAAAGGCTTGGCCGTCCAGACACAACCTGTTGATGAGTGGTTTGAAGTGGTGCGGGAGCAGCTTGAGCTTGACGCCTGCTAAGATAGCCTGCCGCATAGCTCGGAAGTAGATATCAACCTTGTCGATCAAGGGGGCTTGCAAGCCATCGATTCCTGGTATATCAGACCGAGTGACTGAGAATCCAGCTTCCTTCAGGGCAGACTCGAAGCTGCTAGGCGTGGGTGTGCCCACCGCGCCGATCAGAGGTTTGACGCGACGCATAAGTTCCTGGTGCTCTTTGTTCTCCGGATCGTATGCTGGAAGCGATACCCAATCCATCAAAAGAAACTTTGAACCGGGCTTCAAGATTCGAAAGATTTCCTTGAATGATGCTTTTGGGTCTTTGCAGAGACTCAGAGCCTGGATTTCGTAGAATGCGTCAAAAGACTCGTCAGCAAAAGGGAGCGGCAGATTGTTCTGGTCGTGCTCCACAAACTCGTTCTGGAGACCCAGTTCCGCATTGAATTCGCGTGCCTGCACAATCTGATTTGGGTCGATATTGAGACCCGTCACATGTGCACCAGTGATATTGGTCATGTGAGCAGCGACTCTGCCGCGACCGCATCCTAGGTCCAGTACCCTGTCGCCGGACTTCAAGCCAATCTCTTTGGCAATGGACACTTCATTCAGCAACTGATTATCCAACACCGAAGCTTGCCTGTCCATATACGGAGGGATGTACATCTTCTCAACATCCCCAAGAGCGCACCTGTCCGGAGTTAGTCAAACATTTTCTCCTCCCTGTTCCACCATCCTGTGAAGGGTTGACGTAAGGGAGCGCGCAGAAATATGGCGGGACTCACAGGTGGTTTATTACACCGTAATACGCCCGGAGGCAGTCGCCTACTCGTTGTTGGTAGCTTGGCCCCAAGGCCGTGATCATCTCATCTTCATTCTCCCAATCCAGGTTGTAGATGACATACGAGGACATGAAGTCATCAACCTGCTTGGGGGTCAGGTTGTACAGGTACTTGAACGATGCCCGAAAGGTTTTCCATCGCTTAGGTGACGCGGTGCGGTCTACCAAGGAAGCGTTACTGTGACGTTTGGTGGACGACTTGCGGGACACACCAGGCGCAGGAGCAGTGGAGAGACCTATTTTCTCATTGCTCGCGCTCGTGTTACTTGAGCGGGGAGAGTCGTTGTCTGAGTCTGCTGCAGGCACCGCGGGTATACTCTGGGGAGGAGCTGTGGTAACAGTAGCCATTGTTACTACAGAAGGATAAGGTGTGCCTGCTCTGCAACAAACGGCGGGCTTGAGGGTGGGAAACGGGAAGGGTTGTGTGGTGTTACGCGGGGAGAAAGACGAGAAACACAGAGGTTAAGCTTCGCAGATGATGTAAGGCCCAGTAAAGGCTGGCAGCGTCGGCAGAGATCATCAGTTTATGGGGTGTGAAGTTTGATTGGGGATTTCACCCAGGCCGGATGACGCGGAAATTCACCACTGAGACAAGCGAATAGAAATAAGCATTCCACTTGACGTGCTGACAAACGGCCGAAGGGCTTCGCAGGACACCACCTGATTCCAGCTTGTTACCGACCAGCGGCGGAATGCGGTGCAGCCGCTTTTGTGACTCACTGCAGACGCGCCTGCATCGATGCATCGATGCATCCATGGATCGCTTGTTTGCCCACCATCACGTCGCTTCACTTTGACAACGCACAGGCGAGTCCACCAGTCCACCTTCCCAGCACCCTCAGCTGCCAACAGCGACGTCGCGCCCGCGAAGCAAGGAAGCGGCAGTGGAAGCCCCGTAAAAGAGCGTTAGTGCTTGATGATGTAACGAGCTCCGCTCAGGCTTGAAAATCTGGAAATCGTCCAGGCTCAATCTCGTTGGCTACGATCTTCTGAGAAGTTTTCTTTGCCCGAGCTCAGTGGCCTGACAATCCCGGGCCCCCATCTCAGCGGCGCTCAGAGTAGTCCACCCTCCCAGAGTGCGGTCACTTGTAGGGAAGCTTACTTCTGCGCGCATGCGTAGTTAGATTACTTGGCATGTGCAGTGGGGAATCCGGCTTTCTGGCTCGTTCCGTCCGGAATTAACTTGTCGGCGGTCGGCTTTTTGTCGGGGTGCATTAGTTACATTGGATCCGGGCTGCCGGGCGAGAAGTCCGCAGGCCGCGCTATTCTCGCGTCGTCGTGTTGCCGCTGACGCCGGCCACGCTTTGTCGACCGGCTCCACAATGTGAACAGAAGGGCTCAGGCTGTCGGCCAAGAAGTGCTTGGTCGATTCGGCTTTCGCCACTTGCGCCTCCGTGACAGTCCTCGCATGTAGGTCAATGGTTGATGACAGGAAGGCGCCCTTGTGTTGTGTGCATGAGCACGCCCTGGGGTATTGCATCGATGCGGCTCTTCCTGGTTGCTGTCGAAATAAGCTTCTTCAACCAAGACCCAGTCACAATGACGTGGGCCCTGAAGAGGCCGGCATTGGTGCTGCAGTTTGAGGAATCGCGACCGAGACCGCATACCTTTCAAATGAGTCTCTGCCACGCAAATGTCTGAGACGCTGCACCCTCAGTATGCTCCAATTAGCACAACACCGTCCGTATGCGCCACTGGCCCGAACATCAGTGCAGGCGATGGTCATTCAAGCGAAGGCCTGCACGGGGCTTACAGGATCAGGTGCGAATAGAAAGTACTGTTTAATGCTGTCCCAGCCGAGAGTGGAGCAATGCTGAAAATACCATATGCACAACATGAATGCTCACGTAATCGACTCCTCAGCAGCCATGCGTTCGAACACTCGATGCATTTAGCATCAGCGCTGAGTAGCCTCCTCTTTGGCGGCTTTGCAAAACGGGCCTCGGGTGAAAGTCTTCATTTTGCGTGTTTGCAAAATGGAGAGCAGCCACTACGCTATCTTTCCTACGGTCGAGCCTATCTTGCTCGACCGTGACCTGGTATGCATGTGCATTCTGGTGCAACTTATTTCGATGTATCTTATGGGTTCCCTCGCAGCCATTGCGTTGCCGGTCCTAAGCCCGAAAGTTGTCGCCCTTCCAGAGCGCCGGCAGAAACAGCTCGCTATCGCTGTGCCGGTCATCATAATGAAAACAGCCGTCATGGTGCTGATTATGGACTCCCTGATGGCGACGACAGCCTTCGGGCGAACACATGTCATCTTCCATACCAAGCCTTCGATGGAATACCGTTTCCAAGTGCTCTTCTTCATTGCCATCAGTTACATGTTTGAAGTTCTCCAGCGGCCGTGCTCCGCGGAGCTGGTGCTACACCACCTCTATCTCCAAGCATTACCTCTTTACTGGTGGTTCTGGCTACGACATCGTTCTCCGGCTCAAACGGAGTTGGTGACTCGTTTCTTTGAACTGATGGTATTGTTCGGGCCAGGCGCGACAGACATCACCTCTGACTTTACATTTCTGTTTTATTATTGCGCGCCGCGGTCCCGGTCAGGCCTGCAAGTAATAAGCGGCATGTCGTGGCTCGCTGGTATCATGCGATCACTGCAATGGATTGTTTTGTCGGCCTATGGGATATTGAAGTACGACATTGCCCAAACATACTTGTCTCCACTGGAGATGGGTGTCTTCGTGCTTTCAACAGCTTTATGGATATGGACCGAACTAGATGAGATTCTGAAGATCAGAGGAATGGTTGCGAAGTTCGGTCAGAGTCTAGAGCAGAAGAGACTTTGACCACTACGGCCGGATACGCTTTCCAAGTCGAGGGAGATGCCTCATTGACTTCAAGGTCCAATGTGCCGCGCAGTTCGCTAAGAACTCCGACCTGCCCGGCTATCGCTCAAGCTAGGAGCGTCGGCAGAACGTAATGGGAAGACGGAAGGTTCTTTGATCAGGAGTCACGAGCGTAGAGACCCACTCGATACCGCCAGTTGCCATCAATATATCTAGTTAGCGTTATCCATGGCGTTGAATGCATTCTACAATAGTTGGCAGCTCGAAGCGGGAACCCACACGTTTAATACCTTGAGATTATTCAGCGGGGCGAGCCCAGAATGCACTAACGGAGCCCCGCCGACGGTCTTGTAGGGAGCACCCCCGAGCCAAGGCACACTAACTACAGCGTCATTGGGTCTCGACCCTCCCTATCACAAGGCACCAAGATAAGCCCTCCTGTGGATAAGCTTCACTTAGGCCTGCTCCCGAGACCGCGAGTCGTAATGATAGGGACAGTCCTACGAGACGGTGGCGATGGCCTCATTTTCGTCTACCCCTTATGAACACCATGGCGGCACCAGTTGATGTGACGATCCCGGACTGGGCGGCTGCTGTTCCCGAAGACGCCGAGGTGCGGCCAGGGAAACGAAGCCGGGTGGCTCTCGCCTGTCAGAGATGCAAGGTCCGGAAACAGAAATGCAACGGTGCAAAGCCGTGCTCAAAGTGCCAGTCTCTTGGCCTCCCATGCGAGTATGTAATCCCCCAGAAGCCGATGCCGTTCGGCAAAAATCAGTACATCAAGAGCCTAGAGAGGAGGGTGGCAGAATTGGAGACTATTCTATCCAAGCAAGGAATCTCGGATCTGAGCAAAGATCACTGGAGTTCCCTCCGGGCAGAACAGACGGGGCGACCCGTTGAGGATGCCGCGTCCTCCACGCACACTCCCGATACGGATGACTTTGATCACGAGCTTGATTGGCAAGACGGGTTTGACAACGTTGTTTCGGTACTACGCAGCCTTTCCATGGACGCGAACGGCACAGGTTATATTGGCGGCACCTCGCACGTCACCATGGGCAAGCTTTTTAGCTTCATAGGAAGTCACCGAGGTAGAAACGGAGGCCAGTCACGGCGTAGAGACACTGACTTGATGCAACCACTGGATCAACCCAGCTTGGATGATGTGGAACCCATCGACTTTTCCGAAGTAGCTCCAGAAGTTGCAGACCGGCTCTTGGTTGGGTGGTTGAAACACATCGCCACGCGATTTCCAGTAGTACACTCCGTGTGGGTTCGTCAAATCCACGAGCGAAGGCATTCCTTGGCAGTTACCCATGAGAAAATTATCCTGCATCTTGTGTATGCAAGTGGAGGGAGGTTTCTGGAGACAGCCGGCGAATTTGGGCTATTCTATCCTCAGAGGCATTACGCTTCAGCGCTGAGTCATATGGGAGCCATCCTAGATTATGACGATATACGGTCAGTAACGATTTTGATGCTGATGGCGGTGTTTTGTCTGCGAAATTCAGTTGGCCCAGGAGCGTGGACCTACTCCAGAATGGCAATGCTCGTGGCGCTCAATCTTGGTCTTCACCGCAAGACGAACGCTATGAAACGACCGAGCATAGAGAACGAGCTAAGAAAACGTATGTTCTGGGCAACCTATGCTTTCGATCGGCAGATATCTATACCACTGGGGCGACCGTTTGCGATATCAGACCGAGACATCGACGTACCCTTGCCGTGGGATATCGACGAGTCAACTACTGCAGAGGACTTCAGTCGGCTATCTGAACCCAAGGGCAACGATTCGGCTCCTGAGCATAGCACATCATTGTCATCGTTTGTACGAATGGTAAAACTACGTCGTATCGAATCAGATATTCAACAAACTATATACCGCGTTGATCTGACACCCGAGATCTCGGATACCGTCGTGGACAAATTTCTCGAGCGACTTGCACACTGGAAGGCCATGATACCTCTCGATTGCCGTCAGAAGAGAGATTTAGAAGGTGTCCCGTTTGATGGATACGATGTATACATGGTCTTTTTCTGCAAGTGCAAGCGACTCCTTCTTTTTCCCGAGATTTCCAAGACGCCAGTGAACCCGAGATATCTCAAGGAGTGTGCCATGGCTTGTGCAGGTGCCTGCGGTGCATACAAGCGCCTGCATCAAGTTATGTCGGTGGGATACTCGATCATGTCGGTGCAAACAGTCTTCATGGCGGGATTAACACTGGTTTACTGCATCTGGATCTCTCCCAACGAGGTCTTCGACATTACGACCTCAAGTGGCATTCATGACTGCAGTATCGTGCTGTTCGTCATTGCTGAACGCATAGGCGCTGCTAAGAAGTATCGCAATGCATTCGAGGTCATCCGTCAGCGCGTTATTGATCAGGTCTCAGATGGTTCTTCCCGTCAACCGAGAAAGGCCATGTCTGGACTCGTTGCTGAATTGGGCCCTTCGGTACACTCATGGGACGTCAACCAGCCATTTGAGGTTGACCATGACAGCTTCGAGCAGTTCTCACACATCATTTCTGATATGAGTGGAGGGTTCCCTGGATTGATGGACCCATTTTCTGACATGAGCGGAGAGGGTGCACCGGCGTATGCAGTCGATGCATCGTATATGCAAACAACACCATTCGCTCCTGAGGCTCCTCGTTCCCCAGACATGGTGAGCCCAACACGGACATTTGGAGCCAACCTTCCTGAATTTGATGACAACAATCCGCTAGACATTGTCTACAATGACAGCATATCCCCATGGTTCTCGGCAGCCACCGGTGAGCCAAGGTGAGGCGCGAGATAGGTTTCCGGTGGTGTGGGTCCCCGCTATCGGATCGGATGATGCGATCTTGGCCGGCTATGGCGATAAGCGGCTAGTACACAAAGCCGTCGGAACGCCTGCGGTGGCCTCGATCGTGTCTTCGACGTTGGGAGCATCCAAGGGATAAGTACTCCTTCTGAGGGAATGTCTACTTACCGAAGGATACTTGTTTGTTTGGAAGAATTCACCAAACTTAGTTAATACGACCATGGCAGACACACATAAGTTATTTACCCCACTCCAGATCGCCAATGGCTGCATCGCGCTGAAGCACCGCATTATCATGGCACCAATGACCCGGAATAGGGGCGTGCCGTTATCAGAAGGCACACCTGACGCCCCAAACCGAATCTGGCTGCCAGACGATCTAGTTGCTCTATACTATGGGCAACGGGCGTCGCCGGGTGGACTGTTGATTACCGAGGGGATCCCGCCTTCTATCGAGGCCAGTGGTATGCCAAATGTACCGGGCCTGTTTGATGAATCTCAGGTTCCTGGATGGAAAAAAGTGGTCAAGGCCGTTCATGCTAAAGGCGGATTTATTTATGCACAACTTTGGCATGCTGGACGAGCAACTATACCGCAGTTTTCGGGCACTGGTCCTGTAAGCGCTTCAGCTACACCATGGGACACGGACGAGAAGTTCCCCTTTAGAACCCCCTTTACCAAAGAAAAGATAGCATACAGAGACCACCCGCCCATCGCTATGAGCCATGCGCACCTTCAGAAGACAATAAATGACTTCGTTGCTGCAGCAAAGATGGCGGTGGATATTGGTTTTGATGGCATCGAGATTAATGGTGGGAATGGCAATTGTCAGACTTACCCTTGGCTATCCGATACCAACAAAGTGTCACCACTAACATCGTTCAGTACTTGACCAGTTCCTACACTCAAACATCAATACTCGTACCGATGAGTATGGGGGTTCCGCAGAGAAGCGCTGTAAGTTCGTCCTTGAACTTACAGCCGCTTTGGCCGCTGCCATTGGTGCGTCGAATGTCGCCATACGTATGGAACCGACTGGACTATACCAACACACTCGAGGTGGTGAGAGGGTTGAGACTTGGTCATATCTCTGCCAAAAGCTCGCAGACACTTACCAAGGCGACAAGAAGCTTTCCTACGTGCACTTCATCGAGCCGCGGTTCGATCGTATTGACTCGGAAGCTGAGAAAGACAATTTCTACAAGTCTTGGAGCCTGCCTATAGTTTCCAATGAACCTTTCCGGAAAATCATTAGCGATAAAGGCATCCCTACCTTCTCGTGTGGAGGATGGGATGATAAGAACTCCGCAGACGCCATTGAGAAAGGCTGGGATGGTGTTGTGTTCGCAAAATGGTTTACCAGCAACCCCGATTTGCCCGATAGGTAAGCGGTCCTTCGAAATCTCAATAGGTATCGTGCTAACACAATGTAGGATAAAGAATGGCCAAGCTCTCGCCGAGTATGATCGCAGTAGATTCTACGGGTCTTGGGACGGCATACGCGAAAATGGCTACACCAACTACGTTGTTTATGAGGAAGAGATAAAGGCTAAAGCGGAACAGGAAGAGAAGCCCCCCTCCTAGAGCCACCACTCAATGTTCTATTATATAATGAGTTGACAGAACAAGAAAAACTTCCCATACCCACTTCAGCCTTCGCGTGTTACCTGATTCCCTCCAACCGTGTCGTTCAGGGACCGTTCCGGGGTGTCAACAATGTTTAAGTCTCATGACTATATGAAATATATTAATTCGTCCGTAAATGCAGCAGACGCTCAATGCCTGTTTACTCCATCCAAGCCGTTGAGAGCATCCGTTGACGCCTCATCTTTACCCCACTTAAAGCACGATCCATAATGATCATCCCTCAGAGACTTCTGCCCCAGGAGATTCTCCCTGAATGTGCCACCGGGTACATCATAGTTCTCCCAAAAAAGACCTCTCTTGACGAGCTCGGGTCGAAGAAGGTCAACAATGTCTTCCCAGCTCGTTGGGTTGGTCACGCTTGCAACATTGAAGCCATCAACATCGGCCTCTCTGACCCATGCCTCGAAGATGTCAGCGACGTGTTCCACGCTGCCAACTGGGCACGGATGAAGTCCGCCAAGCGCCATCTGCATCCCCAGCTTTCTCGGCGTCCAAGCCTCGCCCGACGCTGCAAAGCCCCGGAAGACGCTCTGTATCGCCATGTCTTGCTTTGAGTTCGTGAGGTCTAGAGGTTCGTCCAACGGGTATCGCGAGAAGTCGATCCCAGTATACCCGGAGAACTGTGCCAGTCCCGCGACCGGATCAGCATTGGCAACAGCCTTGTCGTACTTCGCCCGGGCCTCCTCCTCCGTGTGGCCGATGATGGGCACGATGCATGGAAAGAACTTGATTGATTTAGGGTCGCGGCCGTTTGCAGCCGCCTGGGCACGGAGGTTAGTAACTACATCCTTGGCCTGCTCTATCGACGCTGTGTTCAAGAAGATGGCCTCTGCATGCTTGCTGGCGAATGCTGTCCCGGTTTTCGAGGTTCCGGCCTGGAACAGAACAGGCGTGCGCTGGGGTGACGGGTGTACTTGGCTTCTCCCGCTTATGTCAAAGTACTTGCCCTTGTGCTCGACTTTCCGAATTTTAGAAGGGTCAAACGCCATCCCAGTCTCCTTATTCCAGACTGTAGAGTCTGGCGCCCACGAGCTTTCCCATAGCCTTTGTCTTGGGTTAACTAATGCCTGGTGAGGATGTGCGATGTGATGAACTTACTTATACACCACGTCCATATACTCATCAGCCATGATGTACCTCTCATCGTGGGGAGTAACATCCTCATACCCCAGAGCCCTCGCTGAGCTCTTAGCCCATGACGTAACAATATTCCATGCACATCGGCCGCCGGTCAAGTGATCCAGCGTGGAGAATTGCCTTGCCAGCACGTACGGATTGGCATAACTGGTGCTCATTGTGACTGCCATCGCTACCGACTCGGTCACTGCAGCCATCGCGGACACGATAGGTAGTGGATCTAAATGAGCAACTTGGTGCCCTGCTTTCAGACAGGCATTCAGACTGCCCCCATATACATCGAACCCTGCGTACCAGTCCGCAAAGAAGATTGCACTAATCTTGCCCCGCTCGGCAAGTTTTGCTAGGTCGGTGTAGTACTTGAGGGTGTCTTTGGTGGTTGAGACATCATCTGTGCGCCTAAATTCGTAGTCAGAAGAGCTCGATCGAATTGCTAGTTCAACATCAACTTACTTCCATTGGCCTGAGGCCATATATCCTCCCGTGCATGCTGTTTCCAGAAAACATAATTGAATACGTTTAGGGGGAGAAGCCATTATCATCAGTGCAGACGCCAGAGGTGTTCTAAGAAGGAATGTAACTTGGTTTCCTGCATCAACCAAACAGAGCTTCGTTTCCGGGAATATTGTATAACTTCGACTTTGGAGTCGATCTATAAAGCTACCATCACACGGTTTCGTCGTAAATTCTTGCGGAGGACTTCGCCGTGCCCTAATCCGATTAGACCAGCCTCTCCACACTCTTCCGAAAGCCTGTGGTCGACGGGCGGATGGAGGCAGCTCTTCCCTACCTGTGGGAGAGTCGACCTCCCGTTCTTGGCACCTTATTCAGTTCTTAGTTGATTGGATTCGTGGAGATCCCGATACTTCGGCTTCTTTGTAAGATCCCGTTTGCGGGGTTGGACGCGCTGCCCGTGAGCGCTGTTGCATTAGTGGGCGGATGTCTTATCATGTGGGGCTGTGTTGGTGAAGTTGGCTGGACTTCAGTGGCGTTTCGGTGCACGAGCGCAGCTTAACTTGCTATCGCTGTATACAAGCCGATTGTCACAAGGGTATGAGGAACACTCGGCAAATAAGATGGGTACTCAGGTGACCATGAAACTCAGCCTGCCTAAATTCTTATCTAACAGAAGAGCACTTGGTGGGCTGTACATATGAGGTTGATGCCTCTCCTTGTCGCTGCTCTCATTCGAACCCTCGGTTGCATGCTTATGAACTTGCTTCAAAATGTCTTCGAGCCTGAGAATCGACTACGACTTCGGGCAGAGCCTCCTCTCTTCAATAGGCTTCCTAACACTCACCGGAACTCTCGCTATCATCTACCTGATTGTCAGTAGGACTGTTCATTGCAGTGCCCTTCATGGCTAACAGCACCATAGCATGAATCATATAGGAGTAACTTTCCCAGAGTGAAGGGGATTCCCGAGGTTTCAGGCGCTCTTCCTTTCATCGGACATCTCCATCTTCTTGGTGGACGGTCGGGGGAGAATGACGCCACAGTCTTCACAGAATGGTGCAAGAAGCTGAACTCACCTATTGTGCAATGTCGCCTGGGTGATCAGCGAACCATCATTGTATCCGACTTTGCCATCATCAAGGACTTGTGGGTTGGTCAATCGAATTCGATGATTCACAAGCCGCACCAGCCTGGTTTCGTCGACAAGCTAGGAGTTGACCTTACCGGATCACCTATGACTGAGCAGATACGCAAGTGCCGAGCGGCTGCCATGCGAGCGCTGGGCAAAATGAGCTGGCCCAAGTATTGGCATCACCTGGAGCCGTCATCCGCAAAACTGGTTAAGGATGTGTACACCAAGGGTCAAAACGGTCGTCTATCTATGGACACGTACGCGTACTTGAGAATGGTCGCGTTCGACCTTAGTCTGTCTCTCACCTACGGCGCTCGTTTCAATGAAGTTGACAATGATTTCATGATCAACTTCATCAAGGCTATCAATGATATTTCAGCAGTGCGATCCTCCACACAGACGTATCGTCATTTCGTCCCTCTACTCCGGGTTATTCCTGAGGCAACGTCTGAGACCATCGCTGCGGAAAGGCGCCGAGCGAAGCATGTTGACCAACTTTACAAGAGCTTCACCGACAGAGTAGCTGCGGGTGAGACAGTCGACTGTATAGTTGCTTCTCTCGGAGCCGACAAACTGACTGAGGAGGAGATTCATGGGACTTGTTTGTCTCTTCTGCAGGCTGCTCCTGATACTGTTGCTTCCGGCGTGTATCAAACCTTGGCCTGGCTCTCGAGTCCGGAAGGTCGACCGACACAGAAGAGAGCTTACGAAGCTATCCTCGATGCCTATGGGGGTGACCGTGACTTGGCATGGAAGATGGCCTTCCGTGAGGACAGGGTGCCCCTCATAACCAGCCTGAATAAAGAAACCCTCCGACAGTTCACTTTTACGCCATACGCTACACCGAGACGAACCAGCAAAGACATCAAGTACAAGGACTATTTCTTCCCCGAGGGAATCACCTTCATCATGAATGCCCAAGAGGCAAACCACGACTTGAAACAATTCGGCGAGGACGCCTGGCAGTACAACCCCGATCGGTACATGGGCAACAACGATCCTCTGCCACACCTCGCGTTTGGAGCTGGAGCTCGAATCTGCCCGGCAGTGGCTATCAGCAACCGCCTCATATCCGCGATCCTGACACGGATGATTCTTGCGTTTGACTTCACCGAACCTGAGGAGGGCGATGCACGGAAGCCCAGCATTGATCCCATAGACTTCTCTGACGTGTACAACCAATTGGTCGCTCATCCAAGGTTCTACGACGCCAAATTTACCGCCAGAGATAAGAGGTGGTTGGAGCATATCTGTTCGGAAGAGAAAGTATAAAGATTTGGGTCGTGGCAGCGATCCGACTCATAGCTTTCTGCTGCTAGAATTCGCCTGTATCTTCAAATAAACATCTGCTTTTAGTTGAATTCCATTAGCCGTCAATAACAGTTACTCTTTGAAGCTTGGGAACGTTCTCAGTCACCAAATCGCCGGGTTTTCAAGTATTCGATAAGTCACAAAACCAGTTGTGACATCTTGAGTGGCGCAAGTCATTTTCCCGAGTGTGCGTAGTTTTTGTTGTGCTGTTATCAAAGTTCGACTTAGCTGTGGTAACAGGAAATGCTACTTCAGCCCCTCATCTCACAGTTGGGCGCACAATGGAACTGCCATGTAAATGCAGATGACGATTCTCTTTGGGAGATGAATAAGAATAGCATCTTTTGTGCCAGAGATCCTATCACGAGCCCTGATGATTCCAATTTCGCCCAAGCCCCATCCTCCCACGACCTCATCGCCAGCAACATCCAGTGCAGTAAATTCACCACCAATCAATTACACCATAATGTATTACACGCTAGATCATATGCAGGATTTTGACCTCACCGAAATGGTGAACAGCACAACAGTTGTGAAATATCCCTACGGCTACATCCCCCATCGCGGAATCAACCTTACACTTCTCGCCGTCTATGCTATTCTGAGCATTGTATCTATCACTAGCATACTGCAATGTTTCAGCTCCAAACATGGAAAATGGATGATACGGACTGCCCTCGTCTCCGCCGCTGTATTCGCAGAGTTGGTAGCCTACGTCGAGCGAACAAGAAGCGTGGATCGACCACGGAATTTCAACGATTTCCTTATTCAACTCACGTTGTTGAACGTGGCCCCGGCGTTTTTAACTGCTGCGTAAGTCTTTACCATTGATAAATGTCCGACTGATAAGCCCGGGAGAAAGCTAATCGATATCATGGTACAGAATCTCAACGTCGATGTACCAACCTGTCAAAGCGATCGGCCCGTGGAATCTCAGGAAAAGGCCTAAGATCTGTCTGTTATTTGTCTTACTTGACCTATCGGCAATGGCATTCATCGTCTTTGGAAGCCTTACTGCATTCGATCGCGGGCCAAATGGAACGGGGGACCAGCAGCATGACATCGCCAACATGCACGAAGCCACCAGTCTCTTCCTACAATTCATAGTCGCCACAATGGTGTTCCAGATCACCTCTATTTGTGTATTCTTCGCACTCTTGATGTCCGTCGCCCACAAAGCGGTGCGACCGATGCCAAAAGACTTTGTGTTTGTCATGGTAGCAGCCGGACTTCTAGTGCTGATGCGGGCAATTGTTCGGCTGACCGAGGGCGGGCTATACACCAACGAGTGGATCTTTGTTGGCTTCGATTCGCTGCTTATGATATGCGCTTGTTCAGCGTTGATGGCAGGACATCCAATTTTGACCTGGAACGATAGCCTGGATATTGAGCTCTGACCAGGTGGAGGCGGCATATGATCTGACGAACGAGATTACGGCGCCTTCACCTACATATATCCCTCAGAACCACTCTCACGGATCTTCAATTGGTAACATAAGTGATGAAGAAGCTGCCCTAAGTAAAGATGAAAGTAGGGCGCCACGTGGGGAGCTGTAACCGTCGTTCTTTCAGCATTTAGCAATCGTTACGGATAGGGCATAAGACCATATTGATTTCAAAGGGATGATCAACATTTAGGGATCGATGCTAGCGAAACAAACTGAAACGCTGCGTTGAAGTGCATATTCAGCTGTCCAAATCTACTTCTCTTATCGAGCATATCTTGTACTTGTCTGCAGCCAATCTCCGTAAGACAAACGGTAGACGGACCGACTTAATGCTTAGTTTTCTCTTTACTGCTCAACAGAGCTATAGTACGAGTATGGTCAGATTTTCTTTGATGATGATGGGCCATTTAGAGTAATAGCTTAGCCCTGCGTACGGTGTTGGGTCTAGGAAGGCATCCAACCCCGGGCGGAGGTCGAGGGCGGGGTTTCCTATCCTAATCCATGAAACCAGGTTTTGTACGTGATAGGTATCCGTTCAGACAGAAATTAGTAGAGGAAACAGCGTGTGAGGTGTAGAGAAGAGGCTGGTTTGTCGTATTGACTCTAGGGATCTCAGCGCAAGTTGGACCGTGTTGGAAAACAAGGTCAATGTGAGGCAAGGAGTGTCGGAAGTGAAAGGTCCCGTTCATGACATTGCTTATCTGCTTCCCTTTCGGAGACCATTCCGCGATAAAAGAAGGAAGCAAGGGCTACTTTATACCTGCGTAAAGGTGGAAAAACGAAGCGACTGGTGCATTTTAGTAGTTGTAATGTTAGAAGCGCCTTCGGTAAGGCTTGGTTGGCGGTCGCGGGGCGGAGCTGAATTATCAGGAAACCATAATCCCAGTCGCTCTCAGACCAGTCACCGCGATCCAAGGAAGGACAACAAACAAACTACAGCTCTGCTCAAATGTTTTGTCAGAAAAGTCGCGGCAGGTGACGCGGAGGTTTATTCTTAGAACAAGCAAAGCGTGACGTTTAGCTCCTTCAAAAACAGTACTTAAGTAGTTGCGATTCCAAGCACCAAGGCATATTCTCATTTCATAATTAATCATTAGCTAGACTAGTGCCTCAATTATCGAACCGCAATACATACGTTGTTCCACCACCTTTAACGATGCACCTTTCAACTCTATATCTTCTCGCAACGACCTGTCTGGCCTCGCCTGTCGTGTTGGATCCTGAGGGCGCGACTGTGACCGTCTCGCTTGAGATTTCGGAGAATTTCTTCCAGATCTTTCAGGCCAGGCTTGCAGCTCTGACAACGGTTGAGCGGAATGGTCTGTCCGTAGCAATTTTCGGCACCAACGGCATAGTGAATCCCCAGCTTCTCAGATGTGAGACTTTCGACGCTGAAGGTCTATCTTTCGGTAAACGAAATAGCTTTACTATATCCTCAAGATCAGGAATCTCCTCCAGAGATGGGACCACAGGGGCCTTTATCGGCACACTCATCTGCAACCTCGGCGCAGTTTAGGGTCACATATAGTTCTGCCTTCAAGTTTCGCCAAACACAAGGCAACGGCAACGGTGCGTTGAAATTTAAGTCACTGGGGCTATTGTCAACGAAGTAGAAGACGGTCAAAAGTTATTGCGCTGGAGAGGATGTGCACCAATATGTTTGAGCTACAGCAAGTTCCTTATGAAGATTGGTGCAAAGCCAATAAAATCCATGTGATGAATCCTATCACGGCCACGAGATCGTAATGTAAGGTGTCTTCTGTAAAAACTTGGCGTTCCATCAGAATTCTGAGTGTTTAAACTCACACATGAAGTCGAAACAACGCTCTGCGTTATTGCTTTGTACTAACGACGGACCCCATCGAATCAATGCAGCTCATGAACCATGTCCGTTCACCTTACGGTCATTGTCAAGTTTGATGCTAATTAATCTTGATATGGTTACAGCCAGCCAATATAGTTTCGGTGACTTATCACATTCTAAGTAGAATAGGCACAATACCACAACCGAGCAAGACTGCTGCAATCGTCCGGGCTCCGTTGTAACGTTTACGATGCCCAGGACTAAAACTGCCAAAGTTGGTAATGTCAATGTGCCAAGGGCCGTGCAGCTACTATCCACTGATGAGAAAAGTGAGTGCAGGCGGCTCGCATAGCATCGACGTCGTCAGCTCCTGCTCATCAAGACCCTCCAGTTGCTATTTTCACCGTGCCCCAACCTCCAGCAGCAAGAGCTTTACCTTTATTAGTCACTATCATGCCTACGGCTATATAATTTCCATGGCAATGGGTCCAATGATGCTGGCGTGGATGAGGCTGCTAGATATCTTGCTGGAGAGCCAAAGGAAAGTGAAGAACGAGATCAAAATCAAGATAGACACCACTGGTGACCATAAGTGCATGTATATACCTGGTGTAGGGACGGCGCTGGGTTTGGATTTGGATGATTATGTGGCAGCACTTACTTCCAGGCTCACGGTACTGCAAAAGCCGCCAGCCATTGCTCTCGAACTAGGTGACGCAGTCAAGCAAAGTAGTGTTCCACGGCACCTGCGAGCAGCTTGGTCACTGACACGGTGCTATTCAGCTACTGATCGGATTGTGTGGCAAGCGGATCAATGCGGTGAGGCGAAACCGCGTCGATGTTCATGTTATCAACTCACACATAGAGACGTAATATTGATCAAGAAATAATAACACATTTTGATCAGTTGAGTCGTATGTCGTCATGTCAGCTTTTCACTCAATGAATGGGGCGCTTAGCGGTCACTAGTTGGGATCAAAGGTAGCCACAGCGAGAGCGAATAACTGGGTTCAATGCAATTGTGAAACTTCCTATGTGGGCACATTTTACCCGAGGGTTGCTATTGTTCCCATGTCAGGACATCTCAAGGCAGACAAGCAAACTCATGTGTTGAGACGTAAAGAACTTTCCGTGCTTTTGGCTGCCCAAGCCCAATCTGCCTGCCTGGGCAGACTGCGGAACGGTTAGCTTGGGGTTACCAACAATTGACACACTTTAAATCGGCTTAGCTGTTTGGCTGTCGCCACATTATGGTCAGATGCATCTACAATGATTGAATCGAAACACTTTCCGATCTTACAATTTGTTGTCTAAATGAACACAGAAGTATTGTACATACATGGCTTGGATTATGGCCATTTGGTGATTCGCCTGCTGGATTATGCCGTATCATTCTCCTAGTCGCGGATGCCATCTGCTCTTTACCTAGCTGCGAGCTATCATACGTCCCATTGAATGAAAGGAATCTTCTGGTTCGCGACAGGGAGAGAGTCGGGGAATCCAAAGGGAAGAAAAATCTATACAGCCGTATTGGTAAACAAGTCCATAAGGTCCTTGGCCCCTTCTCCAGGATCTCATCGAGCTTTTTCGAGAATGGCGACAAAGCTGTCTGTATCGTCGTCCCTCGGCTTGCCACCGTCGCGGTCCTCAAACGTAGGGAGGGCGGCCTGGTTGAATACGGGTCTGAAGAAGCGGTTGTATGCCAGGAAGGTTTGCGAGTTGTTGGGAACCGCATTGACAGGCGGCGGGATGTAGACGCTATGGCGCTTGATCTCGACGGCGTCGGTCATGATAGGCTGCACGCCATAGAACTGATAGATGAGGTTGAGGGCCGGAATCGAAAGACCATGCACTACAATGGAAAAGAGCACAAGCCAATAGACCACTATTGTTAACCCAACAGTCAGCACGCGTGAACAAATGTAGGTCTCAACAGAACAGGGCGCGAGATGGATGGAACAGAGTGCTCACCCGGACCGATAGCACGGATCAAATTGGTTTCCCCAGCATCGCCCTCGCCGATCTCCGGGAAGAGATGGCGGGTGTGCTCGAGGTAGAAGACGGCGCCGGCACCGATAGGGCCAAAGTACCCCATGAAGAGCGCCTCTTTGATGTTGCGACACACCTTTGGCATGCACTTGTAGAACATCAGTATGGCCGGGATCCGCCGCAGCACAAGCACCAGGAAGCCAAGCGCAAACAGCCGCGGATATGTAATACCCGTCAACTCCGGTTGGTGAAACTCGCTCCAAGGCAGAATGGTGCCGATGTACATAAAGCCGCCAAAGTTGAGCAACACATCGACGCACGAATTGACCTCATCGTGTCGTTTCTCCATCTCCTCAAGAAACTCGCCATCCCAGTTGAGCCCGTTACCAGCCACGAAGCATGCGAGGAGATCGTCTGTGCCCAGAGACCCGCAGGTCCCGACGAGGAAGAGCTGTTACAGATATGGGGTGAGTGTCGGACGCGCGGGAATCTGTGGACAGATGTTATCACTTACACCCATGGCGGTTGGTAATAGAATATAGGACTCGGAGTCGATCCACTTCTTGCGCAAGCAAAACTTCGCAATCTTTCCGCCACCCCAGCCGACCAAGGCGCCGTAAGCGATGGACATCAGGACAATATATAGCCATGTCTCGACCGCCCAGTTGCCAAGGGCGACGCCAACACCACCACCGAGTCTCCCAACCTCGTTGCTCCGCCGTTCCAGGCCGTCATGCGACGTGACTTCAGGGCCAAGTTCGGAATGACGCATCAGATAGACAGCCAGCATCAGGAACGGGAACCCGAACCCGTCATTAGCGCCAGCCTCGGAGGAGATAATCTCACGCAGGTCACGCGCTACGTACTTATCAGCAAATGGGCCCTTTGCGATGGCCTGTGAGAGGATAGGATCTGTGCAGGTGACGCAGGAGCCGATGACAAGAGCCGCAAGAAGCGTCAGGTTTGGGATGGTGGCCATGATACAGGCGGTCGTGCAGAGCCACATAACGGTCATTATGGGAATCAGGCAGAGCAACATGTCCTTCCAGCGTGTCATTTGATATTTCGCAGGGAGTTGGAATCCTGCGATAACCAGCTGTAAGCCGATCATCACGCGTGTGACGCCCAACGTAATCGCATCCTTTTGGTCGGGCACAGCCGAGCCCCAGCGCTCAGCGTCAATGAACCGCGCAGCCAGGGGCCCAAGGATGACGCCGAACAGTACGGCAGGCACTAGTAACGAATTGAGCGTTGATAAGATAATGTGCTAAGCGGATTGGTTGCACGATATAGGAGGCACTCACATGCTTCGCCTAAGAACCATACTTGTTTGATTTTCACTGATATGAATCCATAGAGGATGATAAAAGCGCCTGGTGTAGTATCAGCTACCAAACAAGCGTGACAGGAAGTGGCAAATCCAAATGCCAGAAGGATGAATACCTACCAAGTATTGAAATCACAATGTTCAATTCACTCACATCGAGGGAAGGCATGGTAGGGAGATGTGATAGGAAATACAGCTAGAAAGAAGGTAGAAGAAATGAAAGACGACGAAAGGAAGGGTGGTAAATAGAAAGACAAGAAAATCCCCGATAGTTAGACTCTTGACCAGCAAGACAGGCAAAGGAAATTGTCAAGAACGATCCAAGTTGAAAGGAGATAGGGCACACCTTTAAGCCCAGGAAATTGGGAATAGTTCTAATATCTATGGTATCAGCAGTAGCACGAGTGGTAGTGACGGAAGTGTTCGGTTCAAGCACCTGGCAGCCAGAAGGGCGGCCTCAGATGGGCTCGAGGCAATCATGTATCATCGGCACATCCAAATTAGTTTTCAACCAGGAAAGTACTTTTAGGGAGGCAAACAGCAAAGCCGCCGGGCTATGGCTTGATAGGCCAGCAATGCACAATTCCTGCCAGCGAACCCGTTGATCTACTCTCGAGCTTCCCTAGATCGTCCACTCTAGAGATTAGGATCCCCGACTCGGGCACGCTATTACGCCTTGTTGTCGGCTTCTTCCAAGAGTACTCCGCCGAAAAGACCATGGACTCACTCCGCTCTCTCAGCTCTCCCACTGCCACAGTTGTCCGGGCTGGGGAGTCCCAGGTCATTCCATCAGCTAACATTGTGCCTGGTGATATTGTCGAGGTAAAAATGGGAGATACGATCCCTGCCGATATAAGGTACGTGCCACCGCGCCGTTCTCAGCAGTGCTTACTGACAGTAAGAAGGCTGGTGGATGCGAAAAACTTTGAGACGGACGAAGCCCTCTTAACTGGCGAGTCCTTACCAGTGCGCAAGTCCCAGCACCTGGTTTTTGACGAGAAAACTGGGCCCGGTGACCGTCTCAACGTCGCCTATAGTAGCTCGACCGTCACAAAAGGGCGAGCTAGGGGAATCGTCTTTGCCACTGGGCAGTTCACCGAGATCGGTGCCATCGCCTCAGCACTGAACCAGAAGGAGTCGAAAGTGCGGCCTGTAAAGCGCAAGCCCGATGGGCATGCCGGCCCACACCGTTACCTCGAGGCGTACACATTAACCTTGGGTGACGTTATTGGTCGCTTCCTCGGCGTGAACGTTGGTACACCCCTCCAGCGTAAGCTCAGTAAACTGGCCATGTTGCTTTTTGCCATTGCTATCGTATGCGCTATTATCGTGCTGGGGGCCAACAAATTCAATTCCCGTCAAGAAGTTATTATCTACGCTGTGGCTACTGGGCTCTCCATGATTCCGGCCAGCTTGGTCGTCGTCCTGACGATTACCATGGCCGCGGGAACAAAACGAATGGTACAGAGACACGTCGTGGTTCGCAACCTGAAGTCTCTCGAGGCACTCGGAGCTGTAACAGATATTTGTAGCGACAAGACTGGTACCCTGACGCAGGGGAAGATGGTTACACGTGCTGCGTGGGTGCCAGGAATGGGAACATACACCGTTGGGTCGTCCGAAGAGCCTTTCAATCCGACTCTTGGGTCAATAACCTTTGACTCCCGCAAACCAACCGATATTGACTTCAAAAAGACACGGGATGGTACATCCGGCGGCACCACAGTTCATGCCGAGAAACTTATGCAAGATAGCACTATCCGCCTCCAGGATTTCTTGTTGGTTGCCTCTCTCGCCAACCTTGCGACAGTCCATGAGAGCAGTGGAACTTGGCATGCCCGCGGGGATCCCACTGAGATCGCCATCCAGGTCTTTGCAAGCCGCTTCTCGCGCAATCGACTCAACTTGGTCGGCGAGAAGATGGAATGGTCCGACGTGGCTGAGCTCCCATTCGACAGCGACGTCAAGCGTATGAGCGTCATCATGAAGAACACCAGCACTGGGAAAAACTGGGCGTTCACGAAGGGTGCTGTCGAACGTGTCATTGGAGCCTGCACGAGGTACTGCTTCCGCGATGTCGAGGATGAGAGCGCATATCACGAGATGACAGATGATTACCGCGAGGAGATTCTCCGCAACATGGAGAGCCTAGCCAGCATGGGCCTGCGCGTGCTGGCGCTGGCTAGCCGCCAGGTCGATCTCCATATCGAGCCCGGGGCCGACGTCGACCGCGCGCAAGTCGAGAAGGACCTGACGTTCCGCGGTCTCGTCGGACTATACGATCCACCGCGCGCTGAGTCGGCACCTGCGGTCCGCAGCTGCCACGAAGCCGGTATCTCTGTACATATGCTCACTGGCGACCACCCAGAAACAGCGAAGGCTATTGCTGTTGAAGTGGGTATCCTGCCGTCGCGCATGGAGCAGGTCAGTGCGGACGTGGCAGCGGCTATGGTTATGACGGCAAGTGCATTCGACGCCTTGTCAGAAGATGAGATCGATGCATTGCCCGTACTTCCGCTGGTTATCGCACGCTGCGCTCCGAGTACGAAGGTCCGCATGATTGAAGCGCTTCACCGACGCGGTAAATTCTGTGCCATGGTAAGTACTCGCTCTCCCTCGCACTTGGTATGTTTCGTGGACTGAGAAATACAGACTGGTGACGGCGTGAACGACTCCCCCTCCCTGCGCCGTGCTGACGTGGGTATTGCGATGGGCGAGTCGGGGTCTGACGTAGCCAAAGACGCCTCAGATATTGTTTTGATGGACGACAACTTTGCCTCGATCGTTGCCGCTATAGAGGAGGGCCGTCGTATATTCGATAATATCCAGAAATTTGTGCTCCACGTCCTGGCTGAAAATATCGCCCAGGCAGGCACCCTATTGATTGGCCTTGTATTCAAGGACGGTAGTGGCCTGTCAGTCTTCCCCTTGGCACCTGTGGAAATTATTTGGATCATTATGGTCACCTCAGGTATGCCAGATATGGGTCTTGGGTTTGAACGGGCCGTTCCTGGCATAATGAAACGGCCCCCACAAAGTCTTAAGACTGGTATTTTTACACCCGAATTCCTCGTCGATATGGTGGTATATGGACTTTGGATTACCGCCTTGTGTCTCGCTACCTTTTCGTTGGTGGTATTTGGGTTTGGGGACGGCGACCTTGGTATAAACTGCAACGAATCATACTCGAAAAGTTGTAATACCGTCTTCCGCGCCCGTGCGACAACGTTTGCGACGTTAACTTGGTTTGCTCTTTTCCTGGCTTGGGAAATGATTGATATGCGTCGATCGTTCTTCCGCATGCAACCTGGCAGTAAGAGGTATTTTACCCAATGGATATTCGATATTTGGCGGAACAAATTCCTGTTCTGGGCCATCGTCTTTGGTTTCGTCACACTTTTCCCTACGCTCTATATCCCGGTCCTGAACCACGCCGTGTTTAAGCACACAGGTATTAGTTGGGAGTGGGGTATTGTGTTCATCGCTGCAGGTCTCTTCTTTACCGGTGTAGAGAGCTGGAAATGGGCAAAACGAATCTACTTCCGCCGCCAGGCCAAGAAGTCACATGGAAATTCTTGGAAGGACCTAGACATCGAGGAGCGTGTCTTTGGTGACTACCTGACGGGCAGTGATTCGCAAAGCAGTGGCGAGGAAAAGGCGTCTCCGGCGCAGGCCCACGGCGTGGAATGACTACGAAGGGGCGCGAAGCCCCGGACGGAAGTCAAATATGCAGGTGCATCTCGCAGTGGTGATCACCATAGCTGTCAACCCGTGCTTACTCGTCGAATATACTGTAAAATCAGTTTTAACAGTTGGAACCTGAAGGCCTTGGGAAAGGCTTTCACGGATTTTGGGGTGATAGTGACCATTTGCTACTTACGGAGAGTGGTGATGAAGACTGGGCTCTATTCAACATACGATGCCCTTGTTTCTGGAGATACGAGTGCTAAGGTATTAACCTTTTGTGCGTCAAATCTCTGCGTGAAAATGGCTACGGTAGATAGTGTTATGAATACGTTCGTTCAGGAAGATTCGAGATTAATACACATTCGTTGTGCTGCGGAACGCAAAGACCTTGGACCCATAATATGCCTTCTTGGCCTAATAATCGATGAATGTCAAGATGGATATGTTGTAGATGACACTGATATTGACGAGCCTTGAAATCCTCTAACACAAAGGCAGGTGTCGCAGAAACGTGTCTCGGAGTTCAGTACCTTTCTCGTAGGCCCTGAGAGCTATGGAATCTTAAGTGCCTATTTAATCTCAAGTTGTCGATAAAAATCCAGCTAATAGTGAAGGATTTCGTGCTTGAGGATCAGCCAGTCCGACTAGCAGGGACTGGCGGATCTTTGACTAAGTAAACACCTATGTTGCGAGCAGCTGCAACAAATATTACGGCATATTATGGGCAGCTTTGTCCGGCTTTAAGAATGGAAATCTTCAACCAGCAAGTGTTCAAGTGACTCAAGCTACTTCATATCCCAGAGTCAGTCCTTTCTCTTTCTCCAATACAGTTATGCGACTGATGCTATCATCATCGTACAGGATTCCTGTGGATCAAGGCGACAATTACTGCTGTGGTATTCGTCAAGAGCGAGCCCGAAATAAAAAGGGAATCATCCTGAAGTCAACAAATGCTTTCGCGTTTTTGGAGCAGGAACTAATTGCAGCTGAAGCAGACTAAACATTTCAACGTCTTGTGCGAACAATGTGGGTAAACACTCTATGATAGCTCAAGGGCATATATTTAGAACCTCGTCAACTCGTCGCACAAGCTATCCCGTGGATGAAATTCGAGTGTCGGCCCATCATGACTTGCCGCAAATACATCGTATATCGGGAACTCGTTTTCCGTAGCCAGTCCCTGTGTAACTCTAGAAATTCCGCTGCCCAAGTCCTTTTTGCATACGGATGATGTCCTTTGAAAGTTAAAGTACCACAAGGTCTTTGCTAGCACGAGACTGATCTCTAAATACGCCATAGTCTTCCCGGCACATCCGCGAGAGCCAATCGAGAACGGTGTAAACGCAGCTTGCGCAGCGGCTCTGCTGGACTTTGTCCCCACCAACCACTTTTCGGGTTGGAACTCGAACGGGTCGGGGAAGTACTCCTCGTTGTGGTGGAGGCTGTAGATGCTCACGCCAACCTGGGTGCCAGAGGGGATGACGTGGTCGTCTATGACTAATGGTTTGTCCTTGATACCGGGCGTGGCCTCACGCCACAGAATCCCGGGAACTGGCGGAGACATACGCAACGCCTCATCAATACAGGCACGGAGGTATCGGCAGCCTGAAAGTCGTGATCCACCAGATATTTCTCGCCCTGATCTGAAGGTGGTGCGGATCTCTGTTGCGAGTTTCTCGTAGCATGATGAATTACGCGACAGATAAAAGAATGCCGCAGCTAGGCTTGATGCAATCGTTTCGCCTCCTGCAAACAATGATATGTGCTCAGCATTATGACAACTTCACAGGGAAGTAAAGATACCTACCTGCCGCAAAGAAAAAGACTGCCTCAGTCCAAAGGCTCTGCTGCTTAAGGTTTTTGATATCAAGGTCTGACTGGTCTGTGAAAACCGACAGTAGATCATGTTTGGCGTCTGATGGGTGAGACAGCCGAGATCCTATCATCTTAGCCAACGTACCCATAAGCCGAGCCCTCAAGCTGTTAGGGAATAGGTCCATGATGGGCCCAGGCTTGAGCCGCGCCAGTGGCGTGAATTGCATACACGTGTTTACTCGGTAGTTGCCGAAATTGATAGCGTCAGTCAAAAATATGTGCGTGTTGTCCGTCTGCAGTTCAAGGTCATAACCAAAGCCGAGAAGCCCAGCGATGTTCAGGCCCAGTTTCCGACAAGCGGGGGTCATATTGATTGGGCTTGAGTCTGATTGCAGGAGTCGTCCTAGGAAGACATCGATTTGCTCCGCCATGGTTGACTCGAATCTTCTCATCGAATGATCCGAGAGGACCTGGCTGATGAGTTTCCTCTTGGGTCGGTGCTCGCTCTTGTCAGTCGTCGTGAAGATATTATGCTGATCCGGTTGCGCGACCGCATAGACGTAGGACTTGGCAATGGCCTCATTTTGGTAGATTGCTGCTCTCATTAGTATGTGGATGCCAAATTATTATACCGTGCACACTCACCTTGCAAAGCTGTGGCCGAATTGAAAACAAGTCGATCAGGGCCTTGTCTTACCACCGGTCCTTTCCCATGGTTTAGCATCAGTAAACCCAACGCTTGATGTTATTTACCATATTTGAGATGGTTTTTGTAGGCCTGCAGATGCAGGCATTTCTTAATGGCATAAAACCCTCCATATGCTTCTGAAAGACCCGCAACGAAAGGGCCTGGAAACTTCCGAAGCGGGTGCAGCAGGACACGAAAGCTGAAGGTAAAAGCGTACTTAATCCCTCAAGTCAGCAAGGAGAACTGGATGTTGGCATTATTGTTGCTTACAAAAAGAGCTGTCGCTATGAAAACATACGTAATGAGCGAGTTCAGGATTGCCATTGTTCAGAGAAGCTGACAGCAATGGATACAGAGGGAATATCCAAGATATCACAAGGTGTAGTGACAGAAGGAATGTAAAGTATGGGGTAAGACATCGATATTTGTCTCTTGGAAAGTACTTATCTACCTCTATCTGTAAGCATGGCGTGTTGGTTGCATGTGCCACACAACTGCATACCGTATTACAGCGCCATCGCTTACCTTCCATGCCAAGGCATATAAACAGAAACAATACAATGGAGCGGGCCCGACGTAGTATGAACTGCTAGAAAATGCATCCGACATTCCGCCAAAATGCCAACAGCACTAGCCCCTCCTATTGGTAAACAACACTGGTAGCCTGCCCACTTCTGATATGTTCATTTCAGCTTACCCCCTCATACTGTGATTAAAGCACAGAAATTCGTATGCTGGTGTGTCGCCTACAACCCGGCTACTCGGAACAGGCCACACTCCTCACTATGCAAGTTCGTACGAGTAATGTATGCGGAACCCAGTTATATCAAGTATAATCCGGGTGAAACATGCAAAAACCCAAGTGACACAGCGTAACTTAAGCTCCAGGGCCTAGATCATCTACGACATCTGCTGATGTGATCTCCCACCCTACACAACCCGCCCGCCATGTTCAGTTTGGCGCACCAAAAGCAGGACATCACTTGGCCCTAACACAGAAATGTTTTGGTAAGTACCTAAAGTATGTACAGAGTAACATCCCCAAACGAAGACCTACACACTGTCGGCATTCTCTCAATTTATCAACGCCACTTTTCCGCCAGGAGACGGGACTCGAGCGAATCCAGAATCGGCTCAACTCCCTGAGTCTTTCTCTGTGCCCCTGCCTCTTTCGTGTCCGGGTGGATCCTACTGACCACTCCCATCACTATCGAACGTGATGGGGGGCTATGCTTTCTCTCTCTCTCTCCAATAAGTACAATCGGCTGCCAAATATCAGTCCTTCGCGAGGTATCACCTACGCTAAGTAAAAAAAAACCCAACACCGCTAAACCATGCGACAGTGCATCCCTCTGCGCTCGCGCTCACTTGCCAACTTCCTCCTCCCTGCGTCACCTCGAGAATCGTAGGCTTCGTACTTAAGAGTGCAGTGACGATGTAAAAGTCGTCCTGTAGATACGTGCAAACCATCATGTGTTGCCGGAACGCCCGGCGGAACAAACCAAACGTTAATCCGAATAATAGGTAGGAGGAGACTAGTGGCCCGACCGTATGAGTAATATCATAGTCAAGGCGCATATATTTCTCGTCAATAAGCCAAGCCAGAGTTGGTAGTCGACCCAATGGCTTATTTCTCAGGTTTAAGCACAGCCGCTGGCTAGCCGTGAATAATTTTGTGGCAGAGAAGGCACGGGATTGGGACCGTCCACGAGCTCTCTCCACCAGTGACATCGTGACGGAGGTCTGTGACATTTATGACGGGCGGGTTGGCATTGGCATCCACCGTACCCTCGAAAAGCCCGAGGTAGGGCTTGCTATTTTCCGCGGAATCGGTGGCTTCTGACTTCCTCGGCCGGCCTCTCTTCCGTGGCTCGAGGTTAGTCGAAGCCACTGGAATCGACCCAAGGTCAGCCTCATTGTCATCGTTCGCGCTCGCGCCGTTTTCGACGTCAGCCAGCCTAATGGTCTTCTCCTCCGGCTTGACATCGATCGACTGCTGTGCCGTCTGTGCGGCACCAGACTCACTTGGGCTTAGAGGGCGTTTCGGTCCGTCGTGGTCGTCTTCCTCGCGCTTCACGGGGGAGCTTCTGTGGGGTTTGTCGGAACCTAGGCGTTTATAAGTCTCCATCAGCGCCTCGTGCACTAGACAGTCGTCGTGAAGCCACTTCTTGCACTGTTCGTTTGTGCAGCCCAGGAGGGTCTTATCTGGATTTTCGGGTTGGCCACACTTGCAGCGCCGCTCGGCAGACTATGGTGGATGGTTAGCGATTTATAGCCAGGCATACAAGCCAACCTCCTCTCCATCCAAGACAGGCAAACCTACCGAAAGTTCCATGGTGCGAACATCAATAGCCTGGCGCCAGTAAAGCGCCTGTTGCACTTCGTCCTCGTTTGTCTCATCCCACTGGTTCACTATCGCGGGTGCCGTGACGCTCACGACGTTAATCACGTCCACTTGAAATTGCTGTTAGCTCGGACACGGAAGGGATATGGCGTCGCGGAACTCACTGTGATTCGAGGCGATAAGCTCATTCATGCCGTGATATGATTGTCTGCCGCCCACAAACTTGCTGCCGTCGCGCGTGTGATCGGGCAGCTCATCAGGCCAATACATCCAGTACACTCGAGCATAGACGTGGTGCTCGTCGCTGGCTCGGATCTCGAGGATGCGCGCAACCCAGTCCTCCTCGGACTTCTTCCTAGGTTGCATCTGCTCTGAGGGGTTGCGCGGCCTCTCGATAGTGGAGTTGTTGGCGACGAAGATGAAGCCTTCACTGAAGTATTTCAGGCCATTGACTGGACGTCACGCGTTAGTTACTGGCTGGGGGGTTAAGAGCTAGGCCGGGGGCGGGAGCTGGACATACGGACGAAGCTGTTGTATCTGGTCATCTCCACCCATCTTGCGTTTGGCTGAACCAGGAAATGCCTGTCCATGTTGTTGGCCGGGTCTTTGAACTGCCCATTCGGCGCAAAGGGCGACACCTGCAGCGGCATCTTGGGCGACGGGGCGGGCGAGTCTTCGGAGCCATTGCGCCTGCGCTTCTTGGGCTTCTTCTCCTTGTCGTTGGAGCTCGGGTGCTCAACCCTGAAGGGGCACTCTGCTTGGCTCTCCTCGGTGACGTCGGCCCTCGGTCGCTTGCGCGCGGTCGCCATGATGGCTGGTGCTGCTGCTGCTGCGTTGGTGGCGGCGGAAGCGGAGGAGCTGGAGACTGGTATGTCGCGACAGCTCCTGTGAGCGAGGGGGCCGGCGGTGACGGAGCCCCGTGGACTGGCACGTGTCCGTACGTATGTAGGTCAGGGCACGGGCTTGCGTCGTGGTCCGAAGGTGGAGAGAGTGTGTATGTGTGCTGCAAAGATGCGGGCAGGAGCTCGCACCGCGTCGCAATGTTGGCGCGGGGGCGACGGCACGAGGCGACAGCTAACCACGAGCAAATTCGCCAAACCCAAGAGCAGGCAAGAATATATCCAAGCCTGGTCGATGCGGCAATGCCTGGTGCGACAGGTGGCCACGACGAACGCGGGATGGGCGTCGGCCGTTGGGGGTGGATGGGATGGGGTGAGATGAGGTTGCGATTTGGGGGTTTGCGGGACGTGTGGACGTGCGTGCCCCGGCCGCTGTGATGGTGGTGCGCTGTGCCCGCGGTGCCGTGGTGCTGCGGTGCGGTGCGGTGCAGTGCAGCTGGTGCGCTGGGGGAGCGCTGGGGCCTGGGGACTGCGGACTAGGTAGGGACCGAAGCAGATCGAAATCGCAACCTAGGGCCTCAGAATTCGGTGGCGGGGGACTCGGAATGGGACAGCGAAAGCGAGCGAAAGAATGTGTGCAGGCGGGAACAACAGCTAGCTACCAACTACCTGCGCATGAACATCCGACGGCAGTCATTAGCGAGGCCACCAGCCCACCAACCAGTCAACTCAGACCCAGATCAATCTTGGGCTCGAGGAAATGACCAACGCCTGACTATCTAACTGGATTTTTTTTTTCAATGGCAACGCCAGAGCAGACGACCAATGCCTCAGGACGGGGGAGCGACGACGACCTTTTCGACGCGGTGACAATGCGACACGGCCGGCAATTCGCGGCGAGGCAGGATTGGCTGGTTACCGCAACCAGCATGTACTGGGCCTGGCTGTCCGTCCGTCAAGCCGTCAAGTCCGAGGAGGGGTGGAAGCGCGGGATAGAAACCAATATAGGTTATAAAAAGTTATAATGAACTCCTCGGCCTATGGGTCCCGATCGCGCAAAGTTTGGACACATCAGCCACTCTCTTTGCGTTGGTGTGTTGGCTGCGGAGCTTGGTCCTTGGCCGTTGTGGTGTTGCTGTGAGCCTCGGGGGGGCCCACACGGCGCCAAGTTTCCAACCACCCTGCCACTGAAAGTCCGCTTACACGGTACCTAGGCAGGCTAGGTAGAAAGATGGCGAGCCTAAACCTGTCTTGGGCCCCCTAGCCTGTCTAGTGCAGCCACCAAGGATCGTCGCGAATACTTTTGCCTATTTTTACATAGTATTATTTATGACTTACATAATGATAGCAAAAGGAAGAAAGGGGCAATTGAGTGCTACTTGGCCGAGTTTTCAAAGGGCGTCGTGATATACGCAGCTACGTAGCCCTCATCCCAGCTTTGGCTGCCGCAGTGGCCAAATCGCAGAGAAGCAAGTTGTGTGATCCATTTCCGTCGCATGCCAGGCACATAGTACTGTGCGGATGGAGTGAGTACACGAGACCTGCATGCATCCTGCTTGACTTTAGCCCCCAGTGATATGATGGACAGATCTGAATTCGAAATGATTTGCATGCATACCCGCCAACTCGCCAAGGTTTACGCGCCCGTGGTTACCTGACAGTTTTCCTAGAATTTATCATCCCATGCTAACGGTTGGTAACGCAAGATACACACACGGATATTGGGGGCGAGGAGCTGTCTGGTGGTGACAGATACAACCCACCCAACCAACCCCAACAGGACCAGCAAACGCCGCCGCTATGCTGAGAAAAGAAGGCACACCTTGCTTGAAACCCCCACAAACATAACATGTTATCCCGCTACTCGCCTCTCCTGGCCTCGTCCTCGTCATACCCAGCCAGCATTCCTTGACGCTCGTCGGCGGCCTGGGCGTCCCCTGATGAGATGTCTTCTCGGCTCTTGAATCCCTCGATCACCAGTGCCAGCTTCTCGCCTTCGCGTTTCCCGCGTTCCACGTTGACGAAATAGATTAAAGGCGCAGGCAGACCTACCAAGGCCGCAAGGAACCAGAATGCCGGACGGATTTCCCCGGATGCATCAATGATCGCACCCACAATCGCCGGTCCGAAGACGCTCGACCCCTTATCCGTAATAGCATACAGCGCATAGAACGCCGCTTCAGAGCCCGGTGGGATGAGTTCGCCGTACAGTGATCTGCAGTATGAACTTAGACCACCTAGTACGAACCCGTACACGGCGGCCAAGGGGTACATCTCCCATGGAGCCTGTAAACCAATGACACCCCACCGCTGCACAAAGGGTAGGTAGCCGAGAAGGCCGTAGATGGGTATCAGTTCGAAAAGCGCGATGCACGCTAGAATCGTCTGGTGAGGTTGGAGCTTTAGCCGCCTTGAGATAAAGGACCAACTGAAGGCACCCATGACACCAGTTGTTGTAGAGATGACGTTGATCAGACCCAAGGCCCAGGGCCTCATGCCAAGAGTAGTCTTTGCAAATAGGATTGCGGTCGATGACGTGGTCGCGATAGCATCGGAGAGCAAAAACCAGCCGGCGAGGAAAAGCACAATGTCGAGCAATCGCCTGGCAAGCTTCACAGTCCGGTACAGGTTCTTCCAGGCGTACCATATATAAGCCAGCCATGCCCATCGTCCCTTCTCCTTGTTTTCTGGCAGAGGAGGGCCAGGCCTTGGCCGTAGCCACATGGCAGCAGGAATGGTGAAAACCGTCCACCAGGAGCCGACGAACAGGAGCACAACTCGCTGGGACCACGTTGAGCTTCCCATGGCCACCAGAATCATGATGGAGATGCACTGCACAAAGAGTGCAGCGCCATAGCCGATGCCTATCCCCTTGGCCGAGATTTCGGTGGACAGTTGCAACTCGATCGAAGTTAGCTCTGCCTTTGTAGGGGTCCTCGTCAGCTCGTGAAATTCTGAGCTTGTATCAGCCGAAGCACGCACCGCAGCGGTAGATCCACTCAGGGGACGCTCCGTGTCGACTGAAGAAGCGTCCTCGCGTTGCGAATCGACATCCGTCTCCGAGGGCAGTAAGCCATCGGCGTACTGTACTCGCGGATGGTGGCGAACGAGGAGCGGGAGGAAGGAGTTGAGAAGAACGAAGGATGCGCCGAACGATGTGTTTGATATTATAGCCAGCAGAGCCCCGAGAACATATATCTCCTTGAAGATGAAGATGTAGCACATGACACATACGCCCCCAACCCAGCCGAACGTTAGGAGCAATCGCTTTCTGTAGTTGCCATGGTCGGCCGCGCAGCTGATACTGACGACGAGAAGGGCCTGCAGAAGCACGCTGATGGAGAAGGTATACATGGCAAAGCTTGCCGTGTTGATGTCTAGCCCCAGGATCTGGACGATGCACTGCCCGTCCTCGCCTTTGGGCCGTTTCGCCGAGCTGTCGCTAGAGGGACATGGTGTAGTTCGATCGGATAGCAGAACGCCATTTTCTCGAGCAAGACTTTCGAGGAGGATCGGGATGAACGACGCTATGAACGGTAAGTGGTGAGCCGTCGTGGTCAGACTAACATAGGTAGGAGTGTGCTCGCAGAGGCGGCAGCTATAGCTATAGCTATTGCTGTAGCTGTAGTCTAGGAACGGAGGTCCATCTTCGCCGCCGGTGTTTGCGCCGAACGACACAGCGAATCCGACACGTGGATACGGAGTCAAGTCGACTTGATTAGCGGGAAAGAAACTTACAAATAGCTAGAGGCAACCGAGTACAAAATTAGCGACGCGCGTTCTGGAGTCTCAGCTACCTACAAAAGAGGTAGACTGGAATCGGGGACCATGAGCTTACCGCAGATTACGTACGTCTCGGCCGCAAATGCGTACATGTACCAGCCGGCGAGCTCCTTCTTGCTGGTGGGGCGCGAGTCCTCGCCCTGGTAGCGGGAGGCCGAGGGAAGGCCGTCGTCGATGCTGTCGCTCATCCTGTCGTGGCCGGAGTCTTCGGTCGAGGGCGTCGTGGAGCGCTCATCATCGGCCTCGAAGGACGATGAGTGGGAGCGGAACGACCGTTTGGACACGAATGACTGAACGGACAGTAAGCGCGGCTGTGGCGGGCGCCTGAGCTCGTCGTTCCGTGGCACCATAATCTCCAGGCTGCTGCCCCCCGCGGCCTGGTCTCAGCTGCTGGCCGCGGTACCTACAGGCGCTATTCCCCCCTGGTGTTGCAGTGCAGCGCTGCGCAGCGCAAGTACCTAGCTCGCCAATCAAGCTTGCTTTGAGTATGACTGACCGCGACTCTCAAGCGCAGGTTGCACCCCGTAGACAACAACGGCCGACTGTGTAACCGAAAGCTGGAAAGCCAATCCTGAAGCACCGCGCAAAACTGCCTCTCGCTCAGCTCGGCCTGTCGAGTATCTTCCGCGATTTTCGGAGGCACCCCTGGTGCATTGCAACGCTTCCCAGGTTCGATTGCCGTGGGCGCAAACACCTTGGTGGAACCCAGGTCTCAGGTACCAAGGGAATCCAGCCCCGCGATGCTGTGACTTGGAATGAACCACCGTAGCCGCGTGCTTCTGCTAGAACAGGGCTTGCAAACAATGGCGCAGGATCAGGCTACGTGAAACTTGATCGCGAACAAGAACAGAATGAGTAGGAGTGAGGATAACCTCACCGTCTCTCGCCCCCTTGCCTTGCAAGTCAGGAATTGGAGCTTGAATCATGTTCGCCAGCCTCCTGCCTCTAGGACCGTCCTTACCCCTCGTCCAGGTTGCATCAAGGGTCTCCATCCGGGGTCACGGGAAGGTGGATGGAGCTGCATAGCATGGCGGCTGCACAGGTGATCGTCGCTGTTGGTGTGTTAGTGCGAAGACACAAAGATCCCGCTTCTCTTCGACATCATCGTGATATACAAAATTCGAACACAGCGCGCCGGCACGACCTATCTATCACCTAGGTGAAGTTATCCTGCAGAGTACTACATCGGCACATTCCGCGTGTGATATGAAGACGAAAATCGACGGTGAGTGAGGTTGCAGTTCGTGGAGCTTGGCGACTTGAAACTTCCGGGTACCATGGCATTTGAGTGGGACCTACTAAAGACACTGGGGCGACTTCGAAGCTTGCCTGGACTACATTAGGCTTCACCGCGCTGTCCGCCTCATACGACAGTCAAGACAAACCACGAGCTCCCCAGCCGAATGACTATTTTTGATCAAGACGCTCGTAAACACTGTTTACCATCTGCGCAATTTCGTACGTAGACCTTTGACGAAAGCCACCAGTGGAAGCGCCCAAAATGATTTACCTTCGGGTGCAGGCACTGTTTGTGCCAGCCCGATATATCAAACCTGGATGGCATTTGTTGGCTTTGAGCAATGCTTTATAAATCCTAACCTTACGAGAAAACACGAGAACCTTGAATCTGAGGAACGAACTCGGTTATCGCGCTTCAATGGGCGACTGGCACGTCGAATGTCGATCGTCTTGCCCTTACTCGTGGAGAAAGCTGTCCCAGGTTAGTTAGTTCATGCTACCCCCTTAGTAACAGTTTTCCATATTCGGTCGTCCGAACCGTGTTCCATGAATGTTCTTTCCACATTCGGCGCGTCTTAATATAATAAAACAAGCCCGTACGTAGTTTCACCGCACCTGGCGAGTAATATTCTCAAGTAGCAACACGAAGCTGCTGGCCCTGCTATTCCCATCTTCGCCCCACAGTGTTGAGTCCAGAAGTGCTGAATTATTGTCGATTGACAACAAAAAAAGACTGGGAGTCGGTCGATATTCAATAACCGACGACGATGCAAGCGGCTGGCGTTCTCGGAGAATACACGCCGTGTTGTCCCATCGGTATAGTAAATTCCAAAGTTATAGTGTAACTAGCCGGCAGAGACAATAGGCTATATAGGAAACTCTTGGCCTCCCCCAATATGCACCCCACATTTGCGGCGCTGTTGGAATCAATTTCACCATTGGTCACTTCATGAAACGTTGAAGCAGTCCTGGAGTGATTAATACCGCGGCCCGGGGAGGCCGAGTTGCCTTTGTTGATCGTCAGGAACGCGGGCACAGATGCGCTTCGCGGAAAATTAGGCTCCCACGATGGAAGTGAACCTGCGAGCCCTGCAGATTTTGCCGATATTGCCTCCCGGTCCCAGGGATTCTGTGAGGCAACGCCCTGGGCCCTGGAGACCGCCTGATTGCCATGGGTGTGTCGTTGATATATAAAGCCAGAGATCTATGCCATCTCATACCTGGCTATCACCGATATCCGGACCTATGACCGTTTCGACAAGGTAACTATCGACCATGAAGTCCACACTGATCATGCTCCTCGCGCCGTTGGCCGCCCTCGCGGTACCAACTGGCGAACTCGCCGAGCGCCAGTCTTCCACCAGCATCGATGCTTTGATCAAGGCCAAGGGGAAGCTGTACTACGGCACTTGCACAGACCAGAACCGGTTGTCGACGGGCAAGTCGGCGGCGGTGATCCAGGCCGACTTCGGACAGGTGACACCTGAGAACAGCATGAAGTGGGACTCGACCGAGAGCAGCGAGGGCAAGTTCAACTTCGCCGGCGGAGACTATCTGGTCGACTGGGCCGTCAAGAACAACAAGACCATCCGTGGCCACACCCTGTGCTGGCACAGCCAGCTGCCCGGCTGGGTCAGCAACATCCGGGACAAGACAAAGTTGACCAGCGTCCTACAGAATCACGTCACGACGCTTGTGACACGGTATAAGGGAAAGATCCGGGCCTGGGTTCGTACCAATCCCGCACTTATATTCAGCACCTCGTCCTAGGAGGCTTACCTAAAGTGAGGAAAGGGAGGAACGGCGGACTGACAGTGACATATAGGATGTTGTGAACGAGATCTTTAACGAGGACGGCTCCCTGCGCAACTCAGTCTTTTCGAGTGTGCTGGGCGAGGACTTTGTCCGCATCGCGTTCGAGGCCGCTCGCAAGGCCGACCCTGACGCCAAGCTCTACATCAACGACTACAACCTGGACAGTGCCAACGCCGCCAAGGTGACCACCGGCATGGTCGCCCACGTCAAGAAGTGGCTCGCCGCGGGCGTCCCGATCGACGGCATCGGCTCACAGGCCCATCTTTCAGGCGGCCAAGGTAGCAACGCCGCTGCCGCGCTCAAGGCCCTGGCTGGTTCCGGTGTCAAGGAGGTCGCCATTACCGAACTCGACATCCAGAATGCGCCGTCGGCCGACTACGCCGCTGTCACCAAAGCTTGTCTTGACCTCGCCCAGTGTGTTGGTATCACCGTCTGGGGAGTCAGGGACCCTGTAAGTTTGGCAATGCGCTATCCGTCGTAGCAGCGTACGTCACGAGTTACTGACATGTTTTCAGGACTCCTGGAGAGCCAGCACGAACCCACTTTTGTTCGACAGCAGCTACAACCCAAAGGCTGCGTACAATGCCGTTGTGAGTGCTCTGCAGTGAATGATGTCAGGCCGGCCGCTGGCTGGGTTCTGCCCTGAAGAAGACTGTACATACCCATATGCTCCTGCTGAAGTATGTTCGAAATCGCTTGTATATAGCCCTTTTACCAATCGACTCCCAAAACTCGTTCAGTCTGAATATCTATGTGTTTAGATGCATGAATAGTATTTTGGTAACGTGCCATAGGTGGCAGTGATTGTATGGCCACCCCAGACCACCATCTACTACACACCAACTCTTAATTCTGTTATAAGCTCTCAAATATGTTATGCTTTATTCCTACTGGTTGGTCGATTATCGTCATCATATGTGTCCAATCATATTCGTCATATTGAACGCTCTCGTTGCTAAGAAACAGGTTCATTGCAAGTGCCTCCTATGAATGTCCAAGATTACTTGAGCTTATACTCGTACTTGCTGCCAGTGGACCCATCGCCAATGCCTAGATCCGGAAAGAGACTTTGCCGGTGCAGCTAGTTGGACCCATTATAGAGGCGGAAGATCTCCGCACCCTCCGCATTTCAGCTAGTTAAGACGTCATCCATCAACATCCGAGGCCCGTTCCAAACTCATTGCACCTGCCCTCATATGCTTAATTGGGTCTATGGATTTATAAGTTCACAGCCATTAAAACTCCATGGCCAGTTCATCCCTTTTCACACTTGAGATAGTTGACGTCTAAGCTTTCACAATGGCTCTCGAACTTTACCACCTTCACCTCTCGCAATCCGAGCGAGTCGTATGGCTCCTCGAAGAGATGCAGATACCATACAATTTGCATGTGTTCAAACGAGATCCTAAGACCGGTCTCGCCCCAGATGACTTGAAGGCAATAGTAGGCCTCTCCTTATCCCAGGCCTGTCGGACGTTGTTTCCTTACTGACCGCGCTACAGAACCCTGCGGGCACCGCGCCTTACTTCAGGGACACCTCCGTCAGCCCCGAAGTTGCCATCTCGGAATCGGGAGCGACCGTGTCCTATATCCTGTCCGTTTACAGTGCTGGCTCGAACGGAACGCGTCTAGTGCGAACGCCAGAAGACCCAGACTTCGCTACGTATCTGGAATGGTTCCACTACGCCAACGGCTCCCTTCATGCATCCATTAGTCGGCTGATGTACTTTCAATTCTCTGGAATGCCCTCCGACTCCCCCATGGTCCAACGATTGCGCGGCAAGCTGGCTGGCCAGCTGAAGATGATAGACGATCACCTTGGAAAGAACCAATGGTTTGCAGGAAAGGACCTCAGCGCCGCGGACTGCATGATCATGTTCAGCTTATCGACCATGAGAGGAATCTACCCCATCGACCTTGGGCCATATGCCAACATTCTCAGGTGGTTGCGCGACGTGGCGGCGCGACCTGCTTACCGCAAGGCAATAGAAAAAGGAGATGAGGGCATGGATCCATTGATTGAGCCCAATGCCAGAAGATTCACCGAGATTGAAGCTTTCAGGGGGGCCTTGGAAAAGGCATGATGTACATCTTGACTATGTTCTTCCAGGACGACGGTGTGCTAACGGCATCGTGGAGGAACTCGGAAGCGAAATCTCACGCTGGCATGGCTTTGGTTCTCAACATTGTCCCGTTGAGTCCCGGAGCTGAGATTCGCGTCAGTTGGGGTGGAGCGCCATGCCCATTTCAGCTTGGTGTTTGCAACATTGTCTGCTGCCGTATGATCATAGACGAATACATCTCCTTGCTGCCATCACGGGAAATAACGGTAACTTTCCAGGAAGTCTTGAGTTATGAAGTTACAAGTAGTTTTCGACGCCGGTTCGTGGACCCTGTTGTCGCGTACCAAGACGCTAATGTTAGTGCCCCTCCAACTGACCAGTGACAGCTCCGTATCTTATCGCGGGATGGACAGAACGAATTACGTCAGTCGCCAGTCTGCTCACCACGAGTCCACGACCAGGCTGCTGGGAGCTTGGGCGATAAGGCTTCGTGGAACAGTAAACGACTCGGAATTACAGCCGGAAATGTCAACAAAGGGCCCTGAGCCTGCTCCTAGGAGTCTGACCTGCATGCGTCCAGGTTCTCGTGCGATGACGACAGCGGGGTTCCCAGGTAGCTGTTGGATAGCTGCTCGGTCGCCGCGTTGTTATAATCTTCGCCGGCCACCTAAAGACACACTTCAGTGAATACCACAATTATCGAAATCAAGAAGCTTCAGTCAGTGTCCTCTCGAATCCGTGCAGGTCGTATCGTACGAGTTCCCTCACAAAGGTAGGTTGGTCTGGCATGCACCATCCCGCACAATCCTAGTCTTACGACGCCGGGCCGAGCAGCCCACCCGGACAAGAAGTTCAGCTACAAAAGCCATGCATCACCCCGGAAGCTGAGCCTAATTCTACTTCCTACGTTTTCTCAGATTTTCCTCTTGTTCTCATACATACAGAATCTAGTAATAGCAACGTCGCGATCATGACCGCCCCAGAAGTATCCCACGGCCGTGGTGGCGCTGGCAACATCAACCCCGACGACACCCAGTATGTTGACGGTGAGATCGTGCGCACTGGGGAACACGGTACCCAAAATGCTGGCGCATACAGCACAGGACGAGGAGGTGTGTTTCTTGTTCATTTCGTGGGCTCACCACTACCCTTTTCATACCATTCGCGGATCCTTCCCTGTGATCGCTGCGTGAGAGCGCATGTGGCTACAATGAAATACACCTCATTGCGATAAGTGCCAGTCATTCAGTCGCTCGGGCATGGCTTGCGCATGCAACTTCTTGCTGGCTCTTATCTTCAGTCATATCTTCCTGAGTGGTCTATCTCTATTGAGCCATAGTTGCAACACACTAGCTCGTCGCCATTCCAACCTCTGGCTGAACCGCGGCTAACTCAATTTGTCCACCAGGCGGCGGCAACATCGGAGATGCGGGCATCCCACCAACCGTCCGCACAGATAAGGACGTAGTGCCCGAAGCCGCAGTCCGCCCGTCTCAAGATGAGGATATTCATACCGGCCGGGGCGGCGCCGGCAACGTCCACCTTGGTCCAGAACACAAGAAGAAGAAGGTTACGGATGGAGCGCCACACGACGAGGCCACGGCCAGCCACATCAGCGTGGCAGACAAGCTGAAGTCGAAGGTTCTCGGTGCGTTCAAGAAATAGACGCCTGGAAGCAGATGCTCCAAATACAGCTACGGTCTGGTCGTGCCTTTGCAGCTCAGAACCAAGATGTGACGGAGGATCAAGCTGGCGACTGCTTCGTGCGCACTGCTCTTTTGGATGACGAACATATGCGAGTAAAGAATGGTACGGCTTTGGTTGATGGGCAGTTGGTGTGGCATGAAGTTTGTTTCGTTCTTCTGCTATGTTGGCTCATATGCAGGCTTTTTGGTTTTAACAATGATATCCCCTATGCCTTGATTGAGAGACCGAGAGACTGGTAGTGAAGGTGGTGATCGCGTGAGGATTCTCGAGTATTCATGTGGTCCCCTGATTATAACCCCACGGATGACTTCAAGAGACCCAGAATGATCACCGGATTACTTGCATGTGCGGTTTATTCAACCCAATTCAGTCTTCAAACGCCCGAGCTTGGATGGTTCACGACTGGTAATGTAATGAAATGCTCGTGTGATTCTCACAAGCTACGGGTTGCATCATGTACTTGGCAATGGAGCTACCGCCTCGAACGCTGCCTCACATCCTTGCCTCACGGCCCAACGCCAGGACTCTTGCCTTGCAATGGCGTCGTCTATCCCGCCGCCCTTGATGAAAATCTACTGCTTCTTCCCAGCGGAGCCTCCGCTGCTGGTCTGGTTACCCTGGGTAGCACTGCTGGCCGGGGCCGATTGAGCATGGTCGCTGGCGAAGGCGGCAATGATGGCCTTGCCCTCAGCGGCATCGTCGTCGTTCCACGGCTTGAGACCCATGGACTGCATGAAGCCGGTCCAACCTCCGTACGACTTGCTGATTTCGCGCTCAGCGGGGCTCAAGGGGGGCTCTGGAAGCTTGCATGGTCAGGGTTGAACATCGTAGACAAGACTGGCATTGGGTACTTACGCAGGGAGTCTGAAGACGGCATCTCGAACAGGTGGTTTCTTGAATTTTTGATGCGGGAGTTGAGAACCAAGACGACAATTGTTCAGCTCTTCCCTGGAGAAATTGTGTTGTTTGGCGGTGTACTAAGCACGTTGGCTCGTCGTTTCAATTCAACACCAATGCGGGGTCGATTTAGAGTTGCCTCTAGGTATGCCGAAGCCTCTTCTTGAGGCCAGTGCTGAGACCCCTGCCCGGCATTGGGATTGCCCGGCTCGCAACATTGAAGTGGAGCTCGGCATCCTACAAATACGACAGAGCCAGGGAATAGGTAGGTACAGCCCCTGTCATAACTAGGACGACTCAAAAGCCCCGTACTGAAGGTCGTCCTAGCATAAAGAAAGTCAAAGAGGCAACTTAGATCTCGTTTCAGCCTCAGCATGGTCAGTTAAACCCGGTAGCTGGCTAAGCTAATTTGGAAATGGGATGCCCGCCGATTTCCACAGTGAATTCATTTTAAAATAATAATTGACCAGTTCTCAAAATTGAAAATATATGACCTATTCAAACAATGGAATAGCGATGGACTGCCGAGCAGGAGACAGCTGAATACAGAACGGACCAGCTGTCAACTAACCACGTTCAAACAACAATCAACAACTGTTGCGAGGCTACATCATTGTCATGCTTCATCACTACATTCCTAATGTACAGTAACGATCGTGTGGCCTGGCACTGTCGGAATCAACCAGCCGACTTATGCTCCCATGAGTCCAATAATACAGGTTCGTCCAAACGAGGGAAAATACTCCAAAACCATCATCGCTGGTTTGATAATTGCGAAGATCATAGGCCGTCATGAAGAGAATCGTGAGCCTCGTCATAAAAGCAAAACAAAAGCAGTAACTATGCGAGGCCTCCTGTGAGAGGATCGCCAAAGTTCATTGCGTACCCATCCCAAAAGAGATTGAGCATATCGTCTTCACCAGCTGGGACGGGGAAATCAAGCAACCCCTGGTGTAATAGTTAGAGAGGGTTTCTTGCGTAACGAGAGAATCATGTGGAGGATACTGACTTGTGCGCTCAGGATGTCCGACCACGAACTTGGGGTGGTCTCGGTGTCCTGGCTGTCGGGAGCCGATATCATAGAATTCACGCCGTCCATCATTGTCACTGGGATTTGACCAGGCAGAAGCGGAGTGTTGGTCCCGGAAGAATCTAGTGACAGAATCTTTTCGACATACGGCACCTTGGACCGCTGCTGATCTCGTGCGAGCTTAGCTCTATATGTCTCAATAGCATTGGAGAAGCTTGTTAGTATCTCATGATACTGTGCGGCTTGAGGGCTTAATCTGGCGAGCCAGCCCAGCACACGGCATGACCCGTCGAAGGCATCCCTAGTTTGGGCATTGGCCGAGTCATCCGACAATAGGCAGAATCCCAGGATCAGGCCGGCTGCGAATAACCATGCCCTAGTGATTATTAGTGTGAGTCTCCGACCGGCTTTCGTTCTGGGTTCACTTACTTGAGTATGCACATGTTGCCGAGCAGGATGCCTGATTCCGCTGCCTCAGAACACATCTGAGCCATATAAACGGCAGCATCTATGCAGACATGGGCCAACTCAGAGACCTTGTTGCTCTCAGCTGTTGAGTCTGATCTCTCTCGTGCCCCAGGTTCTTGTTGCGGTCTCCGCCGCAGAAGTGGCATGCAGTGCTGTATGAGGAAGTGTCGCGTCGTCAATATGACGCCAAAGTAGTACGTGCAAGCCACATGTATGTTGCCAATCGTCGCTTCACGATGTGATGGTGTGAGGGTAGATTGGTCTTTACGAGACCTTTGGCGCAGCACTGGTGGTAATGCCTGACTCCATTCACGCAGCATCTGCAGGAAGTTCTCGGCGGTATCCGCATCCATGTTGCTGTCGTGTGCAGCCTTGTGGACAATAGTCTCCAATACTGTCGATGCCTCGTAAGTAGCACTGAGAGCAACAGCGCGATGTCCGGTGGTCTCTGGGTTGAGATCACTTGCATAGACATCGTCAGCACGTAGGGAGAGTGTGCTCCCTGGGCGGCCCAAGATTGAGCTGCAAACCAAATCTAATGCTCGAATGCTCTTTCCCGTGCGCAGTCTGAAAAAGATGTTAGGATCTCTGACATTAACAGTTACGGGAAGTATGACATGCCTCATATCACGTTCCTCAGGGCACAAGTACTTGTACTGCCCTGAGACATGCAGACCTAAGACCACAGCTGCTTTAGACGCTACACCAATGAACATAAAAGCTGCATTGCGCCGACAAGCCCCAAACATGAAAAATGCCATCAGCAGGAATACGCGGGCCATATTTGTCGTAGGGTCCTGGAGCATACTCTCAAACGATATGTGACGTGCTTTTGAGAAGTATCTTGCAGCAATGATGCGGTCATTGTCATCCCTGCCGCGACATTGAGCACCGATGGCAATGATGGCATAGAACGAGGCTAAGTCCTCCCTCAAGGTCCCTCTGATCTCGGCGAGGCCATTATCTCTAGCATGTTGAGCAAGCATTAGAAGTTTTTCTATTTCTTGCTCTGTGAAGAGGTCAAGAAGCCCACACGACTGGAACCTGTCAGATATATTGTAGGGGCGGAAGTGGGTATCGTCTTTAAACTCACGACATCAAGGAAACATTGAATCAATGATCGCTTGTCTTCATCTCCAATGTCATCAGCAAAGATTGCATCCACGTTTTCTGGGATCTCTATCTCTAACATGCGCCGGCTCTGCTGGCCCTCAGTAAAATGAGAGGGCCCAGCATAGCGCTTCAATATCTTGCGAAGAAACTGGTGGAAGGATAGAGCGGCCGTATTGCCAACAAAGACTATGTGAGGCTGGTGTCAGCATTAGACACGTTACGGGGCCTGTCTTGAAATGTGTACCTTTCTCCCCGCTAGAGCTGAACAGCATGACAGGCTTTTGCCCAGGGTAAGGGGTGCTGGCCCTGGTATCCTGAACATCTTCCACCTCATTGACCAGCGGCGGGGCGCTGGGGCAGGAGCTGGACCGAGAGTGAAGGAAACCCTCATGCTTCGCTGCCGGCCTATGCGGCGGTGATAGCGCCCTGCTTAAACGCCGGCGGTTATGCTGGTTACTGTATACGCAGCTGTCTGAAATGCCTTTCTTTGTGCATGGTGTGCATGGTGTCAGAGAATCGCATCGCTTCTTCAGATGCTTACAGGTATCACAAGCCCGTACAGACCGCCGGCGGTCCTCCGGTCGGACTTTCGGCCGGGGCATGAGGGGCTTCCACTTAAGTGAGTCTTACAGCAGAACCTATGCCTGCTACCCCGGATGCCGCTTCCAGACTTCCGCAGATAATTTGGCCGGGCCCGGAAGCAGACAGCCAGTATCGGGTTTCGGATCGGACGTGCCGGGATTTGGGGGCCCAGCGCCGTACAATTTTGTTTGATAACCCTTGTCTCTTCCTGTACAATTCCAATTGCGTCTTTCGTGATTCGCAATCGACAGAAACGTGCCCAGACTGTGGTACGATCAAGTCATCGGGTGCTGCACAGAATATGGTATGATTTCAACCAGAATGAGTAAGAGCGGTCCGTCCACTTCAGCAGAGGGAGCAGGACGGAACGGCAGGACGGATGGGCGGCGGGAATGGGATCCGTAAATATTCATGGGGAAGTCAGGGGCAAGTCGCCATTGGCCAGATTTGCCCCAGATAAGATTCAGTTTAAGATTTGGTCCGTCGCGACGCCGACTCTGGTCTCCCCTCACACTCTGCCTCATCCGGCAGTGAACGCTAGCAGAGGCCAGGTCCGCCCCTGCAAAGCCGGTGCAGCATCCGCTGGCGGTTAATGCACCTCTATTCAGGAGCACTCGTCGTCGATTTGCGCCCGGTGCCGTCGGGATCGGTCAACTGAGTGATAGTATAGCAGACAGCGGCCAATGGACATCCACAATGCCAATCTCGCGGTGGACCTTTGCACGACTCACGATGACTTGTTACGTAGAGCGCACACGACCACCGAGGGGGCGTTGCCGACAAGCGTCGGGACTGAGACCCCAGAATCACCATTCAGGTGATCTATAATTGCTTTCGCTAGCTGCACGATGATATCTTAAAGAGGCCACGCTCATACCTCAACATCTCGCTAATCGGCAGGCAACTTACTCGTTACCCAGCACTACAGTAATCCAGTTTAGCCAAACTCTCTTTCAACAATCACAATGGGATCTCAGTTCGCAGGAAATTCCGGCTGGAGGAAACTCGATGTTGGTGTCATCGGCGGTGGTATCGGTGGTCTATCTGTGGCTATCTCCCTTCGCCGCGCCGGCCACAAGGTCACCATCTACGAGCGTGCAGACTTTGCCGGTGAGAAGGGAGCATCAGTTTCGTGCGCCGCCAATGGCACTCGTTGGCTAGAGGAGTGGGAGATCGATGTCCAGAAGGGAGACCCAGTGTACTTGAAGAAGCTGATCAGCCGTGACTGGTACACTGGAGAGCCGTACAGCGTCTACGACCTAGCGGATTACGAGAAGCGATGGGGCTATGTCTACTGGATGTTCCACCGTCAATACATGCACGCCATGCTCAAGGAGGCCGCTCTGGCTGAAGAAGGAAAGGGAGAGGCTGCCAAGCTTCTGGTTAACCACAAGGTTGGTTGCACTGCTTTTTTCTTGTTTACTTTATGGCTAATCCCAGACACAGTGCAAGTCCATCGACATGGAGGCCAACAAGATCGAGTTTGATAACGGTGTCACTGCCACGCATGACCTCATTATCGGCGCAGATGGCATCGGCTCTGCAGTCAGAGGTGTTCTTGGCATCCACCCCGAGAAGCGCCCTGGACCTGCCAGCTGCCTGCATGCTAACGTCATGACTGAGGATGCTGTCAGACTCGGCCTGACTGATTACTCCAAGGACAACGCCCTGGAGTACTGGGGTGGTCAAGAGGGCAAGTTCGACAAGATTGTCCTGTCGCCTTGCAACGGTGGCAAGCTCCTGTCCTACTACTGCTTCTTCCCCCGTGACAAGGGTGACTACACAAGCCACACCTGGGGTGGCGATGATCTCCCGGTTGAGGAGCTTCTTGCTCCCTACCCTGAGCTCGACCGCCGTGTGAGGGAGCACCTGGCCATCGGTATCGAGGTGCAGCCCTGGCGACTGTGGATCCAGTGAGTAACCAACCTGCTTCATCACGTCTTCCGAAGTTGGACTAGACTGACCCTTCCCAGCGACCCTTACCCTTACATGAACAAGAAGAACGTTGCCATCCTTGGTGACGCTGCTCACCCCATGATGCCTCACCAGAGCCAGGGCGCCTGCATGGCCATCGAGGATGCCGCCGCTCTCGGCATCGTGTTCAACCAGAAGTACTTCAACGGCAACGTCGCCGAGGCTCTGGAGATCTACAGCCAGGTCCGCCTACCCCGAGTCACCAAGGTACAGGCCGCCGCCGCCAAGGCCGCCTACAACATCAACGAGCGCATCGGCTTCTCCAGCAACACCGACGTCGAAGGCTACAAGGTCGAGGACGAGTCCAAGAAGCTGACGGTCGAGGAGATGAACGGCTACGACATGTACAAGGACGTTGAAGAGAAGATTGCCGCCCAGAAGGGCCAGCCCTGGACTGAGAAGTTCATCACCGGCCTCCCCATTGGCCTGCAGCTGTCCAACGGTGTCACCATCGGTGCATAAGCCTGCTACCGACTGCCGGCGGCTGTTCATGAAGTCAAGAGACATGTTTAAATGTATATACTTACCCTTGTCATTGCATTAGCGGAGTTCAGACAGATTTTAAATACTGTACCATCATTGTTGTTATGCCAAGAAGCAAGCCATGAAGAAATAGTGACCAATTGATACATGTGCTTATATGGTTAATGACGTGAGCGGTCTTGTATTCTAGGCTGATAGTCACTATGACATCGCAGGGTGGACATTGTGAAAGTGGAGATTGATGATATTTTAAAGCAGTGCCTCTATGAATAAAGTTAAGATTACCCTCAATGGTTGGAGCAATGAGAAATGAAGTCTATGTCTAGGGGCGGCCTCGGTCTCGACGGCTCAGCCCCACTGGAATAAATGGGCTCTCTGGTAAGAAGTGAACCCGTGCGTGCTGGGTCGTATAATCTCGTCCAACTGTTTCTGGAGTCTGATCCCTGCGGCTTGGCTTTGTCGAATCTAGATGCAGGTAGTGGTTGGTGGAGCTTCGCTTTGCTTGGCCTGGGATCATATCGCAGTCTATGCGTCCAAGTCGCTGCTAGGCTTCCTGACCTTGATTGGCTTCTCGGGCATGTCTCCATCAATGTGCTTACCAATCTCCATGAATTTAGGAGGAATCCCGCTGTATTCTGTCGACTCGCCCTTCTCCTGCTTTGCTTCCTCTTCCGGCTTGGGCTTCTTCGACATGGGAATGACAATGGACCCGACCCCATCCTCTGAGAAGGTACGCCTGCGCTTATACTTATTGGCGAACTCGTCAGCATCCATCTTCGTGCTCTGCGCTCGCAGCCACACGCGATCCTCGAGGGCATACTGGCGAGTCAGTAGCTCCTGTTTCACATCCACCACCCGCTGGCTGTTCCTCGTCACGATGCGGAGGAAGAGCTTATTCGTGTAGTTCTCGTCCTCGGTCAAGTTTCTGCGGCGCTTGTCTTTGTCTCTGCCAGGGTCACGGTGGTGACGCCTTCGGTGCGCACCGTGGCTGTAGTAGCTAATGGCCTCGCCCGGGCAGTCGTCCTTGTCGATGGACTTGAAGTCCTCATGCCAATTGCGAACGGCTGACAGCACGAGTCGGTGGAGTATCTGGAAGAACGGGCCGTGTCCATCACCGGGGTAGCCCAGCGTGTTGGGCTCGTTCTTGGCACAACTTACACACCGGCAGGAGAAGTCTCTGAGAAAGTGGTGCACCATTTCGTGCATCAGGAATCCCAGGGTTTCATCCAAAGAGAACAGTCTCTCGGTGTTTCGTACTGGGACTTCTAGAATGCCGTCCTCCTTACCCTCGGCGGGTTCATCAACGGCCTGACCAAACTGCATCTCCTCCACTTCGTAGCGGTTGCCATTTAACGCACCGAGGAAGAAATAGCGGCTTAGTAGATCTTTGAACCGAGCGAGCTGCCAGTCAGGATCATCTTGCTCAGTATCGCCCAATTCGAGGCCGCTGTATTCCGCTTTGAGATGCTGGTAGAGCCTGATGAAGGTATCACGGGCTGCCTTTTGGTCTTGACTCAGATCAACTTCCATACGTCCGTGGAATATTGGGATCAGATAGTTGAGGAGGTTGCGTGGGGTGACATTGGATGCTTGAAGTTTCGTGAGAAATCTCGAGGAATCATCGAAAGGGTTGTACTGTGTCAGTGCATTATGCTTGACAACGGATGCCGGCCTTCGATCCATCTTGTTGGCCATGCGTGAGCGCAGCTAGTTTCTGAGGGTGAGGGTATATTTTGTATTCTTTGTATCTCGGACTTATGCTGTGATAGCGTACTCTGGGGGATGAAAAGGCTTGAGTGTTGCGAGGGCTGCAGCATCGCATTTTATAGGCATTATTGTTCTGTATCTGAGTGAGCTCCTCAGGCCAAGCTTGCCTCATTGTCTCAGGCGTCTGAAAGATGGAAACATCTTGAATATTTTCGAAGCGCGAGAGACAAATTTGGAAGGCCACAGATATGGGGTGGAGTTTGGTATAATAGGTAGACTACCAAGGCTCCGGGATCGAGACTTGGGTGAACATACTCGATAGTTGCGCCTGGTAGTCCAAAAATCTGGGATGAGTATGTGTCCAGGACAGTTTCATTGATTATGCAGTGAATCAAGTCTTGTCAAATTCAGTCTTCTTCCAGACGGCAAGTCACTGTTTCACCTCCTTTTTAGATTATTCAAGAAGATCTCGGATGAAAATGAGCAAACAAACTAGAAGTATTATATTCAGCGGTGGTGCATCGTTAATCGTCCAAGTGATCCATTTATGAATACTATTGAACATCTCTTGGCAACCTAGTATAAATGCTTGTCTAAAACAATAGGGCGCGAGACGTGGATTGGATATAGAGAAACTAGTATTGCGAAAGCTATTGAGACTTTGTCTTATGTAAGTGATGATTAGTCCAAAAAAAAAATTTCAACGAGAGTTATCTTTACATTTCTACTTTGTATATTTTCAGATATGTATAAGGATGAACGCTAACAGGCTCTCGTTGTTTTCGGAGTTAACGTATTTGTTTATAGCCCTCGGTAATAATGGTAATGCACTTGGTCCGAGTACCGGCCCAGCAAGTCTACCTTGAAATCTAGGGCATCTGGAGACCGGTCGGCAAGACTATATGACCAATGGTGTCTAATCATACCTGGAATGATGCAGATTCGGTACCAATCAAACCAAATAGCCCAGTGGCTGCCGGGCAAATTACTTGGAGGCCTGTTGCGGCGCAGTCTTATTTCTTGACCGCGTCCAAGCCTACTATGAGATCCACAACCCAATACCAACGAACTAGGCGCAGCATGAGATGCGATACTATCGGCCTTCGGTAAAGTTCGTTGGCCAATTGCTGATAGCAAACAGGGAATGAAGGCGAGCTTCCTCTTCGCGACGGCCGGCTTGACAGCTCAAGTTAGGTCAGTGCGACCGTCGAAAAGCCGCAAGTGGCTGAAGTCGAGGCTACGGCAGCCCCGAGCACCTGAGTGGATATCTGCCCCACCCTCTGAGGTCCCTGAAGGCCCGCTTGCTGCAGTCCCGCGGTGGCATGCGCGTCTCAAAATCGCAAAGGAGGAATCGGACACAGTGGCAGGTTAAAGCCAGTGACAGACTTGAGGTGCACGGTAGGTAATTGTACCTCTGTATGTTCGCCCAATCATTTCCCGTGCTTAAACAAATTGCTGTGCGCCCTACCATAGTACTGCAGTCTGTTCTGCGTGTGCGGAATATATCGTGGGTTCATTAGAGTTCAGATGGTGATATGCCACAGGGGTTGCATTTAATAGTTCCTGCGCGGCCATCAATGAGGGAAGGATCAGCTCAGCTACGTGAGATCTTGGGCCAGATCTCTTTGATCCACCACGGCCTGCGTCGTCATGTCTACTTTATCACTACACAACTCGGTTTGTATTACATATTGCTATCCTCAACCTCTTGATGGTTTTGGCGACGAGCGCAGCAGAAACGCGACACGCAGGGTGCGAGACTGCCGTGAGAGCTTGACATTAGAGTTTCATCCATCGCCATGATCCATCACGATTGGAATCGGCGCCCGGGATTTTGATAGGCGCGGGCCATCCGACATGATGTGCAAACTTGGCAATCGAAATATAGACGCAAGATAGAAGGGATGTGATTGGCATGCTCTCAGGACAATGCATACCCTGCGCGTCTCTGCATCGAATTCAGTTTCTGTGCTGTGGTAAATACGGGCGGAGGCTTGACGTAGAACCCAGATGGATGAGCAAATTTGGGAAATTCGTCTGGAACACGATTTGTGACGCTGCCCCGAGCTTGATGATCCCAGTCCCAGTCCCGGTTGCACGGCTTCCCCATCAGTGGGCCGTGCGACCCCGGCTGTGCTGTGCAGCCGGTAACTGGCTGAAATGTCGCAGGATGGCTGGGATCCATCTCGGCCAACCCAGCTGTGGGCTGTGAATTGCATGACACCCCCCGGCCACCCACCGCAACGAGCGGCGGCATTACGTCGTTTGGGCCCACGATCTGGGAACTGGCCAGAAGCAGGACCAGGCCCAGGACCGACAGGCCAACGGCACAGAACAAGACCAAAGAGGTAGCCAGCCGACCGTCCGGGCGAGTCTTGTGGTGGTGCATCGTCGAATTCCTTGGACAGCTGGACTTTGGTGTTGTGTTGGCGTCGTCTCGTTCCAAGCTTTGTTCTTAGCTCTGGCGGCGTGTACCCAACTGCCTCGCGCTATCGATCCTCTACTGTAGGTAACTTTTAGGCCTCCCGCTGCTCTCGGAGCTATCTATCACCAGCCTCTTCTTCCCTCCCGTCGTTTTGCCTGGTTGCGTGAATTCCCCCTGCCTCACGCTCCTTATTCATCCCGATTCTCCGTCACCTGGTTTTCACTATCGCGCTGCGGCGAGCTCGATTGCACAGCGCAGCTCTCCTCCCAATTTGCTTACCTTGGGTGCAGCTTAGCTCAGGCAGCGCTCCCCAGCATTTCCAAGCTCCTCTGAGAGCTCGGCCCTAGCTTTGAGCGCGCCAATCCGTTCTGCCGTATGCTCTGCGCACGTCTCTGCGAGGGTTGACACACAACCAGCGAGGGGAGCCTCCAGATACGAAACACTCGAGCCGCGCGCTGCCTCTGCAGCAACATCATCCGAGATGGCTACCGAACAGTCGGCCCTTGAGCTCAAGCAGCAGGGTGCCATCGAGGCTGCTCAAGATCCCAATTCGTCCGTGACCGCAAACGATGCACAGAAGAAGATGGTCGAGGAGAGCAAGAACGCCGGAGTTGCTGCCTTTACCTTCGACCCGGATGCCAGCCTCGAGGAGAAGAAACGCCAGGCCAGAGCCGTAAGTGACGCATCGAGCCCCGAAAGATCTCAATTGCACTGGGAAACTAACCGAGTTGCGGAGCAGGCTGTGCCGGACGAGCTCAGACACCACCGAAAGCACCAGGCAGTCGCAGTCGCTACCGATGCCGATGACGAAGGCGCTGTCAAGGCCGATTACCTGCCCCCAGCGTCCAAAGCCCAAGCCGTGGAATTCGAGAAGGACGCGGACGGGAAAACCGCAGACTCCAAAGAAGACGACGCAGCTTTGGCTGCCAAGGTTGGGTGGACGCAGCGCTTTGGCTGGCCCAACGAGAGCATTACCGAGGGCGAAAGCCTGCTGGACCATCAGACCTGGGTCGAGGGTAAGATCTCCGACAAGTTCTTCGGTGATTGGTACCACAATGCCGCCGTTATCGGCTTTGCCTGCCTGTCCTCGTGGCTCATCGCCATGCTGGGCGGTGGCTTGGCTTGGGTGTTCATCATCATGGCCGTATGCTCTACCTACTATCGAACCTCGCTTCGACGAGTTCGACGCAATTTCCGCGACGACATCACGAGAGAGATGGCTCTGAAGAGGCTGGACTCGGACCATGAATCTCTGGAATGGATTAATGCCTTCCTACTAAAGTTCTGGCCTATTTACCAACCCGTCCTCGCCGAGACCATCATCAACTCTGTTGATCAAGTCTTGAGCTCCGCCACTCCGGCCTTCCTTGACAGCTTGAAGTTGAAGACTTTCACGCTCGGTTCCAAGCCTCCCCGCATGGAGCATGTGAAGACATACCCGAAGGAGGAAGATGACACTGTTGTCATGGACTGGGCATTCAGCTTCACTCCCAACGATACCGCCGACATGACGGCGCGCCAGATCAAGAACAAGGTAAACCCGAAGGTCGTCCTCGAGATCAGAGTTGGAAAAGCCATGATCAGCAAGGGTCTCGATGTCATTGTCGAGGATATGGCCTTCTCGGGCCTCATGCGCCTCAAGATGAAGCTTCAGTTCCCCTTCCCCCACATTGAGAAGGTGGAGATGTGCTTCATGGAACGACCAACGATTGACTATGTCTGCAAGCCTCTGGGTGGCGAAACCTTTGGGTTCGATATCAACTTCATTCCTGGCCTTGAGAAGTTCATCTTGGAGCAGATTCATGGCAACCTGGCCCCCATGATGTACCACCCTCATGTTTTCCCCATCGAGGTAGCCAAAATGTTGGCGGGAACTCCAGTCGACCAAGCGATTGGAGTGGTTGCTGTCACTCTCCACGGTGCCCAGGGTCTCAAGAACCCAGACAATTTCTCTGGAAACCCTGATCCATACGTCTCGCTCACCCTAAACAAGCGGGCCGAGATCGCCCGGACTAAGACCGTCAAGGACACTTCGAACCCCAAGTGGAACGAGGTTCACTATGTTATCCTCACTTCCTTCAACGATTCATTAGACCTGATGGTCTATGACTGGAATGAGTTCCGCAAGGACAAGGAACTCGGTGTTGCTTCTTTCAAATTGGACCAGATTGAGGAGCTGACTGTCCACGAAAACCAGCGTTTGGAGGTGATTGCTAACGGAAAGGCGCGTGGTGTTGTGTCTGCTGGTAAGTTACCTCTCAAAAAAAAAAAAAAAATTTCACACTATTCGCAAAAGCTCACCATAGTAGATATCCGCTTCTTCCCAGTTCTTGAACCCAAGAAGTTAGAGGACGGCTCGATGGAGCAGCCGCCAGAGTCCAATACTGGTATTCTGAAATATAAGGTTGAGCAAGCTAAAGACCTCGATGGAACTAAGTCATTGGTCGGACTGCTCAACCCGTACGCTGTTCTCACTCTGAACGGCAAGGAGGTCCATACATCCAAAAAGCTCAAGCGCACGAATAACCCCATTTGGGACAACGCCTCCAAAGAGATGCTCATCACGGACCGCAAGAAAGCCGAGCTAGGCCTTGCGATCAAAGACGATCGCGAGCTGGCTGGAGATCAACTCATTGGTGCCCACAATATCAAGCTAGACGACCTGTTGGAGATGATGGAGCAAGGAAAGGATTGGTTCCTTCTTTCGGGGGCCAAGACCGGACGTGCCAAAATCACCGCGCAATGGAAGCCTGTCGCTCTATCTGGAGTGTTGGCCGGAAGTGGAGGCTACCAGACCCCAATTGGTGTCATGCGCTTACACTTCAAGAACGCACGTGAACTACGGAACTTCGAGACTATGGGTAAATCGGATCCGTATGTTCGCGTTGTCGTATCTGGCATTGAGAAGGGTCGCACTGTGGTTTACCGCAACACCCTCAGTCCAGAGTGGGACCAGATCATCTACGTCCCCGTACATTCTGCTCGAGATCGCCTAACCCTGGACGTCATGGACTCAGAGAAAATGGGCAAGGATCGCAGCCTTGGTCTGATCGAGCTTCTTGCTAGCGACTACGTCCGTCAAGAGGAGAACGGCGAGTACGCCGTTCATGACCAGAAGACGCTGCACGAGGACGGCCTTCGACTGCACGGGAAGGGCGTCGCCAAGGGTGTTCTGTGCTACACTGCGGCATTCTACCCTTGCTTGAATGTTGCTGACCCCGAGGATGAGGAGGAAGAAGAGGAGAGCAAACAGGTCGCTCCAGAGCCCGCGAAGCAATCTCTTGACATTCCCAGGCCCACGGATGCTGGTAAAATCACGCCGCTGGAGAGAGTCACAACAAATGCTTCCCAACGCTCCCAGCCTAGTACTCCGCTATCGCCAACGATGCCGAAGTCACCCACATCACCTGCATCAGCAAATGGCCGCAAATCTCGAGACGCACCAAGGGAAGTTCCCAAAGTTCACCTCAACCCAGAAGAGCTCCTCAAGCACGAGTCTGGCTTCCTTATCTTCAAGCTCATGGAAGGCCAGATGCCAAAGAGCGGTACTCACCTGGAGGTGTACGTCGACGACATGACCTACCCATCGTATGTCTCCGGTACCGCCAAGACGAAGAGCTTCAAGTTCGACGAGATAGGCGACTGCTTCATCCGCGAACTCGAGTTCTCTCGTTTAACCCTGAAGGTCAGGGAAAAGCGTGAGAAGCCTGGCGAGGAGCGCGACGAGGACCATACTGTGGCTCGTCTTGCCGGCAACACGCTGGATACTCTCAAGCAGTGTTTGGTGAGTTGTAATTGTCGCGGCGTTGTCCATACCAATTTTGCTAATATGATACAGAACAACCCCACTGTACTTCGTCTCAAGGATGAAGAGAACAGAGAGACGCACATCAAAGTTAGCTTGAAGTACATTCCTGTCACGATGCTGCTAGATCCCAGTGAGAGTATTAACAACATGGGTAACCTCCGTGTCGATGTCCTTGATGCATCAGACGTTCCCGCCGCCGATTCCAACGGCAAGAGTGATCCTTACGCCAAGTTCGAGTTTAATGGCCAAGACGTTTTCAAAACGAAGACCCAGAAGAAGACTCTCAACCCGGTTTGGAACGAGTTCTTCGAGATACCCGTACCATCTCGGACTGCTGCGAAGTTCAACGTCAAGGTCTATGACTATGATTTCGCAGATAAGCCAGACTTCCTAGGCGGCGCTGATATCAACCTTGAGCACCTTGATCCATTCAAAGCTAAAGAAGTCAAACTGCTTCTGGATGGCAAATCCGGCTCTATCAGACTACGGCTGCTCTTCCGTCCTGATTATGTTTCTCGATCGCGTCTAGGTACTGGAACCTTCTCCGGGACGTTTGGCACACCGGGAAGAATTGTAACTGGAGTTGCTGGTGCTCCCCTCAAGGGAGTTGGCGCTGTTGGACATGGAGTTGGGAAAGGTGCTAGTTTCATCAAGCGAGGGTTTACGGGCCGCAAGAAGGATGAAGACACCAACGGAGCTACGCTGGTAGCGGGCAACTCGGATGTCCCATCCATCGTCACCAATGGCGATGCGCCAGCTCCAGGCTCAGGACTGCGCCGATCAACAGGCCTTGCTTTGGACGGTGCTGAGGCGCCTAATACGCCCCCTGGTACTTCCCACGGTAATGGCAACGCCCATCACCGAACGCCAAGTATGGGTGGTGTGTCTATTCACAGTATGGCTCCTACGGGCGCTGGCGCTGGCACAGCCACCTTCCAGGTCATTTCAGCCTCTGGCTTCCCGCCAGCGTCTGACGTTTATGTCATGATTCGTCAGTTGACCCCCAAGGAAAAGACAGTAGGCAAGACGAAGCACCACGAATCACCCTCAGGCCAGATCCAGTTTGATGAGACATTCAAGCATGCCTGTCATGCGGACACTCAATTCCGCGTTGATGTCAAGGGTCATCACACTTTTGGCAGCGATGATGACCTGGGTGAGACCCTGTTCTTCGTAGACGATACTGGCGGTAGCGAGAAGGAGATCAAGGTCGGCTCCGGATCGGTCGTCATCAAGAGCTCTTTCGTCGAGGCCGCTTCTTCCCTGACAACTGGCAGCCCACGCAGCGCCAACCCGATGAGGCGAAGCTTTTTGTCCAAGAAGGAGAACAGAACCAGCCGTGAGAGCACACCTACGTAGAAGCGAACATGCGTTAAGAGGGCAACGCTACGCGCTCAGCGGAAGATTTGGGGTATACACCACCGGACGGAAGGGATTGTGGGTAGGGGCCCATGTGGCACAACGGGAAGGTCGGAGACTGAGAATGGGAGTCTGATACAAAAGGCGTCGAGAGTTATTCTGCTTTGTGCTGATACGAATCTCCTTGCGTATCGATACCTTCATCACTCGAGTATATAGGATTTTCTATGCTAGGTTTAGAGCAATATCATTTAATGCGATGACTTAACCAGATACTTTGCAATGCGTTTCCCATTAATATTGTGGGCTCTTGAGTGCAAGTCTTGCCACGGCCAGACATCCCTTTTCCCGCTTGTTATGTCATTGCAAACATGTTGAAGAACATGAGTCTGACCAACACTGCTCTTGACTTGGCAACTACTAGGCGTTCTGTAAATGGTGCAACACCACGATACCCAAAATACTGAAGAACACAGATGTCTCTAGCTTGTTTTGACCCGCGGTGTGTACTACTTACAGTGGTAGCTGCTGCAAGCCAGTCCCAGCTCTCATCGGAAAACCAAGATACCAAGCTGTCTCAAATGTCGCAAGAAGATGGCGCAAGCGCTCGCGAACATACATACACCGGTGAAGACGATGACCCAATGATATGGCGAAGATGATGGAGTTCCGGCGGGCTTTGAGTTGGAAACGAGAAATCCACCAATAGGTCCGGCAAGCACATTTCCGATACCTTTACCGAAGTTGAGCAGGCTAAAGACCATTGGTCCTGACGTCACATCATCAGTTATGGCGGTGCTTATCCGCGCCCAGATGGCAGTGAACCCTGCGCCGAAGAATCCGTATACCATGGCGAAGATCATCAAGACTGGGAGCGACTGCGCTAGTCTCCACGTGGTCAAGCAAGCAATAGCTGCAACCACAGTTGACAAGCAAGCCAGAATGTCCAGTGGTACTTTGCGGTCAGAAAGCAGGCCAAAGACGAATTGGCCACCGACTTGACAAACGCTCATCAGCGCGAGCAGGAGCGCGCCGCTCTTGCTGCCAAGCTTGAGGGATGATGCATAAGATGGTAGGTACAGAGAAGGGAAGAAGTACCCAAACCCTTGCAACAGGTTTGAAACCGAGTATACCCAAAAGAGAGGACTTCGGAAAAAGGTCCAGTTGATTCTGGGGATACTGGCCCTCTCCGAGGGCGGCAACCGACCCTTCAAGAGAGGAATGACCGGTCCCGTGAGCAACGCGAGAGCCACAGCAACAGCGCGGAGCGTCGTCTTGTATCCGTACTTTGCCAATAGCGCCTGCAGCACGAACGGCATGACAGTACCGGAAACACCAGAGGCACCGCAGAGGACTCCGTAGGCCATGCCACGGCGCGCGATCCAGTATTCGTTGACCATGCTGAGGATGGGGTAGTAGAATATTAGGAAACCGAAACCGTAGGCCACACCTTGAGTGAGAATAAGCACTTCCAACGTGGATGCGAAAGAGCCCAAGACGAGACCGCCAATACAAATCGGCCCTGAGATGCAAGTTAGCACTTAAGTCTCGACACCCTAGCCTAGCTCTGTAAATAGAAGACGTACAGCCAACCCAAATCATCTGCCGCTGCCACCGCTGATAGCGCTGAGTAAACGGCATGATGAAGGGTGCTCCGAGATACCCAAATCCGGATGCTATGGTACCAACAACGGAAATGTAGCGATTATTGGCAAACTCCGGAATATTGGAGTAATATTCTTGAAAAACACCGAAAGAAAGGGGAAAGCCTGTATATGATTGAGATTAGCCTCATCCATCGAAATTGGAGCAAGAGATATGCTAACCCCATAGCAATGTCTCGAACATAAAGGCAGCACAGAGCAGCCTCCACGCAGCAGCTCCTCCATCTACAGGCGCAAGGTCTTGGCCCAGTCGCCTGCCTGCCGTCGGCTCGCCCTCTACATCCACCGACTGCGGTGATGCTCGTTCACGGGCCTCAAAGGCGGCTGTAGGAGCTGTGCTTGCTTGGGGCAGCACAAAGGTTTCGAGTTCGATGTTACTCATGGTTGAAACCTAAGGAAGACATGCAACGACCTGAAGGCTCATTGCGAGTTTTGAAGTTATCATCCTGGTCACGAAGCTTAGAGCAGCATGATGGGTATCATTTAGACCTAGACAGACGTTTTACCGAGGCCAATGGCACGACAAGGCTAGCGCTTCGACATGCGGGGCGGAAATGCAGCCAAGGCTGACGGTAGCAGTGCCTGACGTACTCGCGGAACTACTTCTGCGTTTGACATTGACATGTGGTTCGATACAGATTATAATCAAGTGCCACGCCTCGGATTTGATCTCATTACAACTTCCACACGAATTTTCAGCAGACGCGGAAAGAGACGCTCACTACGAGTGTACACCAGATGGCTTCTCCAGGCCAGAACCCGCACATTATCAACGACTTGGCTAGATTAAGCGAGTTTTCCCTTTCGATACGGGAATTCTTGTCTGAAATGCTCCGCAATTCGTTGTCTTGTTGTGACCCAGACACCAGGCTTTGCGGCAATGTACTTGACAAACTCTTTAACTGCCCCTGAGCGCCCTGGTTTGCCAGAGATCCGACAATGCAAACCGATAGTCATCATCTTGGGCATGCCTTCCAGGCCCTCTTCATAGAGGACGTCAAATGCTGCCTTGAGATACTCGGTAAAGTCTCTTCCTGTACTAAATCCTGATGCTGAATGGAATTTTACGTCATTGCAGTCGTAGCTGAAGGAATGAGCCATGATTCTAACCGGGTAATGGGACAACCTCACCTATAAGGTATCATAAGCATTCCCTTGGGATGAGGCGATGCATCTTCTGAAGGTACATCCACCCAGAAGGGTACGTCGTCTGAATAGCTATCACTCTCGTACAAAAGCGGAATGCCCATCTCTTCATATACTTCATGGATGATTGCTTTCGAATAAGGAGAGATGGCACCATAATACCATCCTACAGGATACTTCCCTGTTGTCATCTTAAGGCTTTCAAGCTGGCGGACTATGTACTGTTTTTCAAGTTCTGGAGTCATGCCCTGGTAAGTTACCCATCTGTCGTTCCCTATTAGTCTTCACGGCATGGCGAAAACGCGAAAGCTTGGTTGTATACCTGTATCCGTGACTGGCAACCTCGTGGCCATTCTGTGCGAGTGCTTCTGCCACTTGAGGGTTTCTCTCTAGCGCCTGTCCGATAGCATATGCTGTGATAGGAAACCCATGGTGCTCAAATATCCGCAACAATCGCCATACACCGACTCGAGAGCCATAGTCGTAGTCGCTCTCTGAGTTGAGAGCTCTTTCACCTATCTGAGCCGGTTTCTCCGACTGCTCCCACAAACGATTTTCAGACTGCGCATCTCCATTGGAAACCGATCGCTCTGAACCCTAGAGGTGTAAAGTATCCGCTGAGCAACGTGCAGTTTTGGAGGTAAATGGTACATACTTCTTCGTAGTTGAGCACAAATGAAACCGCGATCTTGGCACCATTTGGCCATCGCGGATTGTGGGATTCCCTTCCGAACCCGACATGGTCTCGTGGGAAATCGTACCTCGTCCCTGTAAGTGGGTCGCCGTTCGGGGCGTCTAGAATAGCTGCACTTCCATCGCGATTATAGGCCATGACCCGAATGCAGAATCGGTACCGGAAGCGGGTGAAAGAACTCCTAATATGTTGAAGAGAAGCCCTTGATCTAGAAGCTTTGCTTGAATGCGTCTGCCGTGATGATTGTACGTCGACCGAAACGAGCCAGCTCCCGATGCAAGGTCCGCGGCGTGCGGGGAGCTCCCGATCCGGAGACTTTCTTATCATCCCGTCGGCGGGTGCGGCGTCGATCTTATCTCGATGTCGTAACGTCGTGCTTTCTTGCCCATGACACCTTGAACGTCCTTTGTACATCTGGAAACCGGAAGTTTAGAGGCTTTAATAGCTAAACGATCGTATTTCTTCAAGAGCCAGACATTGTTTCTTTAGACTAGCCATGATTAAATTGCTATGCTAATAGATCATTTCACGAATCGCGAATTCTCAGTCATGCAAGTGACATAGCACTCTTTCTAGGTCTTTGACCTTGCCCTCTTATCACCTCAAGTCGAGTTATTGTGGTTCCTGGTTCCTATCTGCACTATTTTAAGTCAGTTATCAGCGTGACTCGGCCGAATCCTGCACCAGGCCCCTGCTGCACGTAGAGCTGCACGCAGGCAAGACATGATGCTCTGCTCTATTATCTCTCTTATCTCAGTCGGACCGGCTCCGGTATGTCTTGATATACTGCAACGCCCTGCACGCTGCACGTTGTTGTAGATCCAGGCTGCGCTTTAGATCTGCCGCTGGTGCCGTTGCATACATTCGGGCCAACATGAGCGTCTGGAAACGAATCGACGAGGCGCTTCGAACCAAGGAGAGCGATTTTAACGAAGCCGAGAAGGATGGCAAGACTTGGTCAAACGAAGACCTTGACCCAAGTCCGCCCTCTGCGAGGACATGGGGACATTGGGATTATTTCGCCTTCTTCTGGGCGGTTTCTTTTAACCCAATCGCTTGGAATAGCGGAAGTAGCCTGGTGGCATTAGGCCTGGTACGTGACCTTGTTATTGGAAGGCATGGTTCGTTGACTCATTCTTGCAGCTGTGGTGGCAAGCGACTGTGGCCGCTATCGTCTCCTGCATGATCATGGCGACGTTCCTCGTGCTCAATTCGCGTGGCGCGTCCGTCTACCACGTTGGTTACCCGGTCTACGTCCGCATTTGCGCCGGTCTGTATGGATCTCTATGGTTCGTATTCATACGTGGAATTGTCGCCATCTTCTTCATGGGCACCCAGTCGTATTATGCAGGCCAACTCGTCTCCGTGATGTTGCGCTGTGCTTTTGCCGACAAATGGACTGGAATTCCAAACACTTTACCGGCGAATGCCGGCATTACTACGACTGGTATCACAGCCTTTTTCATTTTCTGGTTTATCCAGCTTGGTTTTATGTTTCTCCATCCATCGAAGTCTGCGTGGTTATACACATTAAAGTCTGTCATCTGTCCTCCAGTTCTCATTGCAACTTTTGCATTTGCGGTTGGTACCAATGGTGGCCTTGGTCAGACGACAAGCTTGGGAACAGTTGCTACCTCGTCCTCTGTTGTTGGATGGGGATTCATGAATGGCATCAACAGTGTCTCTGGGAGCCTAATGACAGAGGTTTCGTCCAATCCTGACCTTGCACGATACGCGAAGTCCTCAGCTGCAACGACATGGCCCCAATGGTTTGGTTTGGTTGTTGCCAAATCATTGTGTACCTTCTTAGGTATAGGGGCATCAAGCGCTGTCAAGACACTTTGGGGGACCGCTTACTGGAACATATGGGACCTCTATCTTGCCATTCTTGATCACAATGTAAGGTATTTCGCTCTTGTGCAATGCAGCTATTCTAAATTCAAGTAGTGGAATGCAGGGGCCCGAATTGCGGTATTCCTCGCTTGCCTTGTGCAAGTCTTCGCAGTCATTGCTACGAACCTCGCGGCGAACGCCCTCCCTGTAGGGTCAGATCTTACGGGTTTGTTCCCACGGTACTTCAAGTACGTAATACAACATGAACTTCAATGTACATCTGCTAACCCTTTGTAGCATCAAAAGAGGCCAAATCATGTGCGCCGTGCTTGCAGTAGCCACTTCACCTTGGAAATTGGTGAATACTGCATCGTTGTTCCTCACTTTTCTGAACTCCAACGTCGTGTTCCTTTCACCACTGGTCTCCATAATGATCACAGATTACTTCTTCATTCGCCGCGGAAACGTTCACGTGCCATCTCTGTACATTCCGAATTCCAATTCACCTTATTGGTATTGGAAAGGACTCAACCCAAGGGCATTCGGCGCTTGGCTGATTGGTCTGCTTTCGGTGATCCATGGTTTGGCTGGCAGTTTTAACGCCAACTACAATGAAGGGAGTAAACATATCTACAGCATCGGCATGTTGATGAGCTTCAGCATTGCGGGTCCTTTGTATTACCTGGCGAATGTAATTTGGCCGGTAGATATTTATCCACCCGCATATGCCAGTGCTCCGAAGACCCGGGAGTTTTTGGGTAAAAGTGATGGTTTCTTTGCAGATGAGGTTATTATCGGACTTGAAGAAGACAACACTGCCTCGACAGGGGAGATGTGGGAGGCCAAGGTTTAAATTAAAACTAATTGTGTCACATGTTGGGCGAGTGTAGTATAATACAATACAGACAATAACCCTGCGATACTGACTCCATACAACGGAATCCTGTGTGGAAGATTGTACTATATATATACTCCTTTACTCTATCATATCGACATATATGCCGCTATAGGTATCCTGAAAGATTAAACAATATCGGTGACCGACACTTCCCTCTTCATGGTTATTGAATCTACGTCTGCGAGTTTTGAAAATTTCCCTTCCGACGTGATCTTCACCATCGCAAAATGAGTCTGAATATCCGGCTGATGCACTCTTGGTACGCTCTGCCTGCCAGGATGATACTCCATGGTACCACTCACGGTTGAATCACCAGCATTATACCGACGTGAGGAATTAAGGAACCTGAATTTTCGGAATAGGGGTTTCAGGGTTGCCAAGCACGAAGCTGCAAGACCGGCGCCGATCTCCACGGTGCTCCAGATTCCGAGATTTGTGAACCTGTAGAGATAATCTGGGGCAATGAGGAAGTCCTGAGCATACGGAATACGTACGATGGATGCAACGGAGGCTCTGTTGAAACGGTGTCAGTGTCGTGTTCTTGTGCGATTCGTGAAGAGAGCGTTGCGAAACTAGACCCACATCGATCCGATCGCCAGCACAATATATGTCGTAATCTTGAGTCTCTTTTCCATCTTCAAATTCCACAAAACGGTTGCTGGCACAATGGCTAGAATCCAATCCACTATGACATTTAGAAATGCCGAAATATAGGTCGGAATTTTGCCAAGCAATGGATCATTGCAGTTCGTAAGATCCGTTGGCTCAACGCCGTATCGTAGCCACTCATGTTCAATAGGGTGGCAGGAGTTGATGTTGAGTAGGGCATAGAAAATGCTGTAGACAGCCACGATACCCATCATTACCCATAATGTAATGTTCTGCCATCGTTGCCTCGTACAGACACGCGTCAAGAAAATCCCAACGACCAGCTTGGTGAGGCCTGAGACTAGGATATAGAAAGTAATGGCGATCCATCGCCACATTATCGCCTTCGGCCGTTGTTCGAGAGGTACGTCCGCGACATGAGATCCATTTCCGTAGCTGATGGATGCTAAAGCGGCAGCAGTAAAGACACAATAGAACACCTAATAATATTCATTTACTTAGAACTTGGGATACGACGAAGACCTATACGATCCAAGCAAGGGGTATCTTACAAATGCCACCACTGCTAGCCAGTCCTCAAGGGCGAATATCTTTACAAGCGCTATTCTCGTATAGCACCGCGCAGCAACACTGAAAGTGCACAAGACTAGGAAAGCGACCAAAACGGCCTGAAATTGGCCACCGCGGCTGTCGCTCATATCGGGAAAATTCTCAAAGAGAGAGAGTTTCATGGTTTTCACGAATTCTAGTTGCCGTCAGTCATGGATTAAAAATCACGTCCATAACGTACACGGGCTAGCTCTCAAGTCGGATAGCCCAGCCTTAAATGTCAAGGAACAAACCGGGCAGGCACACGAACAACACGCGGAGTCATTATGCTGCCGATGCGGCATGCATCAGCGGACGGAGTGGGTGTGTATATCTATATGTGTGGAAGGTCATAGCTTTGTGTCCCTCTTGGGGCCAAATGCCAATGCCTAGAATCCGGCTTGTCCAACGAATCAGTCATGTCTCTCTTGCATGTCGTCAACGAGCTTCCTTTAGCGGCCAAAGGCTGAGGCTCTCAGCGGAGGGGGCTGTCGAACGCTGGTAAACCGCCCGGAAAACCCTATGGCATTGAAGCCGGATTTGGACAAGTGGCAGATGCTCCGCAGGGTGTGTGGGCCGACTATACGATTTCGGAATCTTGGCCGATGCTAGATAACTCATGTATTAGATACACCAACCCCCCTTCCCCCACACTGGACTGTCGCCCCACAGGCATCGATTGAACTATGGGGAAACTTATTGTTACGTTCTTACAAGTATTGGACGGGAATACGCAGACATTTCGGGTAATCACTATGATACATAGAAACCTCCTGCATCACTCATACTGCCGCCCAACACGCAGAGTTAATGTTTCAGGTGGGTTTGCGTGCCGAAATCGACCAGCGCCACCAGCCAGTAGATTCATGCACCAATGCACGGCTAGGGGAAACCTCGACATGGTGCCGCGCTATCAATTGCAATCCTAGGTTGGGCTAGATTGCCAACTAACGCCTCAAGCCATCATCGGATGTGAGGGGGCAGTTTTACCCATACCGCGTGAAAAGGCTGAACCTCTCCGACATTGTACTCCGCTTGTTATTCAAGCCACAGGTTCAGATCTAATTTCCGGCCGATGACTAGCTTCTTCCAGTGTAAATGTAAGCAAACATTTGGCTAGCGGAGCCTTGGAATAGTTTCACCATTCGGGATGCTTTCCTGGTATGGATATCCTCTCCAGGTAAATTCTCAAGAGAACGCCGAGAATCCAGAAAACCCGCTTCTGGTATCATGTAATCGGCTTCAGAGAGCCGGATTTCGGGGTCGCCCAATGTCCTTGCTATCCATGGGCACACAGCCTTCACACAAGCTTGCACTATTTCCCTGTGGGGACACCGTAACACACCAGGATGATGCGATGCTAGGATATGGTACTGGGCCCGCAGTTGATAATACCTTCTTCAACGACTAACGAATCTAGTTAACCAATTGGTCACAGACAACAAGTCGTTAGGACGACGCCTTTCGAATATCAAACCGTAAGTACCTTCGAGCGAGGAGACCAGGAGAAATGCCCTATCCCTCTATAGTTGAATCTATCTCGTTTTCTATTCAACCTCTCAATAAGGTCTTGCCATCACTATCATCCAGCTGGACTCTGATTACCCGCGCATGTCTCTTCTTGTCATCCAGATCTCTGGCCGAGCCAAGTTGCGTTCTGACGTCCTCGTCCAAACCATGAAACAGCATCGCAAGAGCGCTACTCTTCAGGGGTTTTGTATCGGATTGGTGCGTGCGGTATATGGCTGCCATCAGAAACAATGCTGTAGCAGCCACAATTACGATGGGCAGAACGGCAAAGCCCCAACGGACATGTACAAATGACTGCATCGATATGGCCTGACCCGAGACTGGCACAGCGCCCATGAAAGACCGGAACGCGACAGTCATCGAGGTTGCCATGTCAGCCATCAACATGTCGATGCCGTCATTGTCTTTATACTCATAGTAGTTCCAGTAGAAGGCGGTGACGATGTCCGAGTCGAAGAAAGTCACGCCGCTCGAGATGCCCACCGTAAGGTTTACGACAACTGAGTTGTCAGTGATCGTACGATTAGAGTCGCTTGTTGTTCGGACCGCAGATCCAGTAGCAAAGAGGGAGGAGAACCATCCGCGCATGCTGAGCATTGCTTCTTTTCCGACAGTGTAGGTCGCGTTGTCAGCACCTGTAACATATGCTGCAAGATCCGCGTCTTCCGTATGCTTGGTCATATCAACGACAGTCTGATTGATAACCCGATTTGTCACGCTTTCGTTGAGCACGCCGTTGACAACAGTAGAGTCTATAGTCTGCAGGCAAGCGGAAAGCGAGCACTGCTGAGCCCATGGTTTCAGCTCCCCTGCCAGGCCGTTCTTTGCCTCTGTACCCATGAAGATGAGTTTTAGAATGGTTGAATGAGGCATATCGCCGTTCACCGATGGGATTAATGGCGTCATGCTGAATACTTGGGCGCTATTGTTCAATTTTGCGCCTTGAGGAACTTCCCATCCACAGCCGATGTCTTCGTCACCAGGGGCGCAGTATCTGCTCATATATGGGGTCAAATCGACGCACTCGTGGCAAACCCCAGCAGTTTCGAAGGATGGCCATGTGCAATTGCCTGTCTGGCATCCAAATTTCAAGGCTGCATTCGGTCTCCCGTTCTCCGCAAACAAACCGTTGTACACAGCTGACTTGAGGGGCAGAATAGGAACATAGCCAGCTATCCACTTATTAGTATGACTCTCTAGTGAATCACTCATGTGTGACTTACTAGGTGTTGTTTCCCCTGGTAGAGCACCAGTATAGTTCAGTGCACGAGCAATTGTAGCGCTATCGGGGGTCTCAATCATGATCGATCGTGTCTGATACGTGACAATCTGCTGAGCGAAAGGCCCGAGAGCAAGAGTGACGATAGCAATGACGGCACCCAACGAGCCAAGAAAGCTAAGTATTACGTATCAGCATCTGTTTTGATCATGAGCAGCGAGGTGGACGTACCCTCCACGAGCGCTTATCAAAAGCTTGAGAGCACCCCAGGTTCCGCGGCTGGCTTCGTCAAATGTCTCCATATCAGCCAACGGTACCCTTGACTCCTTGAAGCGGATCCATTTCAGCTGGGATATACCATTCTGTAATGATATGCTCATGGTGGCTATCGCTACAGTTGCCAGCAAAGCGATCAGAGCGTTCAGCGTGATATAGTATGGCCAATCTGGGAGCGGACGATCATTGAACCGTGCAAGAACACCCATAATACCGCCGACGGCCGCGATGGCGAGGATGATGGTAACAATCTCGAGCGTCCACGACCGTATGCTCGAAGGCCGCCGCACCTTCTTCAGGGATTTTTCGTCCGAATACTGGTATGGCTGTTCGAGGGGTATGTTGACTGTTGCAGTGCTGCCACTCCATCCTCGCTGATGGGACGTGGTCATTGGCGTCGCACTATTCCAGTAAGGATTCACTTGATGGTACTCGGTTGTAGAGAACCCTTTCTGTCCATCCCAACTCGTTAAAGACTCTGTCTCCGGGGCTGTATAGTCTTGCTGGGCGGGTGGATGTCGCTGCTCATCTTCGGAAGTACTGTGAGTGGCCCCTGGTCGGGTCTCATTATAACTATAATCATGCGCTGGAATATATGCCATCGTGTCACGGACGCCGCGAAGCTTCTCGGATGGATCCTGACACAGGTTCCAAAACTATCATTATCGAGACACGCCGGGCTGTCGACGGCAGCCTGATGAATATATAGCACTGCGTATCTATGTCGTGCATGTGCGCTGAACAAGTGTTGGTGACCAACATGCATTATTCTGCGACTGTTGGGCGGCGCAGCGCTGCATAATTGCTTGGCAAGGCTTGTTCATTGGTAGTGTGTTCGGCAGAACGACTTTTGTAGGCGGGCTGATCTCCAATCAGGGAAGTGAGCAACGAATATTTGCGGCGTGCTAATGCAGCTCGCTCAACCAGCCATTGACTGCGTCGGCGATCTTACATGTGCTGATAAGATGTGTATTGCCAAGCCTTACCACCTCGGAGCCTGCCGTCTTGCTCCCACATCATAGGTCGAAGTCAGGCTTTCTCCAAGTTATTCAGATGCAATGAACAAGCAACCGCTGCCACTATGTATCAATCAGGAAGACAAGTCTGAAAAGAAGAGAGACAAGCTGAACCAGTGTTTGTTTGGTCAGACCCGGTATACCAGGACAGCGCCGTGGCTATGCGCTATATGACGACTTTCTCAGCAGCCCTTGCCCAGATTCAGCAACCACGGAATGATCTGTGGGACTTCCGAATCTACGAATTGCCTCCGAAAGATGAATGTGTGTGGCGGGCATTGTGACATCCCTTTCAGAGTAAATGGTTCGGTATGCTTTGGACATCCCGAGACATTGTCAAGGCTTTCATTGCAACAGCCGGTCGACGTTGTGCGATACCGAATATAAGAGCAATGGCTCACAGAATGCGTTGATCCGTGTCGAAGGATTTGCAAGACCGACCCGGAACAGCGACCAGCCTCCAGAGCATCTCTACGCACCCACAGCGAAGACGGACACCCGCTGAAGCGTTCAACAAGACGAGCTCTTTCCTATGGCGTATGTCTCCTATGCCTGGGTTGGCAAAACCAATACCACAAAAACTGAACGCGTTAGCAGTGAATTAGTAAACACCAACCTAAACAATCAAGTTTAGGCCCTCATTGATACACGCTCCTTATGAAAATCTTCAGTATCATGATTGCGGCATTCCTAACCCATTTCGAAACCGACAAGCGTCTTGTTTTGGGTTTTAATAGAACAGAGTCAGCGGAACCCGAAGCTGATCTCTCACACAAATGACAAAGATTCACATCAACTTGTGCTGCGTCCGAGTCATTGACCACTTGGGAAGAGTAGCACATGTAACTTAGGAAAATTGGAATCGCAGATATGACATGGGATAGCAGATGAACCGTTGGAGAATTAGATAGGAATGTTACAATAACTGAATCAGATCGGGTTATCCTATCACAACGGAATAGTAAAAGTCACAACGCACCGGAACGCCCTTGTCGGCCAAGGCCGCGAGCGGAGAAACCATGCGACCAAACGGCGGAGCCTTAGACATATGATAGAAGCTTCTCTTACCGAAAAGAGAAATACCCAAGGTAATCCACATGCCTGTCCTCTAGGACAATCTCCAGCAGTTCGCCGTGTAAGTCGGGAACCCAGACCCTAGATACGAATGAGGTAGGCGGTGGGGTCGCACTAACAGCACTTAGAGACGGGACCTGAGTTGAAGGTCGAATCAAATCCGCACCCGCTTGGCCGCCAGACAAAGCCGCCGAGCCACTGGCGAGTGGACACCCCGAGAGCCGTGAACCCGTAGAGACCACAGTAGGATGGAGACGACTGACGACTGACTCTCGGCCTGCGAGTCCGCGTGCAATCACGTCATCTGCACACGGCGCTTGTCTCCCTCTGCCGGGCGCGGCGCTAGCGGGGTCAGCGTTTCTGTTTTTTTGGGCAGGAGGTATTTTGACCGGGATCGGGGGTAATATTGTCTTGTGCCTTGCATCTAAAGGACTACCCAGTTGCATTCATCCATACAACGGAAGACCTCTTTGCGCTTGGGATTTTACATGTGCCTGAGATTCGGAGCGAAGCTGCTATAATAAGAACAAGTTTCGGTTTTTGGAACTTGTGTTATACAGTCTCTAGACACAGGCGAAGGAAACGTCCAAAGATCTGAGTTATGGCAACGTGAGTTACTACTGGCTTGGGGATATGCCCCTCCATCCATTTCATCGAACCCCGCCATCACCCCCAATAACCCCCCCGATACCCTCAGCAAAGATGCTCTGCGACGCCTCTGCCGAATCCCTTTGGCTTCTGAGACCGTGATACTGACAATGCCCGTCCGCATAGCAACATCACATGGCACCCGTCGCTCTCGCGGCGCGAGCGCTTCGAGACCCGCGGCCAGCGCGGCATGACCATCTGGTTCACGGGCCTGTCGGCCTCGGGCAAGTCGACCGTGGCCACGGCTCTCGAGCAGCACCTGCTGCACCTGGGGCTGGCCTCGTACCGCCTGGACGGCGACAACGTGCGCTTCGGCCTGAACAAGGACCTGGGCTTCAGCGAGAAGGACCGGAACGAGAACATCCGCCGCATTGCTGAGGTGAGTTGTCTTGCGATTTTTGTGGCCTTGGGAGATGCCACGGAGGAGAAGTGCGACTACGGATGAGCACAATATAGACTTGAGGGAAGAGAGGGAGAGGGGGACAGATCACCAGGACACATGGCAGTTCGTTTGCTAACGCAGCCGACAATTCGCAGGTCGCCAAGCTCTTCGCCGACTCGAGCACCATCGCGCTGACGTCCTTCATCTCGCCGTACCGGGCGGACCGCCTGGTGGCGCGCGAGCTGCACGCGGCGCAGCAGGGCGACGACGAGCCGCTGCCCTTCATCGAGGTCTACGTCGAGGTGCCGATCGAGGTGGCCGAGCAGCGCGACCCCAAGGGCCTGTACAAGAAGGCGCGCGCCGGCGAGATCAAGGAGTTCACCGGCATCTCGGCGCCCTACGAGGCCCCCGAGAACCCCGAGATCGTCATCAAGACCCACGAGAAGAGCGTCGAGGAGTGCGTGGCCCAGATCGTCGAGTGGCTGCAGGCCAAGGGCTACATCAACGTCAAGAAGGCGTAGACGGCGGACAGATATTCCGATAGAGTCGGTTCCGCGTATATAGAATCTGGTACGGCAGAATAGACTTGGATCCCCATGACCATTGGTGCCAATTGGCGCTTTGAACTGGAGAAAATAACAGATTCTCTAAGTGGTATACTTGGGGCTATGCGAAATCATGAACTGTGCCCATGCCACAATGTAAATGACCGGGCAGACTGCCCTGCAAGTTCCTAGCGCTGGCTTCTTCTATACCTTTATACCTCAATCTCATAGTACACGTATGCGGTATAATCCTCACCGAGTCCTGCCGCCGCCATTTCCGAGGACAAGGCCGCGTCGTCTTTCGTGATCCTACCACGCTTGTCGCGACCGAACGCATTGCCTCCCAAATGCGAGAAGGCCTTGTCGAGCGAATCCTTGACCTTCTTGGATACCTTGGGGGACGACACGATCAGGGCGGGCACGTACTCCAGAGGCAAGCCGTAGCGGAGCACGCTCTCGACGAACACCCGCAGCGCCAGGACGTGGGCCCAGATCATGACGCTCTCGGACCAGCCGGTGCGCGAGAGCCGCAGCGCCTCGCCCCATACCTTCTTCTCCTCCTTGGCGACGCGGTCGAACTCCTTCTGCTCCTCCTCCCTGCCGCCCTCGACGTGCTTGTACGGCCGGGGCGTCCACTTGTTCTCGCGGCACTTTGCTTGAAACTCGGCGCTGTGCTTCTTGAAGGTCGTGGCGGCGAACAGGGTGAACTCGTCATCCTGGGCAACCTGGGTGGCGGACCGCGGGACGACCATGGGCGAGATGCTCTCGTAGCTCTTCAGGAACTCCTTCTTGACGTTGGTCGGGACGGCGATGAGGTGGGTCTCGAGGTATTCCGAGTCCGAGATCAGGACCGAGGGGTCGACGATGGGGGTGAGGGACTTGGTGGCCAGGTTGCCGGTCTGTTTCCGCTGCAGGGTGGCGAAGTTGGTCTTGACCGAGGTGTACTGGTTGAACTTGCCCTTGACGTCGTTGTCGATGGTGACGAGCTCCTTTTGCAGGTTGTCGACGAGCTCGCCGATCGGCTTGTCGGCCCTGTATCGTACCTTGTTCCAGGAGAAGGTGCGCAGATAGTTCTCGGTCGGCTCTGCGGCACTCGTTAGTAGGCACGACGCGGGATGGCGCGCGGGCGGTGGGCGGTATCGGGAGCAAGCATACTGTCGTTGACCATCTTCTGCTGGGCGATCTTGTCCTCGTTGCCGTCGAGCAGAGTGCGCAGCGAGTCGGCGACCTTGGCAACGAGGCCCTGGCAGGCGGTCTCGAGCTTGCCCAGGTCGTCGGCCTGCTGGACGAGGGCGTCCAGCGTCCCGATCTTGAAGTTGGGGATCTGGAAGGGGAGCACGTCGCCATTCTCGCCGGTCGAGGTCTTGAGGGTGTCAAAGGTGTCCTCGTCTCGGGGCAGCGAGACGAAGATGTACTTTGTAGCCATAGCGAAGGCCTGGCTTTCGCTTTCGGGGATGGGTTGAGGGCAGGCAGACGGTCGGAGGTGAAGCACTTGGGGTACGGCGAGCTGCTCGAGGGTGCCTCCGGGTTCCCAGGTCAGTTCATGCCCGGCATGGGGGCACTGACGTTGGCGGCGGAGGGCCAGCCAGCCATTGGTCCTAGCCGCCTGGGATTCTATGGGGCCCCTAGGAGACAGCTAGAGGTCCCCACCTGCCTCACCTCCAAGCAACCAAGTAAACACGGGCGTCCGCATTGTTCGCTATAGGACCAAGAGGGGAGAGGATTTCACACTTACTGACGCAGGTAAGTAGATATGCATAATTGTGAGAACAATGAGATTTGAGGGAACGCAAGAGTCTAAGCCTCCAGACACCTTGCCTTGACTGCCTGGATACTTGTCTGGCACGGCGCACGGCGCACGGCGCATCACGACGGTGGTAACTCACTCTGTTGCTTCAGAATGCCGACTAAAGCAAAACCAACACCATCTAACTCGACTTCGTTGTCTATAATGCAGAAATTACATGGTGAGATTGGCGTATACAAACGAAGAGCATGTTTGCCAAATAGGCCGACGCTGGCGCCAGGCAACCAGGCATTAGCCAACGCTGACATCTTGGATGACACCAATGCGTCTTACTTGAAGTTGCTGCTTGTACCAGACTCCAGGCAGACTTGTGATGAGGTATACGAAGTACTCACGCACAAATATTCTTAGACACTTCTGCACGGGCAGTTGGACGTGCAGATCCAATCCGAATCCATTCCAAGGTTCCAGTTCACTCCAACCAACTGCTTAGTGGGAAGCACCCCGCATCATGCATGCAATGACCTCGAGCAGCAGCCAGGCGTTCTAAGGGAAGGGCTCGATGTCTGAGAGGACGGGAGGTGCATCCATCCAGATGCTGGGATTAGCAGACTGGCCCCCCAGTGCCAGGATCTGCTGTAGGTATGGGCATGTTGACTTGCCTGCGCTTCAGGGTTCTTCCTCACAGGAACTCCAGTGCTACCCAATATGCCACCTCCTAAGCAGTTCGCTTCCGAGAACTAATTATAAATGGGGGAGGCCACGATCCCGTCCGGCATACGATGAAATACCCGGCCGAGCTGAAAATAGATCCTACCTACCTCACATGGTCCTGGCCTGCCCGCCCAACGGTTCTACAGCTGACATAGACGAGGGAAGAGACCAAATTAACCGCGTTTGGGTCTCTCCCATGACGAGCAGAGACGGCACGCACAGCCAGCCGGTGGTCAGCGGCCGTCTCGCCTCTGCCCGCAACACCCCAGAACATTGCCTTGAAATACAGGGAAGGCCAGAGCGCAGACAGGGCGTCTAATGCGGCCGCCAGCCACCAACCAGCCCGCCAGCCCACCAGCCCACCAGCCCACCGCTGTCGTCGCTGTCCCGTGTCACAACCCACGCTGCCGCTAGGCCAGAATCAGCAGTGCACATCGACCCTTGGCCCAAAGTGTCGACGTGGAAAACCAACCGCCGCCGCTGCGCTGCACTCTGGCAATTGGGAGGGACCTTGGGGCATCGACTTGCAGGTCTGCCAACCTCTGGCCTGTATGCTGTCTGTAGTCGCACGAGCACCGAAAACCGCGCTCGCCGGCCCGTCTCTGTTGCGATCCATCAGCCAAGTGCCTGAGTGCCCTCATCCACAGCGGCCGGACCAGCGGGACCTTCGAACGACTTATCGACGCCGCACGGCTGTTGCGTCGGTGGTATCTAGGTGCTCACGCTCGTACGAGCCCCTCCCGAGGTCGCGACACGCATCAACAAACTCGCTGTCGCTGTCGATATCTGCTGCTCCGGTCAGCCCACCTCCCTATCTACTGCCCGTCCTCTGGCAGACTCTTGCTACATACATCGCGCCCAACCAGCCCGAGACGACACACCGCCGGCATAGCATACCTGCCACGACCACCGCGGCCACGAACCCACCTATGAAATCTTGCTAGACTGCGAAACTCCCAGTTGCAGTGACCTCGAGAATGACACACTGAAGCGATATCTTGACTCCCGAGGCCGAAGCTGTGCTCGGTGCCCGCCCACCACAGAGTTCCGCGGACGGGCCGCTACGGCAATGAGCCTTGCGGTTTCTAGACCACATGGCGACCATGGCAAGTAGCACGACAGCTGCACCAGCCGTCTCGGAATTGACCCCTCAGGCTTCCTCCGCAAGTCCTGCCGTCGCGAGCAACACGCCTGTGCATCACAATGGCTCTGCCACCCCGGGAGTCGACGGGGTCATCCATCCCGGCCTACGGATGGACGTGAGAACGAGCAATGGCGCACAGCGCGACGGCCGCGTACGCAACCCGATCCCCAGCAAGCTCAAGGGTAAGACGGACGACAAGAAGGGGAACTTCAATGTCATGCACATGGACATTTCAAACACCAACGAGAGCCAGGCCAGATACGACGCTGCGAAGCGCAACAGTGAGAACACAGCCCTCCAGGCCAGACTTGCCGAGACCGACCACTACGTTTCGCACCACAGGAGGGCCAACTACTCTCGGACCAGAACTCCTGGGAAGGAGTCTTCTACCCCAGCCCCGCCTCCTCTGCTGCCGCCGCCCCGGACGCTGGCCCTGACCCCCGAAGAGACAAAGGCGGAACAGGCGCGCCTTCTTACGCTACTTCGGACTCTACCCCATGCCAACATCGTGGACCAGCTTTGCAAGGCATTGGCCTTCTTTGGTGGTATACCGGATGCTCCTCCTCCGCAGGACGGCAAGTTCCCCGAGAGCGGCGAAGCCAATGGGCCAGGCTCCCTATTTGTTGGCTGGATATCCGAGATCTTTCCGGATCTCGAACGCCCTCGCAGACCCACCATCACGCTATCTGCGCCGCCCAAGCGTCCCAGAGGCCGACCAAAGGGCAGCAAGGCCACGAAAGCCAGACGGGATAAAGGCATCAAGAAGGGGTCCAAGGCGGGCGAGGGTAGTTCCGCGGCAGCTGCATCTGCGAACCAGCAGAACGGGGATGATGAAGGCTGGGTTGATATGGACGATAGCGTGGTAAATATGGATGATCGAGACGACACTGTGGAAGACCGGGTGCTGAGCCTACTTGCAACGCCTCCACATGCACAGTCGAGAGCAGCGCCAAATGCGACTCCTGCTACAGCCTCTACCGGTTTCACATCTATTAATCCTGCCCTGGCGGAGCCTGCATCGGCCAGCAAAAGGCGCGGTCGGCCCAAGGGCTCGAAAAATCGACCTAAAGAGCAGGGCATGGAGGAACCGTTACAACATGTGCAGTCCACGCCCATTGCTGCACCGACTGCTGCTGCCACACTCCAGCCTGCTGCTTCTGCCGCCATTTCTGGCCCGGTTGGCCCAGCAAACTCTTCGAAAAAGGCCAGCGGCGCGCGACCGAAGGGCGGAAAGAAATCGAAGGCTGGAAATGATTCGACACCACAAGGCTCTGCAGCAGCCCAGCCGAACCCGCTGCCCGCTCAGACTAGCACCTCGTATATACCACCTCCCACCTTGCCGCTTGCTGCTACGAGACCGTCCGTGCCGATTAATTCCCAGAACCCCATTGTCAACGGAAGTGGGAGTAAGAACAAACGCACGCAGCTGCCCACACAAACGCAATCGGCGGCGCCCGCGCCCCAGGCGACACAACCTCTGCCTCAAGTCAAGGAGTCTACGGTGAGCGCCAAGAGGAAGCGTCAGAGCAACAAGTCTGCCGCCGCAAACGGAGCCACAGCTGGTGCGAACAACACCGGCGGCGCAGCGAGCCATGGGCCTCCACAGGCTCTGTCGACAACTCCAGGTCTAGCTTCAAGTAACATCGCCCAGCCCCAGGCTCAATTGGCTGAAAGCCATGGACGACAGAGCCCCGTGGTGGCGCCGCCTGCAAAGCGCCCTCGCAAATCGAATGCTGCCGCCTCGAAGCGTCAAGCAGCGACGGCTGGACCAGCTGTGGCTGGTTCCTCGTTACCAGTTGCCATAGAATCGTCCCCGGTGCAACAGCCCGCCCAGCAACCCCCGGCTGCTCAACACCATAAGCCAGCGGAGGGGCTTGCAGCTCATCTTGACCGGTTTGCCGCTCTTCAGAATAACAATGAACACACGCAGGCATACAGCAGTCAACATCAGGCTCAACCACAGCCACAACAACACGCGAGTATGTCTAGCAGTCACTCGACTGCTCCTGCTGCGGAAGGGCTTGAGGCACATTATGAACGGTTCCAGAATCGTCAACAGTCTGCTCAGCAGGGAGGAACTATGCGGCAACAGTCAAGGCAGAATCAACCACAGGGGGCATCTGTATCCCCCGCACCATCGCAGGCTTCAAAGCCTCAGGTAACCACCCTGCCATCGCAGCAGCAAACCCGACAGCCGTCGAATACTCCAAACTACTATAACCAAAGCCCGACTGGAGCATACACCGTGCAGCAGGGATCATACACCACGAATCCGCGTCAATCTCAGAGCACTAGCACGAGCTCGCCTGGCACTGCTCTTGTATCTCATGTAACACATTCACCACAATTTGGCTCGCAAAGCACGAATTCCCCCCTTCTGAGCGCCGACAATACTTTCCGAGGCTCACCATCCATGGGTTTTGCTCCTCGGCGCACTCCTTCAGCCTCGCCGATGGATAATAACTATCGGGCTAGCGGTGTAGCAAACCAAACCTCGCATTTCAACAACCCGCGCCAGACACCCACGACGGCCGCGCACTCAGGAGTCAGTCCTGGGTTCCAGTCCTTCCCAGATAACGGCCTGTTTGATCTGCAAGGCTTTGACTCCACAGCCAACCACAATACGATAGGCCTGGGCGCTACCGGCTCCTACGGCATGGGTCCTGCCAACGTGCAACGCAATAACAGCACCTCTAACAGCGCCTCGGCGTATGCAAATGCGTCCATGGCGAATGGAGCTTACGACCAGGGCGGACTCAGCAAGGGGACGATGAACACTGGCTACCGTGGCCAGCAGGCCCGGTGGTCATGATGACCTAACGAGAAAAGGAGTTTGGGATTTATTTTTGAGGAATTCAATTTCCGTTCTCATGTGATAATGCAGAGTCTTTCATTGTCGGCGTTTGACGGGCGGCAGCGGGATCTTTTTTTTTTTTTTTGAAGCTGGAGCATATGGCATCGTGTCTGTTTCTCCACCCAACTATGGATTTGCAAGGCCGCTTAGGATTACTTCTCCTCGACCCTGCTTTTTATTTTACATTATGATCGCTCCTGCTATTTTGATGGATTTAAAGTCATGACAGATGATGCTACGCGACATTGTGAACCCGGTCGGGGAAGAGAGACGGAACGGGTCAATATACCATCTCGTCTGCTTCTTCCTGTGTCAATTAGCTGAGGTATTAGTGGAAGATATAAACAATTGATTCCGCATGTATCAATACATCCGTCCTGGTCTCAGATAGGTTAGCTCTCGTGTCTCGCGTGCCGGTGAGTAACTGTTTCATTGTAGTTTTCTTCGCGTGATGCTGAGGCAGTGAATCAATCCTCTTGTGGCAATTAGGAACCCTTGATTAGAGTAACGAGAACCTTTCTCAAGCCGGATAAATGTAATAATTGGATTCATCAATAGGATGTTCACTGAATCCATCTGAGGCTATATTGTTGCTTTGACAAATTTATGCTAGAAAAATATTGGGACTTAACAACAACGGAGTGCACACCGTAGACCTCCGCAATCACAAGCTGGGACCGAGATGAACACCCCTACACGTACTGCCAAGACACAGCAGATTAGCGTGTGGTTGCAAGCCCCCATCACCTCCATACCTACTGTGTGTCGCGGCGTATTCGCGTCGTAGAAGCTGACTGAGTAGCCATGGCAGGGGCAACCCCTTTAGTCTCTGCCCTATGTGCTAGTGGGCAGTGACCCTGACTTGCCGAAGTAGACCACGTACTTGAACCCATGGCCCTCGAAGAAGGGCACCATGGACACCGCTGCGCCGTTGGCAGTGGCCGAGAACGTCAGAGCCGAGCTGCTGGTGCGCTTGAGACTGCCGAGGTCGAGCGTCGGCGCCGACGAGACCGTTGAGCTCCCGTAGTTCCCACACAGGACGACAGGCCCGTACGCGATGGTCACCAGGTTGCTGTTGTCATTCGCCGCGATGGTCCGGAACCCCATCGGCAGCTTGATCGTCACGGTGTCGCCTGAGGCCCAGGTGCGGGTCACGCTGGCGTAGGAACCTGGTGTCACCTGGACGTTCTGCGCAACGCCGTTCACTGAGATGGTGGCTCCCGAGGTCCAGGACGGGATGCGGATCTTCAGAGTCCAGGAGCCTGACGTCCCGGAGATAGCGAGCGTGGTCGTGTCGCTGGCCGGGAACGTCGTGCTCTGAGTCACGGTGACGCCCTTGGCCGTCCACTTCAACACGGACGGCGCAAACATGTGAACGTATAGTCCGGAGCTGTCGTACCCGTATATCGAGTCCGCGAGCTTCGAGTTCTGCTCTAACCCCGTGCCCTGGCAGCACCACATGGAATCGTAGTCCGTACTATAAGTACCGCCACCCCAAGCCGGCCCCAGACCGCGCGTTGCTCCGGGGTTGAGCGAGGAGAAGTACGTCACGTGGCCATGCGAGTCGCTCGGGTTCTGCGCGCCGACGAGGTGGTTCATCAGCGTCCGCTCGTAGAAGTCGAAGTACTTGGTCGAGCCCGGATCCATGGCCCACAGCTCGCGCGTCAGTTTCAGCATGTTGTACGAGTTGCAGCCCTCGGCCGTATCGGTGCTGAGATACCCGGAGATGGCATTGGGGGCACGGAAGTGCTCGGCCTGGCTGTTGCCGCCGATGCTGTAGGAGTGCGCGTTGGTGGTGACGGTCCAGGCGTTGACGGCGATGCTCTTGTATGTCGCATTCGACGTCGCCTTATACTCCTTAGCAGCGCCGATCCACTTGGGGACCTGCGTGTTGGCGTGGAGCCCGTTCAACGAGTCCTGATTCTTGGAAAGGGGCGCGAAGACGGCGTTGTGGTCGAAACGCTTGGCGACGGTCAGGTGTGTGGAGTCGCCTGTCATGAGGTAGATCTGGGTCATCACATCATTCATCCCACCAAACTCAGTGTTGAGGACGTTCTGCATCTGGGAGTTGGACAATTTGCCTGTTCTCGTATTCACCCATGATGCCATACCCAACAGGACGGTCTTGGCGTTGGCATCGCCAATGTTGCGCCAGGCGTCGAGCAGTCCTGCCATGGTCTTGTGTATGACATACCATGGCACGTTACCGCTGGTCAGAGTTCCACCTTCAAGGGCAGTAAAGTCTGATTCGGGGAAACCGGAGAGATAGCCAGTTGTGTATCCCTTGGCACCATTGTTCTTTTGACATGCCAGCATGCCCGACACCATGCTGCTGGCCTTTGACTTGCAGGTAGAGTCTCCTGACATTGCATAGCACTGTGACCAGGCCGTCAAGAAGTGCCCCTGGACGTGGCTGCGAAATGGGAAGCTTGGAGCGTCCCAGCCTCCATTCTGGCTGGCGCCGTTGGTCGACAGACCATGATTTGCCCGGAAGACGTAGAGAAGGCGGTCTACATCGACGTACTTCAGGTAGGAGAGCGTGCGCGCTTCGTTCTGCTTCCATCGGCCGTCGGTCAATACGGTCTGGCTGATGTCAAACATCCAAGCCGACACTCCTGACTCGGCTACGACAGGTTTGACAGCCTGGCCATTGACTGCGGTAGCCACCAGGAGGCCAACTCCTAGAGCCTTGGTAATGAAGTTCATTGTATTTATTCTGGTGGGCTTCACATCAGTTGCTATGTTGGCGTTGAAGCGAGTGACTTGTCGAAATGGATGGATGGTGGCAATAATTTTGCCATGTCCAAGCTCGAGATTTATAATATTTCTTGAAACCCCCTAAATATGTGTGAACGGGAAACCGTAGTCTATCCAGCTGCTCGAAATTCCAATGTGCCGTGTTGATACTTCCACGATGTCAGTTCTCCGCATCGTATCCCCGGAGCCCGCTGTTCCTTGTCGTTTTGATTGATGGAAACCCTGAACCTTGCAGATTCCCCCCAACCTTAACACAATGCCACGGTAGCATTCGAAATACGATAGAGGCAACCATTGGAAGAATATATTTCCAGGAAAGTATAGCAATGTAGCTAAGGGAATCTGCCATTGCTATATCTAAATGGTGTCGCTCGCGAAGAAAGCAACTGTAAAAGAAACTTGTATTGCAACCTAGTATTAAGGAAGCTTTAACAATTGATCAGTGACTCCACTCTACTCTCCTATAAAATACATCGGCTTCTGTGATCATCACACGCGCCGCCCATGATATGTATTCAATTGCAACCTAAACACAAATGCAGGACTCTCTGTTGTTCTACTACTGAGGGCTCAAGCGGGAGGTCACCCGAGTAGTAAGTTTGGCCCTAGTCAACCTTGGGACACGAATTGGTTTACCACTCTGCATTCAGACCGCATGCACAGGTTTCTCCGAAAGTGGTGTTAGGAAGCTCACATAAAGAGCCGCGCGAATCATATCCAAGCGCATCAGGAAAGAGAAAGCATCATGTTTAGAGACCCACCTTTCATCTATCAAATATAGTTAGCTTCTCCCATAAGAGTGCCCGGTGTGCTTGAAGAGCTCGTGTCTAAACCGCGCGACATGAATTCTAAACATGCTTAGGCTGATTTGATTCTGCCAGTTAGCTTGTTTCTTATCACTGTATTGGTCCGGAAATCACCAATGTTGATGGGTAGAACTTATGTTTACATTCTTTGACAATATTTTTATCGTTGTGTATTAATATTGTTTGCAGTGCCGTGTTTGCTCAATCCGGCAACCCTCCTTTGTCACTCGCGGTGGTCGTTCTATTGGAGGGCCTCTTTGTCTATTGCGACGGCTTGGTAGTAATAGATGCTCTCTCTGGTATAGCTATATATGTTTTCCTTGTGATAGTTACCGTTCTCTGTATCCTCTCTGTGAAACCGAAGCTTTAGTACACAGTGAGTGCTAGTTCATTGTACAGTATTAATGTCTACCGGAAGGCCTTACCGATATCGTGGGGTGCGCCTCAGTATCGCAGATGTAGACGACGACGATAACGCGCCTGTTAGGCAGTGGTTCGACGGCAATGACGAGGAAGCGAGACGAAGACGTCGCAAGGACAGCGATGACCCAGCAGAGGATCCCGACTACGACCCTGATGTGGATGCAGACATTGATTACGTTCGTCCCCGAAGGCGAAGAAAAGAACTTGAACTAAACCATGCAAACCTTGCGAGGAAAGGACTCATACTCTTAGACATAAGAGGTGGCTACGATAGGGTATTTCTGGTTCAGTCGGTCCACAATTCGCAGATCTATGTAAATAAAATCTGCGAACGTCAATTAGATGATGATGAAGACGCAGGCGCAGACGCAGACCATGATGCAGACCATGATGGAGACGCAGACGCAGATGATGATTCAGATCATGATGGAGACGGAGGCGCAGGTGCAGGTCATGATAGTGGTGAAGACGGAGATGGTGAGGGAAGCTCAGACAACGGTAGCGACCCGACAAGAAACCTACGAAAGTTTTCACTCGATCTTCCTGAAGACTTACGTATCTCAACTTGGGATGGGGGTGATGAGTCAGCTTGTGTCTTGCCAGCGGATGCGAGCTGCTTTGTCCAGATCAAGGCTTGGCAACAGCTAGACAATGACACCTACTCGTTGTATTTTGAGTAAGTCATCTCCACCTTGGGGTTTAAAGTAACTTAGGACCACAATGCTCAAACCGTCCAGATATCTGAATGGTGGTTCGCTCGAAGATGTACTGCGGAATTTTCACCAGGCGAACTACACTCCAATTCCTGAGTCTTTCATATGGTGCGTATCCATGTCTAGGGACGAATGTTCAGGGTGGCGAGCAAGGCAGCTAACAGTTGACAATAAATACAATAGGCATGTAACAGAGCAACTAGCGACGGCATTTGCATTCCTCCATTTCGGAATCGAACCCGGTACCAATGATAAACCCAACAACTGGACGCGAGTCTATCATCGCGATTTCTCGGAAAACAACGTCTTCATTCACTATCCTAGCCCAAGACCCGGAAGTCTTCCGCGTTCCGGATTCGAGCCGCACGCCTTCCCGCGGGTGGCGCTTGGAGATTTTGGAGACTCAGGGGTTGCCGGAGACGATGAATCTAAGCTGCACTACGGCACATTGAATAGTACTGAGCTGAAGGACTGGCAAGACATCTACGACTTTGGGTCTATTCTGAGAGCACTTTGTATGACACATGTTGAGTATCACTATCAGGGGATACATGGTGATTATCAATACGCCGACGAAAGATATCTCGAAGATGTAAACCACCACCCTAACTCGCCTGGGTACTCGGATGAGCTCATTGGCCTACTTCAGAGATTCGAACGACCTGATCAGGAACTTGATAACATCTTAGACGAGGATGCTTGGAAAGCAATGCCTGCGGATGCGAATTGGATCATCAATACTCTATTGCCCGCGGCCAGGAATCGGAGTAAGTCATACTGAGAGCTACTTTCCCCCTTTTGTCAACCTCAAAGCTTGCAGCCTGCGAGAGACCTTGATGAGGCGTTACTGACTATTATGTTACAGTGCAAAATTACCGTAACCCACCCGGTGGAAAGCCCAGAGGGTATTATGATGACATGGACGTGTCCTGGACAAGGCCTGATGAGCTGATGCCGTTCCGATTCTTCAAAGATTTGGCAGATCCTGTGGACCGTCCAAATTACGCGGGTGACTGGGATAATGGGTTTCCTGATGGAAAGGACGATCGGCGAGGACTGAACGGCCGAGAATTGGACATGGCAAAGTTGAGAAGCCTTCGCAAACTACCGTGGCCTGCTTACGAGGTTGTTGATTTGCATTGGTATGTAGCCCCCCAACCTTCACACCTTCCATAAGACCTCCACTGTGCGCAACACAGTGGCACATGGGCATACCTCTATTCACTCTCGGTGAAGTGAACCTGCTGACCCAAGGTACAACATAGGAGCAAGCCGAGAATAAAGAGTATCCAGCCACCTCGGACATAGGTTGGCGATGACCACAACCAATCCGACGGGTAATGTGCGTTGGCGGCAGGCGGGGAATGTATAGACCTGGGATAGCAACAGTTCACTGAAATTTCTTCACATCAATTAATGTGCAGTCGGAATTCGGCTTGCAATACGGTAATTTTCCTTTGGGAGAACGATAACCAATAGTGTAGAATATCCTCGCCGTTAAGGTGAAGATCCGCGTACTATGTTGGTCGGCTGAATCATACTTCTGTCTATATCTACGTTGGTGACCATGCTTTCTGCCGGGCCTGAGTGCTACATCTCCCCCTTTAACTCAGATCCCTTCTTCTTCCTGTGCCAACATCTCGGCATAGTCATCGACGGAAGCAAAGGTGGGAAGTCCCTTGAGCATCTTCCTCCTCTTCTTCTGCTCTGACTCGGGCTTGCTATCGTCCGCCTTGGCGACGGCCGCGCCTCCCTCTTCGTCGTCTTCGTCGCTGAAGCCCAGGGACGATGCATCCGAGAAGTCCAACGCGCTACCATCCGAAGCGTTATCAATGTCCATGGCGTCTTCATCGCCCATGCCATCGTCGGAGTCGTCATCCATCATCTCCGCAAAGTCGGAGTCCAGGTCACTTTCAGAATCGCCCTGTACTTCAGGTTTGGAAGATTTCAGAGCTTCCCAGATCTCATCCTCTCCAGCATCACTGTCAGCTTCATCAACATCCTCCGCATCTTCCTTGGCCTTCTTGGCACGCTCTGCCTGTCCAGGCTTGCCAATCTGGCTGAAGTACTCGTGGAAGAAAGCGTCTTCTGCTGCCACATCCTCGGACTTCTTGTTCCAGAAAGATGCCGAGTTCAACGAAGAACCAGTCTTGGCACCTGCCTTGCTTGAAACCAGAACACTGCCTTGTCCAGTGGCAGCCACCGGCTGCATGAGAGAAGTACCCCTTGCCGTATCACTAGCCTTGGGGTTCTTGTACACGAACTTGTCGAGGAAGTTGATCAGAGTGTGGTTGGCCAAATCTGGTTTCTGCGCTGGTTTCTGCCCGTTGATTAGGCTTGACGCATACAGATCTACGGAAGGATGGAAATGTCGCAAAAATGGCAGCAATTCCCACAGACAGCTGCGGTGAGCATTGCTGTACTCTGGCACTCGCTTCCGTCCATCGTAAGCGTCGGTAGGCTTCAGTGGCCGGTCTTCGTTGGCCGCGTCGTCCTGGGTAACCACGCCTTCTGCATCGCCATGTTCCTCTGGTTCATTGAGCAATGTGCTAAGATCCGGGAAAGTGCCGTAAAGCTCCATGATCAAGAATATGATACCGCATACAAATGAAGGCTGATGCAAGTTCAAAATCTGGAGCATCCTCTTCACGAACGCCTTCACCCTGCGAACGTCGACATCTGACTTCAAGCTGCGATACAGCAGGTTTAGATACAAAGCCTGCTTCGACGAGGTAGTCAGACGAGGATCTAGAAGAGACTCGTAAAGTGTGCGGTAAAAACGCTCTGTAGCAAGATGACGAGTGGTAGCCATCTGTTGTATGAGCATAAGAGCTTGAATACTCGTGTTGAAGTTCGACGAATGGGTGATGCGGAATAGGGTATCTAGATGTGTTTCAAGTCTGTATCCTAGTTAGTACGATTGACAACAATGTGCCAGTACAATGTCACTTACGTTGATGAATCCGTCTCGGAGAAGGGAACCGCACGGTTGATGCCAGTCAAGATTGCCGATACCAGCTTCTCTGCCGACTCGCGTTCAGCTTGTCCCTTCTTCGAGTCCTCGTCAGGCTTTTGGGATGGCCCGGTGGGCTTCCCACGTTTCTGCTTCTTCCTTTTCTCGGTCTTGTCCGGTACTTCTGCTGTTGAGAAGTTCTCAACTTGACCAAGGTCGCCACTCTTCAGCAGCGCAACGAACAGGCCAAAGTAGATTTTTAGAAGTGAATCAGCCACTTGCGGTTCCTTGCTGCTCAGGATCGTCTGGTTTAGAGTATTGATAGCGTAGTACTTGGCGCGAATGCTCTGACCAGATTTGAAAATAATCTCCTGCTCAACAGAACGCACCACTATCGCTTTCATGCCTGGGTGGATGTTGAGGAGCTGCAGCAGTAGATAAGATGCTCTGGAAGCAATCTTGCGCTCACGGTCTCCCAGTTTGTTGACAAGGAGTCTCAGAAGATTCGACTCCTGCTCCGGCTTCTCCTTCAGCAGGGCGAAGATCATATCGATAGACTTCAGCCGCGAGTACTGAACCTCGTCATTGCACCACGTCTCTAGGGCCTGGATAATCCGGAAATAAGCCTCCTTGAGCCAATCCTCATAGGCCCACGCAACCAGATGCTCCTTGGTAATCCTGCCGGGGAGGGCCTGGTTGGCCGACCATGACTTGATCTTTTGCTTCTGGAGAGTTCCAATCAGCCCAGGCTGAGTAGCGAAGGTTCGTAAACGTCTGTTAGAGGGCAGCAACGCTCCAGGCCCAAGCAAATCTACCAAGGCGGTTAAAGCGGCCAATGCCTGTCCACGACTGCGCTTGTTTGCTAGAGCAATCAGGTTCTCGAGGGACTTGATGCTATGGACGGGCGATTCCTGAATACCCAAGGTCAAAGCCGACGTCTTGTCGGACATTGTACCAGAAGACATGATCGTGGACATGAACTTGTGTGATGAGGACGACGAGAGCGTAGCGGTATGAGTGGCAGTATCCTCTTCAAGGATGGACTTAGCGTGCGTCTTCAGGTTGGCTATGGTGGAAGTATAGGCTGCGACCTGGTCGGATGCTGGGTCTGGCAATTGGTTCAGTTCAGCCGCATGCCAGTCGGGACGGGGCTCAAAGATCTGGATTTCGCACATGTCAGCCGGAGCGTGCTAGTCAAGATATAGAGAGGCTTACTGACCGTTTTCCAAGTTCCTCTCGGAGCGGACTGCGAGGCATCCTCCTTCTGTTTGGACGCGTGTAGGGAGTCCTCCTCGTCCGAAGCTTCTTCCCATTCCTCGTCCTCGTCTTCTTCCCCTTGGTCGTCCTCTTCAACCTCCTCATCGGCCACTTCTGCTTGCACCTTCTCAAACCCCAGTCCAAGAGCAAACTTGGCTAGCTCAGACTGCAGGTCCTTGTCAGCGTTCTTTCCATTGGTCTTGACATAGTCATCGAATGTCTCGTCCTCAGAGTCGATGTCCCCGACGAGCTTCAGATCGTCCTCGTCGCCGCCCAGAGCTCTGATCTCGTCCAGCAGGACGTTGGACGAAGTGGCGCCATTTTGAGTCGGCTTGGGCCCGTTTGGGCTCTTCTTGTCCTTCTTGTCCTTCTTTCCCTTGGCATCCTTCTTCGGCGGCTGGTCATTGCGCTTCTTGGCGGCCTGGTCGGTCTTGTCGTCTTGACGCTTGCGCTTCAGGTTTGGCTGGCCTCGGGGCGAGTCTTGAGGCTTGGTCTTTTTGTTGTTCTGCCTGGTCTGAGGCGAGTCCTGGGGCTTGCTCTTCTTGTTGCTTCCGGTCGGGGTCTTGTTGTTGAGCCTCTGGTCGATCTTGGCAGTCAGCGACGCCAGCGCAGCATCATCGAAGCCTGCCATTGTGAGGGCAGACGGGCCTTTCTCTGGTCGAGGGTGGTTCGAGTTGCTTGCTCCAGTCTCCAAGTCCAAGTGCGGCGGGTTGCTCTGAGAAAAAAGTTCCTGCAGCAAAAATTAAGGCGGGGCGATAAGCCGTTATCGCCTGGTACCCCCGTCGACCGGCCCACCTGGTCGCCGCCAGATTGCAATACATCTGGGCATCAACTTGTTTCCCTGTAGGTAGTGAGCACGGCACGCAATGCTGGAAAATGTTGCGCGCAATTTCTTGGCTACGGAGTAATGAGTACAATTGCCACACGGGAAGTACCCATCATTGAAGACACTGCCGCAACGGCTGATACCTTCTTGTTGTCAAGTGTCTCTCATCTAGCTAGAGACCCTGAACTAACCACTAAACCTCTTCTGTACTCAACGGGACCCACCCGATCCATGCGAGGCTACTGATTCTCCTGGTCTTGAATCCAAGATCATGATAACTTTTTTTGTCAGGGATTGACTACCAAAACAACCACTTTTTCTGTATAATTTCTCCTTCACCATTTAGTCTTCGGATTACCAAGACGACCCGGAGTCTAGTGTATTCCTCTCTTGATACAGTCGATGCTTTCGTCGCAAGCTCATGCCCATGCTTTTGCACAGGTAGCGATGGTACCAAAACGGACATCATGGATGTCTTCTCTCAGCCTCGGATCATTGGCCGCGTCGCGCCACCAGGCTCGTCCTTATATCCAGGCACCTTCTGGCTTCCCAGCTTCCCATCGTGCATGCCTGTCCAAGATATGGCTGCCAACCGGAGGTATCACCGCGTCTGGCGAGGAAGATGGGCACTCAAAACTGATCCGCGCCGGGTATCTTCGCCAATCCCACGCCGGCATCTTTCACATGCTGCCACTCGGACAAAGAGTGCAAGAGAAGCTTGAAAAACTGATCGACAAGCATATGATGCAAGTTGGGGCTTCCAAGGTCTCCCTGTCGTCAATATCTTCTCAAGCCCTCTGGGAGAAAACCAGCCGCCTGGACGGTTACGGACCCGAGCTTTTCCGCTTGAACGACAGGAAAGAAACGCCCTACCTACTGGCACCTACGCATGAGGAGGAGATCACGACTCTGGTTTCGAAGTTGGCGACGTCCTACAAGAATCTCCCAATCAGACTCTATCAAATTGGGCGCAAGTATCGCGACGAGATGCGACCCCGCCATGGACTTCTTCGCTCAAGAGAATTCGTGATGAAGGATCTCTACACATTCGATGCCACTATTGAATCTGCATTGCAGACATACTCGGAGGTCCGCGCTGCCTATTCCCGTCTCTTTGACGAGCTAAAGCTACCCTACCTGGTTGCAGAAGCCAGCTCGGGCGACATTGGCGGAGACTTGAGTCATGAATACCACCTGCCTTCGACGGTTGGGGAGGATAACGTCCTCAGCTGTGATAGCTGTACGTATGTGGCCAATGAGGAACTGGCCGTGGCTAGACCTAGATCATCCGACAAGGCACAGTCATTGGTAAAGCATTGCTGGCATGGCATTACCAAGGATCGTTCCACCTTGGTCACTGTCTGGTGCATGGTGCCTCAGGAGCTCGCGGACTCTCCCGTCAACACTCACGCTATCAAATCCATTGTCCCAGGGCTGGACTCGGGCGTGGAGGACCCCAAAGCTTTATGGGAGTCTGTGATCAAATCCGCGACACGTGAGGCGGCAGAAAAACCGAAGACGATTCACATCGTAGATCAGACGTACGGCAATCAGACTTTGGAAGCAGCAGATCTGTCATCAGCCACCACAGAAGTTGAGGTTATCAAGTCTTCTCAGGGTGGCCAGCCACTCAATATCTTGAAGATCCAGAATGGCGATAGTTGCGCTCAGTGCTCTTCTGGGACACTCAGACTACAAAAGGCCGTCGAACTCGGCCACACCTTTCACCTTGGCACCCGTTACTCTGAGCCGCTGGGTGCCAATGTTCAACTCCGCGAGAACATCACTGTTCCCATGCAGATGGGCTGTCATGGTATTGGTGTCTCGCGCATTCTTGGGGCGGTGGCAGATCATCTAGCCGACGAGAAGGGCCTGAACTGGCCCCGTGTTATTGCACCGTTCGAGGTTGTCGTCATCCCCGGTCGTGGCGTGGAGGAGGGCGACGCCATTCGCGTCTACGACCACATTGCCAAGGGCGATGGATCTCAGGACTCAAAGGCTACCCAGCCCGTCGATGTGGTTCTAGATGACCGAACCGAATCCTTCCCCTGGAAAATGAAGGATGCAGACACTGTAGGATATCCAATCATCGTCTTGCTAGGACGCAACTGGGCATCGGAAGGACTCTGCGAAGTGCAGTGCCGGAGGCTATCTGTGAAGAAAAATGTACCATTAAGCGACCTTCCTGTATGTATCAATGATCTGCTCTCGCAGCTGTAAGATTAGAAAAATGTACATTAATTTGCCCCTCTACATACTACAATGCCGGGAAGACAGTTCGCTTTGTTTGTCCCGCACCCCTTCAAAACTGGGCGAACATTGAATGTAGATATTGAGTGGTCAGCTTACTGTACCCGGAAAGTCCGGAAGTCGAGATTGGTGACCATGTATATTTAAGATGTCATCTACGTATCGTGACTTGGGTGCTCCTACGACAGGCCAGGGCTGTATCTCGCGCACGTGGCTACTTAGACCATGCCCGCCATAAGCAGACAGCCCGATTGGGGGGTTTCGCGGCGTTATTGCCTTGTCGGAAGGTTAAGTCGTTAGACTGCCCTGGTGTGATGTAACCTATCTTGGCATGCAGAGTCATCTCCATGTAGATCCGGTTTCTTCAACCTTGGCAGCCCGTATATGAGGCTTTATTTTCGCGCGCAGCGAGCATCGTGAGTACCCTCATTCGCTGTATAGAGAGGGATCTTGGCTCTCCCGTGATAATCCAGATACTCTAAGGAGAAACGCAGGCATTATTTCACACACAAATCTTGGGCTCAGAAGCAATTCGCACCAACATCACAATGAGCTCCAACTCGCCGCTGAACGTCCGGATCGTCTCGGATTCGGAGGCCTCTCATGCTGCTATGCCAGAACTGAACCAGGTATCACTGAATGATCGGCTTTGGAATCATCATATCAAGCCGCGTGGTGCAGGGCGTACGAAGAAGAAGGAGGACAGCAAGGACTTCAGCGACGTGGACACACTGGTAGACGTTGCTTCGGTCTCGGATAAGAAGGACAAGGAATATGGCACGGCCGAGAAATCGCGGTTCAGCAGGGTATGGCGGAAATAAGGCTTCTACGACAGGTTATCAAAGTACCATGATCATCGTGGGTGCGATGATGGTGAGCAAGCAGCATTCCAGATGGTGGCGGGGCATTTTCAGCCATGGATCGGTCTTGCGTCCTGTGGCATTCCAATATCAAGCACGCCGTGTAATTGACCAGCGGCAATAGAGGAGTGTTTCTAACATCTAATATTGCAATGGAAGCCGTGAAGGAGGTGAATGTCCCCCAGAAATAACAGTGACAGCCGTGGAAGCTCTGCTCAGACAGTGGGTTTCATACCTCGGGAGCCCCGCCGTCCCTGCTGTATGCCGCTTGCAGCCACCTAAATTACACCAAACAATGCACCGCGGAGTTTACTAACAAGCCACTACCAGCTTCTGCCTCAATAACGCGTCCAAATGTGCCACCAATACACTGTGTGCCTCAAGTAATTAAACAGGCAACCCCATGTTTCTCCAATTCGATCAATATCTGCAGAATATGTGGCAATGCCTACCACCTTGAGCACTACCGAACCTTCGGTCTCTGCTTCTGAGGTGGACACTCCAGCTTCGGACGCATCCCCGGCACCCGAGAAGCAACCGCCGGCCAGGTCCTCGGTCAAGTCGGAGACTGACGAGCACTACACCCCTGTTGTGTCTGATATTGCACCACACACCCTAAAAGCATATCCACTGGACCGTATGCCCTCGACCGAGCAAGCTTCTGCAACTGCTCGCACACGTGACGCCTTGCCTGCTCCTCCCGTCGCTGTCTCACCGCGTTGTGAACTATGCCGAAAACAACGACAGAAAGTAAGTAATCGATATCCCGCCAGGAACTCCTTCCATCAGCTAACTTCCAAGTAGTGCAACTTCACCAGTACATCAGGGAAATGTGACAGGTGCTCCAAAGGTGGCCACGAATGTCGCTTAGTTGACTTCGTGCAACGGCGCCCTTACGTTTCTCGTCTTACCAGAGGGTCTCGCCTGAAGGAGTCTGGACAGCGACAGTGTGCTGCACCCAGCGTACAGCCACAGCGTACAATGGCTCGCCGTAAAGTCACGGCGTCGAAGCCCACAGCTCAGGCGCCGGTCGAGCCTGAGTCTGATAACTCGGATTCCAATGCGTCAATACCTCCAACCCTGCCAACTGCGCGAAAGCGAAAGCGAAAGAACGCATCAACTAGCGAACAGGTTCAAGGTGAAGTAGTTGGTCAGCTTCGTGGCACAATTGTCAAGATGGACGAGGAGTTTAAGGAAATCCTAAAGGATGTCCAGGAGAAGCACGCACAGGAGCTCGCAGCGTTGCGGGCCAAGTACGAGCGGGCCATGGATGATCTGGTCCATATGACAAGAAGTCATGAACGAAGGGTAGACGACTTGATCCAGATCATTAAGAGTAACGAGCGGAGGGTAGATGACCTACTTGACACCATGAAGGCCAGAACGCGCACATGACGGTGTTGTGATGTACCAGTGCAGTCCTACATTCGGCTGTGCTCCTTCAACTCAATCTCATGATCGGTATACACCAGGGTTCATACCTACGCGGTGAGTAGTTAGCCGCTGCGTTGACAACCCAAATCATTCTATATTCCATATGATCAGCAACTCCACTTGAAGGCTGTAGCTGGAGATAGAATAATCTCAGATGATGACCAAGGTCTCTCATGGGGCACCATAATTCTTTGATTTAGTTGGTGAACAGAGGCGGAAAATGCACAATTCATAGCCTATCCTCAATTACAATCAAGACTCGCCTTTCTTACGCTCAGTGGAGCTGCTCAGGGGAGCTGCTCAGGGTTACTCCAGCACTGTTGTCGTAGTTGGAGTACAGGTATAGCTACTACCAGGTCTCCAATACCTACAAGGATATACGAAAAATGCATGCAGGCCCTCTCCTCTGACATGCAGAGGCTCATGCAGCATACACCCCATCGACCTCGGCATGCTGACAAAGATACCATGCAAGGTTGATGAATCTGCCGACCGGAGACGGTTCATATCTTGTCTTCCGTTCTTCATTATCCAGGGCCTCCCAATTCGCAATAAGAAAATACTTTGTCGCAACTATACTTGATCCACATGGCAATCGCAGCTCCTAAGGCGATGGCACCAGTAGCCCAACTTCTTCAAGATAACGGTCTTGGCCCACGGATCGTGGCACCCAGCGATGCCGAATATGATGCACGGATTGACTCTTACTGGTCCAATAGCGCAAAGCTGAAGCCTGCGTGTGTTCTGCTCCCAAAGAGTGCAGAAGAGGTTGCCACAGCAATCAAGGTGCTGGCAGCAGCAAGTGCGCCATTCGCAATCCGTAGCGGGGGGCATACCAATTGGCCGGGATCCAACAATATCGATGGCGGTGTTACGATAGATCTTAGCTGCTTGAACACCACAGCCATTGCACCTGACCTTGAGACAGCCACCATCGGCCCAGGGGCTCGCTGGAAAGACGTATACGCTGAGCTGCACAAGTTCAATCGTGTTGTTGCCGGCGGGCGTGAGGGGAACGTCGGGGTTGCTGGCTTGCTCCTAGGTGGTGGAATGACGTTCTTTACCGGGAGACATGGTTTCGCCTGCGACAACGTCGTCGCGTACGAAGTTGTTCTTGCCAATGGTCGAATCGTCAACGCCGACGCTCAATCGAATTCTGACCTATTTCGGGCCCTGAAAGGCGGCTCCAACAACTTTGGAGTGGTCACTAAGTTCACGATGAAGACTATTCAGTGCGATCGGGTCTGGGCTGGCATGACCTTCTACCCAAAGCAGACAATTCCACAAGCAATTGATTCTCTCTGCGCTTTTGCTGACAATGTCAAAAAAGATCCAGATAGCAATCTGATTTGGATGGTCACGCATCTGCCACAATTCAAAGACATCGTTGTGGCCACCTTGTTCAACCAGGTGGCTGGTGTAGAATCTGCACCAGCCTATGACCAATGGCGTACCATCCCGGAAACCATGAATACCATCAAGATGACCTCAGTATCTGAGATGGCATTCGAGTATAATATGCCAGCGGGATATCAGTAGGTGGACATGTTTTTGCCTTGCGTGCGACATAACGGCTGATGTTTTCTGGAGCAATATATGGTTCACGGCTTCTTTCAAGAATGATCGCCGCATCGTATCCAAAGCATCAGAGCTGCATGATCAGCTGGCCCAAGAACTTGGAGAGATCGCTCCGGATGGCAACTTCTTCACGCAATGCATCTTCCAACCACTTCCTACCCTGTTTGCTGATCAGTCAGTCAAAGCAGGTGGCAATGTCATGGGTATAGAACGCCATGCTCACGATGGTCTTCTATTTCTTGCCACAGCAATGCTCAGCAACTCAGAGCAAGAAGCGTTGGCTTACCCCAAGGTCAAAATTTGGGTAGATGCTGTGAAACGTTATGCCTCTACCATAGACGGTGGTAACCTGGCATGGACTTGTAAGTCAATAGTTTGGAGCCAAATTCAGTCCACTTGACACTAATGAGGAAGTCATAGATCTAAACTACGCAGATCCTAGCCAGGATTCTCTTATGAGTTACGGGAAAGAAAATGTTCGGCTAATGAAAACAGTTGCTGCAAAATACGACCCGCATCAAGTGTTTCAAAACCTTTGCAGAGGCGGTTTCAAGATCACGAATGTGAACGCGTAATACCGCAACTAAGAACACTATTTTCAATTTTCCTGTTAGGTTCAGAAGGTTCAGCGCTGTATACACAAAGTGAAATCCGAAGACATGCTTTCGATCCTCAGTCTCCTTCCCGAATAAATTTCGTGTCAAGCCGGGAAGTTCCTGAATATCTTAGCATCTAAGTAGTCCATAGCTTTAGCCTGGTTTATGATTTCAGAATACTGAGGCACCTTGTAGTCAGATATAAGAGTCTCCGGACCACTCTCTGCTGTCGAAGCTGAATCCACCGGATAGTCTTCCTGTCTTCAATCCATCAACGAATGAGCACAGCAGTAAACTAAATGCTGACTGACTATCACTCTGGGAAATTCATTATAAAATCTACGAGTCCGCCAATCCGGCAACAATGCGACATTGTTCACACACTTTTGATATCAGGCAACAGGCGGCTTATAAATCTCCACGGTGACATCGCGTATCCGCACGCCTTGGTCAACACCACCATACGTAACGTCAAAACACTGGCCAACCACACTATCGCACGATGCTGTCCGTTTTTTATCTCAGAGATATGGTCACCGACCGTATCACGCTCGTACATCATGGACACCTTAAACCGCTTATGCTGAGCAATGTTCTCGTCCGTGTCAGCGATGGGTGTCATTTGGTCACCAATCGCTTTATAAACAAAAAGCGGAATCTCCGGTGTACCGTGGTATCCAAGCATCCACTCAACCTTCTCGATCTTGCGCAACACTTCCGATTTTGTGAGGTCAGCCTGGCCATTCTTGAAGTACTAATAAATATCCTGACCTGCGAAAGCATGAAAAGCTTGTAATGACTGCATGTTACGTCCTTCAAGGAAGGCAGAGGCGTTATGAGGGCCATCGCGTTTTAAGCAGCTACGTATATAGACGTTAGCCTCGGGGTATTCGTTTATAATGGCCCAAATAAAATGAGGATACGGTTGCCTGTAAAAGGGGACTTTTTTATGACGCTAAACATTGATCCGATATTGCTCACTAAACCGCCTAATGCCGCACCTACTAGACCTGTCAACAGTTCATCAGTATATTGTACCTGCAATTCGGCGGCTTTCTCAGAACCCAGTAAGCCGCCGCTATACCCCCACATTGCGTACTTGAACTGACTTGCATCATAAGACAACGAGACATCCTTGTTGCCAGCCAAAGAAAGTACAGCGCGGATACCATCAAGAGTGGCATACCCAGCTAAGACAATTGCTCCAAACGCAGCATAGGGGCCTTCGAAGTCGGGAACGATAACGAACCAGCCGCGATTTCACAAGGTATCGAACCTATCATTTCCATTGGGAATTCCATGCGAGCTCGGCGGTACCGGTTGGAAAAGGCGGCATGAGGGGCTTCAGTCCACATGTGCCGAGTTATATGCAATCTGGCAAGACAATAGGGCATTATACCCCGAGGGCAGGGTGCAAGGGTTTTCAGGGATGAATAGTCAGCTGATCCAATATAAACACGATTTCCATCGACGAAAACTTTCAGGGGCACTTACGCAACTGCCCATGCGGGTTGGTATCGTGAGCCAGTGGTGCGGTACAAAACATGATAGGCCTTCGAGGTGTGGGCGAAAGGAAATGACCTTCTCGGCGTAGTTCGAACCCGCGGCACGGTTCCTGGGCTATATTATTCGAAGTCTGGCAATGCTGTGTACCATGAATCCTGGCTTGGAAGAATCAAGTCATTCGATCCGGCCGTTACGGTAAGACTTGGTGGTGTCATAGTTCGCTTTTAGAAGAGCAAGAAGTGATAGGCAAAGTGTGCTCAGATTAGTCACCGTACTGGTCTTGGTGTATATCGAGTTATGTGGTATGCACAGAATAAGGGTTTCTCTGTGCAAGGAGTAGGGTAAACTCTGCTAATTATTTTCTCCTCGTGTTCGGGAGTACGAGTAAGATGCATTTACTTGGACGGCATTACAATATCCTGAACAACACTGCAGCACAGCAAGAGGAACATGTTGCCTATCACTTGCGACGCGGCATTGGGATATCTCTTCAAGTGGCTGTAGACACTAGTACGTGCAATGCGGCTTGCTTAAACTTGCCAGTTGCCAATGCAGGGCGTTAAGGCCTGACGAAAGGCTTGATCACAGTCAATCGGTTCAAATGCC